AATATCCTTTCGTTCGGTCACAAAAATTTTTTTTTAAATTACACAAACACCTACAAACCGATCGTTCTCCTAGCTTGAACGCACCCCAGCATTATACGTCTTTGTGATCACTATCTATTTTTAGATAACATAAGGAAATTGTGCTTAAATTGTCACTAGACTTTTTATTAACTTGTTTTTAATGTTGACTAGGACTGTATCTTCAATGGTTTTAAGCACTAAATTCTAATATGTTTCTTCATTGGCTTAATATTAATTTAGCTCTTATATTATAGTCCGCTTGTTGCTATGCGAGGTATATACAAAATTTGTTCCATGTCGGCTTTAACACGGAAAGACTTTTCAGCCGGGTATGCTATCAAATACTGAGGTATGCTAGCAAATATTGGGGTATGCTAACAAAGATTGGGGTATGCTAACAAAGATTGGGGTATGCTAACAAAGATTGGGGTATGCTAGCAAATATTAGAGTATGCTAGCAAGAAACTTGGTATGCTAGCAAATACTGGGGTACGCTAGCAAGAAACGGGTATGCTAGCAAGAAATGGGGTATGCTAGCAAGAAACGGGGTATGATAGCAAGAAACGGGGTATGCTAGCAAATACTAGGGTATGCTAGCAAGAAACGGGGTATGCTAGCAAGAAACGGGGTATGCTAGCAAATACTAGGGTATGCTAGCAAGAAACGGGGTATGCTAGCAAGAAACGGGGTATGCTAGCAAGAAACGGGGTATGCTAGCAAGAAATGGGGTATGCTAGCAAGAAACGGGGTATGCTAGCAAGAAACGGGGTATGCTAGCAAGAAACGGGGTATGCTAGCAAGAAATGGGGTTTGCTAGCAATAAACTGGGTATACTAGCAAGAAACGGGGTATGCTAGCAAATACTGGGGTATGATAGCAAGAAACGGGGTATGCTAGCAAGAAATGGGGTATGCTAGCAAGAAACGGGGTATGCTAGCAAGAAATGGGGTATGATAGCAAGAAACGGGGTATGCTAGCAAATACTAGGGTATGCTAGCAAGAAACGGGGTATGCTAGCAAGAAACGGGGTATGCTAGCAAGAAACGGGGTATGCTAGCAAATACTAGGGTATGCTAGCAAGAAACGGGGTATGCTAGCAAGAAACGGGGTATGCTAGCAAGAAACGGGGTATGCTAGCAAGAAATGGGGTATGCTAGCAAGAAACGGGGTATGCTAGCAAGAAACGGGGTATGCTAGCAAGAAACGGGGTATGCTAGCAAGAAACGGGGTATGCTAGCAAGAAACGGGGTATGCTAGCAAGAAACGGGTATGCTAGCAAGAAACGGGGTATTCTAGCAAGACCTGTACTATGGTAGCCAGAACCGTATCTCGCTAGTTAAAGCCGGCGTATGTTGGCAAAATGGGTATTTTACTAAATGTGTTTTTCTAATATCAAACCCTGATGTCGCATAGCAACAAGCTGACTGTAATAACAGAGCTAAATTAATAGTAAGTAAATTAAGAAGATTGCAGATTAGATTTTAGAGCTTAAATTCACTGGAATTGACACTCATTTTCAACGTTTTAAAAAAAATCCCTGTTAAACTGGCCAAAATGGATTTACAAACTTTGACCACAAACAACCATTGTGCCTTCAAAACAACTTTCAGTGCAGATTAACTGAAAACTACAGGGGACGGGTGAGGCGTGGAGTGCGTCATTGTTAGTGTTACATTGAGAATAATTGGTGTGGATTAAAACACAATCTGCATTTTCACTTTGAAATCTTTAATCGATATTGTTCTTTTTTTTTAAATTATATTGATTATCGACCTAATCTCCGCATTGGAATAATTTTTACTTTATGGCTTATCGTTGTTGGAAATAAAAATCAGTTTGGTTTTGATTTATGCTTGAAAATATTCGATAACATTTGTGTTGGTGAAACTGGATTTAGACAAGTATTGAAGTGGTTTTTTTTTTAATCTCAAATAGCGAGATTGTGTTTACAAGTAGCTGGTTTTTAATGCTTTAGTAGAAGATATAAACGTTATAAAGCAATGCATATTTTCTGTGTAATGGGATATATTGTACTGTATAATACTGGTAGATGTGTAGTTGCAGCTCTTTGCTCCCCATGGGCCACAAAGGAATGATGATGATGATGATGATGATGATGATGATGATGATGATGATGATGATGATACTAGTATATAAACGTGCAGTACAAGCAGAGTTTATCTGTTTACCTGACACTGTGAAATATACAGCAGATGGCGTTTTTTTATGTATTTCCTCAACTTATGCTAGGTATTTATTTGAGCTGAGTAGACTTGAAGCAGAATGAAATATTACATAAAGATCAAACTATTTTTGAATCTTAGTCATGTGTTTTGAAATCTTATGGAATCTCAGGATCGTTTGTCTTCTTTACTGTAGCCTACAAGAGACAAAAGTAAAGGTGAGAAGTTTAGAGGAAGGTAAATTTTACTCCCTACACTCCCCCCCCCCACCCCCCTTTCACATCAGACACAGCGGTGAGTTGTCTCAGACTTCCTTTAAGTTCGATCCTAGAATCTAATTATTTGTATTAACAATCTCGCGCGCTATCGCTCGGCCACACAATTCAGTCTCTTACACTGGATTTTAAGGGGAAATAATAAAAACTTTCAGTATTGTCAGCATGACTACTTTGTTGCTATTATCTGCTTATATCGATAATCTTCACACTGACCCTAAACCTAATCAAACCCCGTCCATAACCCTAGCCAGGCACGGTTGCTTCCAGATATTTTTCTCCCGGGGGGGGGGGGGGGTGGGGGGCACTTAAAATTTTCGGGGGAGGGCAGACAAGGTTAAAAGTATATATTTTCTATATAAATTCCATTTCGTTCGTTCCCCCTCCCCCCCCCCCCCTCCCCCCAAAGAGGTGACTGAAAGAATTTATGTAGCCTTGATCCATGATACTAACCATAACACTAGCCTTGACCGTGACCCTAAAAACAGTTCCGGTATAAAAATAACCTCGATAAAGTGCTCAAGTATCCTGTCGTAGTTTTTCAAAACCCAGAAACTGCTACAACTAACACAAGGGGGCGATGTCGCAACGATCAACTATAAATTCGTCTCATGTCAACGGTTCTCACTTAATGATACACTAAACCACAGCAAGTATCGACTTGACTGGCTCGATTCAATGGCGTAGCTAGGGGAGGGCTGATGGGGCGGTCGCCCCGGACAAAAGGGGTAAAAACATTAATTAAAAAGCTCATTTTATTAAGCTAAAGTATTTAATTATACGAGTCAAAGTTGCGAAAATAAAATCTTATCGGCTTTACATACTGATTTAACTGTTTGCTTAATCAATTTTGAGGCAACGAAATAGAAAGTGTTACGGAATAGTAACTGTTAAGAAGCGCCACTAACTTTTTCAATGTGGTGGAAAGGGGCGCTTTTTCACATACAGGAATAACTATATATAAAAATGATAGGGAGGGGCGCAAAATTGATAGTCCGCCCCGGGCGCCTTAATGGGTCGCTATGCCTCTGGCTTGATAACTTTGCACAGAAAAAATTAAACAATTAATTATTGTATTCCACTGCTTGACTTCGGGTTTTTTTTTAAGGTATTGTTATAAAAGCTTAATGGCATATTATTAACAAAACAGCCTGTACACCAAAATATAAGAATCCTAGACTAGCTCTAATTTGAGCACAAAACAAAACAATCAAGGTGCTAAGCAGGGTTTGGGAAATACAATCGATTTTTTTCTGCGTCTTCTGTTCTGATCTGATTTTTAAAAATCCTTGACACTCCGGATCACGTGGTTCGTCACGTGAACGTTAGTCGCCGCAGACATTGAAATCTGGCCACCTCGGCTACTACATCACGGTTTGCCGGAAGTCGTTCCATGTTTTTAAGCACGGCACGAACGATACATTTGCCAGTTTAAACCTAGCTACAAAAGATGTTATTGATTTTTTTAAACAAATTTTTTAACTTAAAATTGAACAGATTTTTTTTTTTTTTAAATTAAACAGAGTCAGACGATATAAAAATCGCTTTAAAATTGAAGCATTACGAATTTGAGATTATAAACGAGAAAAATTTGCCATTCGTTTTTTTTTCAAACTTGACGGCCTCAGGGGCAAGTGAAGTAGAGTTCACCTGTTTCTTGAGTTCGACAAATGAAGTCTAATCTCAGTCCTACTATACATAGCGAGAAGTTTAATTTCAGTCATATGACATCTTGTAGAGTAAAGAATTATCTTTTGAACTAGCGATCCATCAGACAAATGAAGTAGAGTTTATGTTTCTTGTTCTCGGCATACGAAAAGACAATGTAGTCAGCACTAAGCCCAGCCACTTTTGCTTTCCCTAACGTGAGTTAGGTACCCTGAAGAGCTGGGTTGACTCAGGGACGTTCTACTGACCACCTGGATTTGAACTCGAGACTTACGGGTTAGCAACCTAGCGCTCTACCGCTATCTGTTACTAATGTATGGTGCTATGTCCTTCAGGAAACCTGCTACGTGGTCTCCTGGAACTCTCCAGAACGATTCCTTGCATGCTCAGATTTCACTGACCCCTAAAGCCTAAATATGAATCTCATATTAAATAAATTGTAATGACGGTATACGAATAAGTAGATACGATGAATATAAATATAAAACCACTCATAGCTACCAAAACATCAAAACTCCACAAATTAAGATTGAAGATTTTATTGCTCTTATTTAAGCCCTTATAGTTACAAAGTAATAAATAGAGAAATATGTAATCAAAATATTCGCAGATTTATAAAGTTTGTAAAGATAACTAAGCTATTATTTTTTAAAACCTTTATTCATTTAAGAAGACATATTGAGACATGTAATTAAATAGAATCAAGAAATATAATTTAATTTTGGATACCCTAACAATCGTTTATTGTAGAGAGATTAATATTATAAAGTAAGTAAGTTGGGTTTTTTTTTTATTTCGATAGTAGTATATACTGTAGACGAGTCGCTGAACTTCTGACGTGTGACGTCATATTTTAGAAAGGCTTTTGTCCAACAAAGTTGCCGCTGAAAAAAAAAGTTGTATACAGATGAAGCGTAATTGTGGAGGGGAGGGGGGAGTTTATATGCACGTAGGTAAGTAAAAAAAAAAGTATTCCATTAAAAATGATCGATAATAGATAACTTAAATCATATTCAATTTATGTATTCACATTATTCAATAACGGTAACACCAGTAGGCAGTGTATGTACGTACCGTGGAAAATATTCGCAGACGACCATGTTTGGCCAAGCTTTGGTCTCCGTGGGGCAGTGGATGATGGCACATCCGACTTGTAAAGATTTACCCCACACAACCTGTCACATGGGGGAAGGGAGATAAGGTAGAAAGTTAATACATCAGTGCGGTCATACGAGTGGCAGAGGTGATAGTATAAAAATATGTGAGCGAAAATTCCTCAAACAGAACATCGTCATTTTCGTGGATTCTTTTTTACTTTCTCGTATATACGAAGTATAGAGAAAGTATTGTAATCGTGCACAAAAATAACGAAATTTTGACAGTTTTCACCGTTTTACACCTCAGTCATTCATCACATCCGGAGTATAGAGGACTTATTTTAATCAGGCAAAAATTATAAATACAAATATATCAACGTTTTGGCGTTTTATGCGTTATCGATTCGTAAAAACTGGACTTTGCAATTCTGTCCGTATGTCTGTGTGTCTGTGTGTCTGTCTGTGTGTAAACACGATAGCTTGAGTACCGTTACAGCTAGGTTGATGAAATTTCATATATAAGTATTTTATCAAAATCGTAGATCCGTATCAACTTTTGAGTGATTTCCGATAAGCGGAAGTGGTACTTTTTCTACTTTGAATTTTTCAAAAGCCTATAAGTTGCGTACTATTTTAGATAGATACATGAAATTTCACACGTAAGTAAAAGATCTAATTCTCTACCTTCTGTCAAATTTTGAGTAATTTCCGTTGACCGGAAGTACTAATTTACGCTATTTTCGAGTTCGAATCTGAGTTCAAGTCAGTAGACCGTCCCTGAGTCCACCCAACTCTGATGGGTACCTAACTCCTGTTAGGGAAAGTAAAGGCGGCTGGGCATAGTGCTGACCACACTATCTCTTCATATGCCGAGGTCACAAAAACAAGTGAACTCTACTTTACTAGCCCCATAGACCGTCAGGTTTGAAAGGGAAACTTTTCACTTGGTGTGCAATTCTTTTTTTTACGAGATTCTATTCTATTATAAAAAAGTTTAAGTAATTAAAAATGGTAACAAATATTGTCTATGTCCTGAGTTGCCATCCCTCGTAATTTTATATTAGAATATTCGAGAAAGTTTAGGGGAGATCACTCCCGGTTTATTTTTTCCTAGTATCTTTAGGCAACTGCACCTTTCCAAAATGACTGGGATTTGAGCAATTCTCCTAAGGTCGGTCCATGAGATTCCGGCCGCTTCTTTAACTTTGTCAACTGAATTCTACACGTGCTGCTGACAAGGTAGGGGGGGGTTGTGTGGGTGTTGGTGGGGGTGGGGGTGAGGGTTGATGGGGATGTTGGTGGGAGTGAGGGTTGATTGGAGTGTTGGTGTGGTTGATGGGGGTGGGGGTTGATGTAGGTGGGGGTTTATATGAGGTGGGGGGTGATGGAGTGGGGGGTTGATGGGGGTGTTGGTAGGGTGGAAGAGCCCAATCTAAACAGGCGATTCTATTTTCTGGTTTGAGCAAGGTGTTTAATGTGTGTAGGACACTTACAGCCAATCAGCTATTACTTGCTGTTACTTCCAGATCAATTATCCCCTTGCAATTAATGCCTGTAAATTACCTACCCGCTACCTGTAAATTCCCCCCTCACTTATTAGGTTACATATTATTTGTAAATTTAGAGAGAAAAAAGTTAAGCTATAGGTATTTAGGGTGGACGTCATATAGAAACATGTATCTTAGATGATGCATGTAACTAAAACAGGGGAAACAACTTTCAATCAGAAACTTTAAATCAATTAAACGAAAACAAATGTATTTATTGTGACAGACAGATGGATAATTACTTAATCAATAAAAGAATAAATAAGAACTTATAATTAAAAATAAGTATTTATTTTATAATGTTTAATAATCTTCTTAATTGAATTGCAGCTGCCACCAAATAATTTTTCAATACTTTAATATTAATTTAACATTTGTTGATACAATACCAACTGCTAGACAAGCAATTATAACAAGCAAATATTTGAACAACGCTTCTATTTTTGACTCCCTCGAATCTTAGGGACAATCAGAATGTTAAAACTATGACCTAAGTCAGGGGTCGGCAACCTTTTGAGACGGAAGAGCCAAAAGTAACAATTTACAAAATTTTCCAGGTTTTAAAGAGCCACGAACATTTTTATTTTTATATTTGGTATTTGATTAGGATTAGGTAAATAAGTTTAATTTTTGTATTTAAAATAAATAGATATAAATATTAAATAATATTTATTCATATAAAAACATACAAATGTTTCGCACAAAACATATTAAATTATTTTAGCTAGCTCTGCTATGATAAACTTAGTTATCAATTAATATAATTATAGGACTATCCCAATCCACTTTTGAAGCTCTTAACTTTTTTTTTTCTTTACTGACATCACCGGCTCAGGAGGTGTCTCCCATTAGCCAGGCAGGCCTCAAAACGGCAAACTCCGACTAACTGGCTTGAATATCGGTTTGATTACCGTGAATCGGTCGCTTCTGTCCTTTGGTGCTCACCAGGCTTATCTTCCACCCCACATAACGGAAAAAAAGTCACAGGAAAAAAAAACACAGAAAAAAAGTCACAGTTTTTGCTAGGAAAAAAAGTCACAGAAAAAAGTCACAGTGGAAAAATTTTATCGGAAAAAAAGTCACAGAAATAAAGTCACAGAAAAAAAGTCACAAAAATCTTTTTAGAAATGTTTTTATTAATTTGTTAAGAATTGTAAAATTTTGTAAGTTTATTGTTGTGGGTTCTATTTTTTGATAGCATGAATTATTTATAGACGTTAAAAGCATTATGATATATAACAATTGTAAGTAAAAAATACTCTAAGATAATTTACACAACAATCTCAACTTTTGTTATGTATTTAGTTAAATACGCGGTAGAAAAGTTAATTATAAAAGAAATGTAGGTAAATTTTGCCGAAGGCTATTCTCTGGTCGGCCTCTCCTCGGTAGGCATTGTCCGAACATATTTTGTGTTGCTGACGTTACGCGTCAATGACAGCCTTTGAACCTTGTCGGCTTTCTGTTTTGATCCCAAGTTTTGTTATGTAATGAGCGTGATAAGTGTGCGCAGTAAAGGTGGTTGAACTAAACATGACTATTGTTGCCATGAGTTGAGGGCAGCAAGTCAGATGAACTTACCATTTCACGGTAATTTAATATTGGTATTAAAAAAAAACACGATGAAAACCGTGGACTTTAGAGCATTATATTATATGCTACTAATCTTAAGTTTAACAAAATTACAATCTACATACTTCATAATAAATATTTTTAGATGAATTATAAAAATTCCTATGCGTATACAGCCTACACACATTACATTACATTACATTTAATTAATCCTAAGTTAATTTGCACTCTCTAAATATTTAATACATAAAAGTATTAACAAATATCATGCAAATATATATTTGTGACTTTTTTTCCTGTGACTTTTTTTCCTGTGACTTTTTTTCCTGTGACTTTTTTTCCTGTGACTTTTTTTCTGTGTTTTTTTTTCCTGTGTTTTTTTTTCCTGTGACTTTTTTTCCTACAATCAGGGTAAACTCGTACCCCACAGTCCAGTACCTAGCTCAACCGTAGGAAGCTAACAACAAAAACACTACGTCACTCAGGTCATATTAATGATTACTGACAGATAGGGAAATGCATTCTGAATAAAATAACATTCCCCACTTAAAGATATTCGAAAAAGTCGGCACTCGGGAAGTGACAGTATTGCACTGCTGTGGGGCTGGGCTTGGTGCCCAAGCGGCTGTCATCTGTCCGAATACTCTCTACTCCACCTATTCTCATTGTTCGCTGATTAGAGTTTTTATTATGTTTAAACTTGTGTTTCTTTACAGTATATAATTTGTCATGGGTTTTGAAAATAAAATGATACAATAATTTCTAACATTTGTGCATGGAACTTGAGAGCCGCCACTTGACATCAAAAGAGCCGCATGCGGCTCGCGAGCCGCAGGTTGCCGACCCCTGACCTAAGTTCTGTCTGTCAAAACACGATGCTCTGGGAACATTCATTGCTCAACACTACAATACAACATAGCGGTTGGAGGAGGGGGAATATACATGGGGGGGGGGGGGGGGTTATTGACAGGATGTCTAGGGTTAACAATAACCTGAAGTTTGCCTACATCAGTGCTAGTTCTTCTGTCGGAAGTAATACAAATTACTATTTGGACAAATTAGGCACTTGAGTGGAAGGCGAAAGAGAGGGCGTCCTAGACAGACCTGGAGGCGGAGACTTCCTGAAGAACTGAAGACAGCAGGGATGTCTTGGGAGGCTGCTAAATCAATATCCGAGATCAAAAAATTGGATGCTTATGGTACAGGCTCTATGTTCCACTAGAGGTAAAGAAGATTAAGTCATTTCGACGAGTGGAGAAAGTTGAGGGTTCGAAACCCGTCCTTTTATTTTATTCTATACGAGCCGACCCGCGGCGTATCACATGCCGCTATTTAGTTGTTTTATTTTCTACTTTTCAGTAATTCATAATTTGTAAATTCGACAGTACCAATGCTGCCACTGAATATATTTGCTTTAAAACACTATCAGTAGCTCGTTAAGGACGATACCCCCCCCCCTCCTTTCCCCAACCCCTACCCCCCACCCGTGAAAGCAGCCTCCTCTTAGTTACCTCCCCTAAATTTAAAATCGTTTCAAACTAAATTATCTGCCCCCTAATAGCCGTCACTAAACCCGGCTCTACGATTGTAAACCTTTACCGTGAACCACAGCTCACCAGACCATGTGGGGATGGGGTAGGTAGGGATATGCCTAGAGCGGAAGAGAGGGGGCTGCTAGGCGCGCTTACAGCTTGGTGTTTTCTATGGTCTCCATGAAGAGAATTATATATATAGATAGATACTGCGTAACCATACCCCCTAGCAGATTCCCGTTGGGAATTCCCACCATACACTACTATGTGTATACGGTTTAGAATAGTAGAGAATTATCCTGGGGGTTTGCTTGCTAATTTTTTTAAAATTGAAGCAATAGAGTTTCTTGTCTGATTGTGGATCCCATCAAGTTATTCTACTCAAATTGTTTTTCTAGTAACTATTAGTTTATTTAGTTTGGGCGTGGAAATTCCATTACATATCTGATACTGTTATAAAGTAGACTATCCCAATATACATTACCTTGCAAGAAAATTTCCCAAATAGACAAACAATTTTGTTTTTTCTCTAATTCAAACATGGCTTGGCAAGATAATGTTTTAAAATTATAGACTAACGCATTGCTTTTTCTACCGCCCAAAGAATATATATATATATATATATATATATATATATATATATATATATATATATATATATATATATATATATATATATATATATATATATATATATATATATATATATATATATATATATATATATATATATATATTTATATATATATATATATATATATATATATATAGGATAGACGGATAGATTCTCTAGTCACTCTTAATAGTTGCGATCTGTATAATGGATTAGCAACTAACGTAACCTTTGCCTTAGGGCAGCAATACAAACATCTGACCTGAGAATAGTGACCACAGGTCGGCGATGACGTAATGCAGGACCAATCAGGTGTCTGTACGGATTTCTCTGCTATCCATTGCTTGACCGCTTTCCCGGCTATGGTGGGGTGGTCAGTGTTTGCAGCTAAATGAGTCAGGGAAAGGCATTGTTAAACTATGAGCTAGACAGGAAGGGCATTGTTATAATATGAGCTAGGCAGGAAGGGCATTGTTAAACTATGAACTAGATATGGGGCCCTTTATAATAGATATAACGGGCACTGTTGAAATCTTCTTCTATGTAGCTTCTAATTGAAATGAGAAAATCGAGAAAAAAAACAAGACGACACAAAGACGTGTAGACATGAGGACAACAGGACACAGAATTATAATACTGGCACACGAAGACAAACACGGACACGGACAAAAACGGACACACGAAGACACGCGGAGACATACGGAGACACACACATACACACTAAGACACACACAGACACACGGAGACACACACTGACACACTAAGACACACGAATACACACGAAGACACACGAAGACCTACGCATAGAAGCGTACAAGTTCTCCCCATACGGCCCACCGCTGTGTTTAAAAACACAGTTACCGATAAAGGCTTGGGCGAATTCTGCCAAAGTGTCGTTCCAAGCCTGGCGATAAAAAAAAATACTGTTTTTAATTTAGATATAAAAACATTGGTTTCAATTTAGACATAGAAACAGTGGTTTCACTTTATTGTTTCAATTGTGAGGCGTGGAGCTAATGGGAGCGCGTGATCGGGAGTGAGCATGAACTATTCCTAGCGTGATAGTCATGAGTTTCGAGCCCACACTCGGGTCCGTATTTAAGTTCACCTAGGTGTGACGGGTACAGGACTTAGGGTACAGAATAGACCACAGTACCTCCTCCATATTTTGAGTTTTAACTGGCCTGATACATAGGCAACATTTGGTGCTTCTCAACTAGCTGCCAGGCTTTGCGCCATATATATATATATATATATATATATATATATATATATATATATATATATATATATATATATATATATATATATATATATATATATATATATATATATATATATATATATAATCAAACCTTTGATATTATTGCAATCCCAGATTTAACTTCTGATAAAGAAAAAAATCTCATATAACGTACATCGCCTTCCTCTAAAACCCACTTGTGTGCTAAATTTAGGCACCATCACTGACAAATTTCTCTCTAAGAAAGAAAACCTATCAACAACGTTAGGCAAAACATTTAATTATAGCTACATGCCCTAGCCTTGCCCTACGCTGGCTGTTAGACGGGTCGCGACATGCGTGTTGGGACGTAAAGCGGCGACTGTGCCCGAATCAAACACGGTTGCGGACGTTCCTGCGAACCAGGCGGTACGATGTACCAAAGGAGGATGGAAGGTCTGGTTCAAACTTTTTAGGTCCAAATTTGGTCGAGCCGAGTACTGGACGGTGGGGTACGAGTTTACCCTGCGTTTAGTGGGGTTAAAAATAAGCCAAGTGAGAACCAAAGGACAGAAGCGACCGATACACGGTAATCAAACCGATATCCAAGCCAGTTAGTCGGAGTTTGCCGTGTTGAAACCTGTCTGAGTAATGGGAGACACCTCCTGAGCCGGTGATGTCCGTAAAGAATATATATATATATATATATATATATATATATATATATATATATATATATATATATATATATATATATATATATAATTCTCTTCTTGGAGACGTTAGAAAACAAGCTGTAAGCGCGCCTTGCAGTCCCATCTCTTCCTCTCTAGGAAATATGGTGAGCTGTGGTTCACGCTAAATGTTTACAATCGCAGAGTCGGGTTTACTGACGGCTATTAGATTGAAACGATTTTAAACTTAGGGGAGGTAGCTAAGAGGAGGCTGCTTTCACGGGGAGGGGGGGGGGTTAGGGGTTGGGGGAAAGGAGGGGGGGGGGTTATCGTCATTAACGACTTACTAATAGTGTTTTAAAGCAAATATTTTCAGTGGCAGCAGTGGTACTGTCGAATTCACAAATTATGAATTACTGAAAAGTAGAAAATAAAACGACTAAATAGATATGATACGCCGCGGGTCGGCTCGTTAAAGATAAAACAAAACGAGCACCCCACACAGATTTTTAAAAGTAAAGTTTTCCTTTCAAACCTGACGGTCTATGGGGCAAGTGAAGTAGAGTTCACTTGTTTCTGTGACCTCGGCATATGAAGAGATAGTGTGGTCAGCACTATGTCCAGCCTCCTTTGCTTTCCCTAACGTGAGTTAGGTACCCATCAGAGTTGTGTGGACTCGTTGATGGTCTACTGATTTGAACCCGGATTCGAACTCGAGACTTAGGGGTTAGCAATCCAGCTCTCTACCGCTAGACCACTCCGTCCCCAAACACAGAATTTTACCCCACGTAAAATATTTATACGACGTAACCAACTCACCAATGCGGCAATTCCAGCAGTTGCACGCTCAGCGTTATGAGCGTCAAGAAACGCTCCGATATCCGCCTGCGTCAGACTGACGGCGTCGTATCCTTGCGAGACTGCGAGCATTGCCGCTACGATCATCACATTGTACCACATCGTTAAGGGCTGGTAGAACAGAGAAATATTAAAGCACTAAACAGAGAGATCTGTTTTTATATACCTTTCGTAGGGCTTAGTTCTGGTACGGTAAAGTACCGTGTATATCACATTTCTAAGCTCAGTGGATTATTGGATTTAAAATGTGCAATTCAAAATTTTAAATCTCGGTATTAGTCTTACTTAAACTTAAAACACCTTGTTACACATCTCAACACGAAGCTGGTTATAAAAAAAAGCTTACGTTGTTTCAATGTACGGATAAATAATTAATACATTACTAAACCAACTACGTATTGTGCAGTGGATCAGCCTGGCGCAGAGGCGTAGCGAAGGGGGGGGGGGGCGCGGGGGAGGTACATATGTCCCCGGGCGCCGACCCTAGGAGCGCCAAAATAAGCTCATTTTTAGCTGCTATTTTGAATTATAAATATAAAAAAAATATATGGGGAGGGGGCGCCAAATTGAAAGTTTATGGCTGGCACATACCTCAGGGTAACCATTAGTAAAGAAAAATTAGCCCCTTTTGCATAATCAAAATATTAAATAAGTGTTAAAATATTATATTAGCATTAATGACAAGCTTTTAAAGTAAGAATTTAAAATTATCTTTCTTCTTCTTCGTTCTTAATTTTTTAGTGTTGGAAGAAATTCCTCTTAACGCTATAAAGTCTTAGGTGTCAATTAGTTAAGCACCATTGAGGCCATTGACCCCGATTTCAGCTTGCTTTTCTTTTTGGATTTGCTTCCATAGCCTTTGTCCACCCAAGAACAAACTACAAGGCAACGGTTGTTTGTTTACCGACTAGACCACACCGACCCTTTTGAAATTATCAATTCTTAAATGTAATAGTAAAAATAAAAGCGTCAGTCGTTGTATAATAGTTATTTATACTTGTATGTAAGTATGACTTTTATTTTCCAATGTGTTAGTGAATATTAGTTTAATTATTCTATAGGAGCTTATTAAATATTGAATTAAACTTTACAAATATTCTTGAGACTTCTTCTGAAATACTTATAAGTTTCCCATTAACAATGATAAAAAGCAGTGTTTTTAAAATAATGAGGTAAAAACAAAAAATAATAATTCTGCCCTAATTCCCCATCTTGAGCTCCACCACTAGGCACGCCTCTGGTTATCACTTTCTATTGCATAAAAGTGCATGCTTGTTCGTTTATTTATTTTTCTGATCGATTGGATTAGACGCGCCCGCCATTGAGAGTGAATACTTCACGCGCAAAAGCTTAGCAATAACTGTAATTTTAGTCGTAAGAGTATATTAGTCCCATTGGGGAATAACAGTGATTATAAAAGGGAGGGTTGGGGAAAATAATTAAAATAAGGAAAACATAGATAATGATTTCGAGCAATTGTATCGTATTAGTTCGAGAAGAGGCGGTCCTATTAGGGATGAAGTGATATTATTTTGGGGATTGTTTTCGTTACTGTAAATACTTTTTCTGATACGGGTATTATTTATTTGGTAATATTGTGAATGGAAGATTTATCGTGTCTTATAATTTTTAAAACTGTTATCATATAGTGCATGACATCAGAAAATTTATCAGACTAAATGTATCAGACAAAATATCAAAGACAAAATATACAGCAGGACAAAATATATCAGACAAAATAAAATGAGACAAAATATCAAAGACAAAATATACAGCAGGACAAAATATATCAGACAAAATAAAATGAGACAAAATATCAAAGACAAAATATACAGCAGGACAAAATATATCAGACAAAATAAAATGAGACAAAATATCAAAGACAAAATATACAGCAGGACAAAATATATCAGACAAAATAAAATGAGACAAAATATCAAAGACAAAATATACAGCAGGACAAAATATATCAGATAAAATATAGCAGACAAAATATCTCAGACAAACCATATTAGACAATAGAACTTAGATAAAATATCTCACACAAAATATATTAGACAAAATACATTATGACAAAATATCTCAGACAAAGTATATCAGACAAAATATCTCAGACAAAATATCTCATACAAACCATATTAGACAACAGATCTTAGATAAAATATCTAACACAAAATATATCAGATAGTATTTTTCAGACAAGATCTCAGACAAATTATCCGAGAGAGAAGAAAAATATCTTTGGCAGCATCAAATCTTCAATAGAGATCTCCAACTAAATATCCCAATATATATATATATATATATATATATATATATATATATATATATATATATATATATATATATATATATATATAATACATTTAACTTAAAGAATGCACATAACAAATATTAAGCTTGAGTAGCCTACCTTTATGAAGAAACAGAAGACACAAACGTCAATTCAATTTGGAGCTGCTTGCTAAGTAGCAAAAGGGAAATAACCCACCTCAATTTATACTAATGTCTGTTTACCCAGATTTTTTATTGCTGTATCTTGTTGCAAGCGGTGATGATATTTAATGACTAATTACACCTGTAAAAATACGCAATACGCATCGTGCAATTAAATGATTGTAGGGCTCTAGAGATCCATAACACTGCATCTGGATTACTTGTACATTGTAAACAATACGTTGATGGCAGTAGTGAAGGGGTTGAGTAGGTAGCCTCTAATTACCGTTAATTCTCGAAACGAGTTTTACCTTTGTAAACCTAAACAATTAACCAGGTGAATAGGTTAGATATGGATATAGGGTATGTGTTTAAAAAATAAACTATTTTCATTTTTAGAAGGTGTTCGGCACATATTGTTTTAAAAAAAATTTCAGACTTATCTTTTAATCCAAATCGGCTACCCCATTATACATTCATATCTAAAATATTATTTAGTTTTTACTTGCTTAAAAATCAACAGATCTGTACCAGCTGTTATACCAGCGAGTAAAGAAAGATACTAGACAAAACGTTAAGTGTACTATCTCGGATACTTTAAAAAGTACAGTGTACCGTCTCGGCCATATTAGAAAGGACAGTGACACAGATCAAATAATTTCAAACAATTTCAAATGAATTTTTTAGGTTTTTTTTTTTGTTGTTGTTGGGGGGGGGGGGGGGGGGCGGGGGAATTAATGTGAGGTTAAATGTCAGTTCCCTGGTTCGAATAAGGAAATATTATTGCCCTTGGTCCAAAAAAAATTAATGCCCTTGGTTCAAATAAGAAAATATTAGATGTATCAGATGGTGTGACGTCACACTTTTGCAATATAAAAAAAGAACAATGTTAAAAAAAAATATGTTAGCCGTTGTTTCGCGTTTTAGAAAACTGTTTTAATAAATAATAATAGAAATTGATAAAAATAGTTTAGGTTCTGACAAGATTTTGGAAAAATATCGATGTTTTAAGAAAAATTCAATTACAATTTGAGGGTGATGTAGGCTTTAAGGGGGGGGGGGGGGGGGGGGGGGGGGGAGTCTGGCTTTTTGTGACGTTGTGTTACAGAGGGGAGAGGGAGTAAAAATCGTCCAAAAAAGCGTGACGTCATTTATGGATGCCCCCAGCCCCCCCCCCCCCCCCCCCCCCCCCCCCCCCATCTCCCTCTGTTTTCAGTCTTTAGTTAATGAGTCGGTGATATAATTAAATATATATAGGCCTAATTATGTCTTAGTATTTCTGAATATAATACATCACGTACCTAATAAGCAATCAACATCCACGCAAATTATACCAATTCCGCTTAATGTGTCATTACCGTGGTTGGTTTTATGTCATTGTAAAAACGTAACTCATCAAAGAGAGATAAGCGTATCATGCAGGTGACAGTTTAATTAATTGGATTGTTTACCTTTATATGTAGTCTTCAATTAATTAAGGCGGACCAGCATCAGATAAAAAGTCTATAAGGGTTGTTACATATGTTGCAATAACATCGTGCCAATGAAGAGTGAATGTGCATTTGTAAAGGCTGAGATTTGTTAAAAAAACAGATAACCTGGTAAAGCTGTATTTTTTTTATTTATGTGTTGTATATCCAAGTGGATTTATGAATGAATTATAGTTGTGATATTTAAAATCAGTACTATTTTTAAATTGTAGGCAGTCGATTCTTAGCTGATAATAAAGAGTTTTATATATATATATATATATATATATATATATATATATATATATATATATATATATATATATATATATATATATATATATATATATATATATAACTCTTTTTTATGTATGAACAATGTATTTGAAGTTAGATGGGAAGCTACCTATGAAATATTTAGAACAAAGTTCAACACAAAAGTTATCTCTTCATAGGTCGCTAAAAAATGAATAAAAAGAAAACATGAAATATAATTAGGAAATCATACATTTAACTTATTTTCAAAAATTCTTCTTTCACGTTGTTTTTTTTTTTGTTATAGTTTATTTCTTTAGATTTTTAAAATTAAAATATTACTAGTATGTTTTAAAATATGTTCAATATATTACTTGTATGTTCTAAAGTATGTTCTATGTATTACTAGTACATTCTAAGTTTGTTCTAAATACTACTAGTATGTTCTAAAGTATGTTCTATGTATTACTAGTATGTTCTAAAGTTTGTTCTGTGTATGACTAGTATGTTCCAAAGTGTCTTCCTAATTGCACAGGTCGTATGGAGGGCCACGAAACGGGTTGGGTGTGCAGTCACCCACTGCAATGGTTGGATGGAGAACCTGGTTGTCTGTGAATACGATCCACCGTAAGTAGAGACAGGTTCATTAGCACAACCGGTAACAGGAAAGATGCGCAAAGAAAAACTGTGCAACGGAAAACTGCGTATCGGTACACTTCGCACAAAAAATCGAACATTTTTAGACATTAACAAAGAATGAATACGTGTACATTGTAGCATAATAAATTTTATTGCTATAAAAATATGAAAAAATTAGTCTATTAGATTAATTAGTTTGTATTTACATCTTTTTCTGTTTGCAGAGTATTCCGTTGCGCAGTTTTCCGATTGCGCATTCTCGTGGGAACAAGCACTACCAATAATTAAAAATGTTTTGCATAAATTATGAAGAAATAACGCTGTTTACAAACTATGGAATCCTTCATGACTGTTCATTTTATTCTGCAGAAAATAAATTTAGTTTTCAGAATTTGATTTTTCTGAATATGAACTGTACCTACGGTTTATTACTTTAAATATTTGATATTTAGAATTTGTTTACCTTAATAAGATCAATGCATATTTATCAATAATTTAAATATTAAAAACAAATAGAATAGAATATTGGAATAACAAATAAATACGTTATTTGAGAATATATTTGAAAATACATTAAATGTATGTTCTTCTTCTAAAATATATTTCATAATGAAATGGTTTCTTTTTATTCAATGTTTAGTGGTAATTACGAAGGAGAACAACCTTATTAAACTGCCTCCGCTACGTCACAACAAGGTGTCGTCACATCACGGCTACGTCAGAACACGACGCCACGACAGCTTTTCTGTTTTTTTCTTTAAATTAAATATAATTTGACAACTTTACGGTTCTTAGTGTATCGTTTCTTTTCGATTTTTTCCATTGTAAACGTCACTGTTCCTAAAGCTTCCACCCCCTTTTTATTCTCTCGTAGACAGAAGTAATGATAAGGGAACGAGGAAAAGAGGGGAAGGGGGTGCGGATACATATTGTTAGTAAGTAACAGCCGTCCTAGGAGGGGTGTGGGGGGGGGGGGGGGTTTCCACACCTTCCCTTATATGCCGAGGTCATATGAACTCTACTTCATCTGCCCAATGAATCACTGGGTCTACATAGGATTCTTTACATTTTTTACAGACAATATATAGGCTAATTTAACCAGTATCCCCTCTTCCCAATTCAACCCCCCCCCCCCCTCGATGAAACACTGACTGATTCACTTGTTTATGTTTTCATTATGATGTATCTAGGATCTACTTGTGTAAGTTAAACAACTAATGTCATGATAGCGTCTACACCATGTAAGACACCATCACGTCTATGTAAGACACCATCACGTCTATGTAAGACACCATCACGTCTATGTAAGACACCATCACGTCTATGTAAGACACCATCACGTCTATGTAAGACACCATCACGTCTATGTAAGACACCATCACGTCTATGTAAGACACCATCACGTCTATGTAAGACACCATCACGTCTATGTAAGACACCATCACGTCTATGTAAGACACCATCACGTAGAGAGCTGGTTTTGAATTGACTAAAAAAACATTACAAAATCGTCACCTATTGCTTTGTTTTTTCGTTGTGAATGTGATTCACCTGCGCTATGAATCGCTTAGGCTACTTTTAAACCGTCACGTTACAAAACATCTTGGTTTAGTTTTCGTTTGACGGTATAGTAAAAAATTAATTTGGCAAGTGAGTTAGGTAGCCCACCGCAATAAAACGGTTAAAAGCGAATGTTAGGGTAAGGTTTGGGTTAGGCATCGCTATCTACAACCTATGATTTTCGAAATATCTGACTACGTATTTATCTGAATCAAACTCTAGTAAAACATACAATAAAAATCGATGTTAGCATGAAATGTATGTGAATGTAAAACCTTAATTGTTTGACCTGGATATAACAGAACAGAAACTCAAACAAGCAGAAGTTCGCCTTATGGGATCAAATTACATGCTGCCATCGACTGGACCTTCTAAATTAACATTCCTACAAAAAAAAGTCGGAATTTAAAAAATATTTAAAAATAAATAACTAAAATCAATATTGACATATTTACGTGTTTACTGTTCATTAGTAAACGCTAATGGGACATATTTATATTTCAGAACGTTTCTTTGGAACCGCAATGTGTTGAAAAACTGTATTACAGGTAGGCCTGTATTTGGATTTAACCCTTAATAACGTACTCAACAAGTATAAATGGTAACACTGCATATATATATATATATATATATATATATATATATATATATATATATATATATATATATATATATATATATATTCGTTTTTATGTGGTATGCTATAAATGTGCCAGTTAACCCGAACTTAAAAATAAACCGGGAGTAATCTCCGCTAACTTTCTCGAATATTCTTATATAACACTACGGTTGATGCAACTCGGGATATAGACTTGATTTTTAAGCCATTTTTTAAATTACTTAAACTTTTTAAAATAGAATAGAATCTCGTAGCAAACAAGACTTTCTCTATACTTCGTATATACGAGAAAGTAAAAAGAACGCCAAACAATCTATGTATAATAGTGTGAAATATTATTATTTTTTAAATTCACATGCGTTTTTTGAGAAATCGGAAATAGCGTAAATTAGTAGGCCTACTTCCCGTCAACGGAAATTACTCAAAATTTGACAGAAGGCGGTAGAGAATTAGATCTTTTACTTACATGTGAAATTTCATTTATCTATTTGAAACAGCAAACAAGTTATAGGCTTTTGAAAAATTAAAAGTAAAATAAGTGCCCCTTCCTGTTACCGGAAATCGCGGAAAAGTTGAAACAGAACTACAAATTTGATATAATACTTATACATGAAATTTCATCAACCTAGCTGAAAAGGTACTCAAGTTGTCGTGTTCACAGATACACATACACATACACATACACATACACATACACTACACGCACAGATTTACACACACATACACACAGACATACGGACATGATTGTAAAACTATGTTTTTCCGACTCAGGGAACTGTAAAACGTCGAGACTTGCAAAAATCTCCATTTTTTTTGCACGATTACAATACATTCTCTATAGGCCTACTATGTATACGTGAAAGTAAGAATAATAACATTTTTTGTTTCGATTTATTTCTTTGATCTTTTATCGCTTGCATACAGCTTTTGTTATAATTCGCCAGGAAAATTAACCGTGTGTTCTGTTTCTATGTTTAGGACTTCCGTCATGCGCTGTTGTCTTCCAATTGCCATTGCGTTACTTCCTCTCTTCGTCAGCGGTCAGCTGGTCAAATTAACTGATGACGTCAAAAACGCATTCATAAAAGCCCACAATGATGCGCGTGCGAAAGTCGGAGCCAAACCGTTGGTAGGTTGATTGGAGCCGGGTATGTCTTAACTCACTAGAATCACACATTGTCATGTCACAATACGTCACACATCGTCATGTCACAATACGTCACACATCGTCAAGTCACAATACGTCACACATCGTCATGTCACAATACGTCACACATCGTCAAGTCACAATACGTCACACATCGTCAAGTCACAATACGTCACACATCGTCATGTCACAATACGTCACACATCGTCAAGTCACAATACGTCACACATCGTCAAGTCACAATACGTCACACATCGTCAAGTCACAATACGTCACACATCGCCTTGTCACAATACGTCACACATTTGATATCATAACATATTCACACATCATGATGTTAAAACTCATTGAATTAACACGATGTTTTAACATTAGTATTATATTTACTTACTTACTGTGGAGTATAAGGCAACAACAAATCTCCGCCATTCCACCCTGTCCTGGGCGAGCCACTTTAGTTCATGCCAGGTTTTGCCAGTAGCCTGTACTTCTTCTTCCATCTCCCTCCTCCATGTTCCCAGTGGTCTTCCTCTACTTCTCTTTCCGGGTGGGTTCCACTTCAGCGCCATGTTGGGGAGTCTTTTTTTGCTCATGCATAGGACATGGCCCAGCCATCTCCATCTCCTCGTTCTAACTTCTGAGACAATGTCGTTTAATCCTGTCCTTCGCCATATTTCCTTGTTCGGGACTTTGTCGTCCCACTTTATCCTGAGGATGCGTTGGAGGGATCTTCTTTCAAAGCCTCTGAGTCGGCTGTCTACTTTCTTGTTTAGTTTCCATGACTCTGCAGCATAGAGGAGTACAGAACGTACATTAGACTTATAGATCCTTATTTTAGTTCTCTGCTGCAGTGAGGATGATTTCCAGATCTTAGCGAGTCTGTTAAAAGCTTGTGCTGCCATTGCTATTCTGGTGGCAATTTCTTTCTCCATGCTGCCATTTGCTGATATATAGCTGCCGAGGTACTTAAAGTCTTCGACCTCTTCTAGCTCTGCTCCATTCGCAAAGGTCTTGAGAGCACTTTTGGTTTTTATTTTCATTAGCTTGGTTTTTCCGGAGTTTATCTTTAGCCCAACGCTTTTGGCAATTTGCTCTATTCTTGTGGTTTTCGCTTGGATGTCTTTTTGGGCATGTGAAAGTAAAGCCAAGTCATCAGCAAAGTCACAGTCCTCTAGGTGGTTGGTAAGTTCCCAAACAATTCCTCTTGGCTTATCCTCAGTGGCTCTTCTCATAATCCAGTCTATTACCACCAAAAAGATGACAGGTGAGATGACACAGCCCTGTCTGACTCCTGTTTTTACCTTGAACCATTCACTTTGCTGATTTTCGTGTCGCACACAGCATTGGTTATCATAGTACATGTCCTTAAGTATGTTTATGACTTTTCCTGGAAAGCCATATAGCTCTAGTATCTTCCATAATGATGGATGGTGGATGCTATCAAATGCTTTCTCGAAATCTATGTAGTTGATGTAGAGAGACGAATTCCACTCCAGGGACTGTTCCACTATAGTGCGCAAGACAAATATTTGGTCGTTACATGACCTGTTGGCCCTGAAGCCAGCTTGTTCTTCACGAAGAATCCCATCAATTCCTTTCCTCATTCTTTGTAATAGGACTCTGCAGAAGACTTTCCCTGGTACTGACAGAAGATTAATGCCTCTCCAGTTCTCACAAACTTTAAGGTCGCCCTTTTTGGGTAATTTGATAATGATTCCCCGTTTCCAAGAATCTGGGACTTTTTCTTCATTCCATACTTTGTTGAAGATCCCTAATAGAGTTTCTGCACCTATTTTTGGGTCTGCCTTTAGCATCTCCGCAGTGATTCTGTCCTCTCCTGGAGCCCTATTGCTTTTTGTTTTTTGGATAGCTTCTATTATTTCTTGTTCTAGGATGGGTCCTCTATGCATTTCAAAATGTATGTTCATGTTAGTGAAGTCAGCAGTTTCTTCTGGGTCTGGTCTGTTTAGGGTCTCTTCGAAGTATTCAGCCCATCTTTTCAATTGATGTTTCTCCGTTGTAAGAACTTTCCCGTTTTTGTCCTTGATAGTAGATGATCTATTTGCTATTCCTCCTGTTAGAGTCCTGATAATCTTGTAGACTGTTCTGCTATCTCCCTTATCAGCTGCAGCCTGTGCTTCTGTGGCCATTGTGTCTACATAGTTCCTTTTATCCTTCCTAGCATTCCTTTTTACCTCTTTTTGCAGTCTTCTATATTCTACATCGTTCCGTACCCTGCTTTCCATGGTTCCAGATAGTGTTTTGATTTTGGCTTCTCTTCTCTTTTCAATGAGATTCCAAGTATCGTTTGAGATCCATTCCTTCCTTTGTTTGTTCCTGTGTCCTAGTATGCATTGGCTTGTTTTCGTGTATACATCCAGGATCTTCTCGCATTGAGTATTGGTGTCCTCTTCTGGTAGGTTCTCGAGTAGACTAAATCTATTTTTTAGTTCAATTGCGAAGTTTGCCTTAATGGTGGGATCTTTTAGTTTAGCTGAGTCAAATAGCTGGTGGTTTACTTTCCTGTCAACTCTCTTAAGCCTGAGTTGTAGTTTGCACAAGACTAGATTATGGTCGCTACCCACGTCAGCTCCTCTTATCGCCTTTACATCCCTCATGGATCTTCTCCACTTTTTATTTATAGCAATGTGATCGATTTGATTGCTGGTTCGCTTATCTGGGGATATCCAAGTGGATTTGTGCATTTCTTTGTGCTGAAATAAGCTGCCACCTATAACCAGACCATTTTCTAGGCAAATCTCTCTAAATCTTTGGCCGTTGTTATTTGCCTCTCCCAGCCCCTCCTTACCCATGCAGATCTCGTATCCTTCATTACTGGCCCCTATTTTTGCATTCATGTCTCCCATGACCACAAGAATGTCATGTTGTGGATTCCTGTCGATTTGATCTTGTATGGTGTGGTAGAACATGTCTTTGTCTTCATCCTTTGCTTGTTCTGTCGGGGCGTAGCACTGTATTACGGTAATCTTTACATGTCTTGAGTAGAATCTGGCTCTAAGCATGCGAGAATTGATTGGTTCCCACCCTATTAGGCTTTTCCTTGATATTTTATCCATGATAATACCAACTCCTTCCTGGTGTTGGTTATCAGATCTCCCAGAATAGATTATAGTTTCTCCTGATCCGAGTGTAGTCAGGCCTGAGTCTGTCCATCTCATTTCGCTGATACATACTCATTTCAACATGTTGATCCTGTATCTTGACATTTCCTTGAACACTTGAGCTGTTTTGCTAGTTTCGTACATGGTACGCACATTCCAAGCTCCTATTCGTGTAATAATTTTGGGGGCTACTAAGGACTGTTTCAGAGTAGAGACTTCCTTGCGGCTTTCATCTAGACTCGTCATATCAGGCAAAGCTGCCTTGGTCCTCGGTTGCTCTCCCATGATGGTTTGATTTAGATCTGTTGCCGTTTCTGTAGCGTTTTTGTTTTTACATGGTGGGTTGCTAGCCCAAACCCAAAACCCTTCTCCTTTCCCATTCTGGACTTGGGACCAGACAATGGCGGAGTTAGTATTATATTTACCCTATTATATTGTTTTATAAACGTAAAATAAAGTGAATATTGTACTAAAACAACTCAAGTTTAATAAAAAAAAAAGAAACTTAAATTCGTCGAAACTGTTAAATTAGGTCTTCTTACAAACTAATTAGGTACTTTTAGAGTTAAAAATACATTGTCAAAAAAGACAACATATATGTTGTTTTTTAAACAAGACAAAAATTTACATGCAAATATGTATTGAAACTGATGATTAATACTGTCCCTTCATGTGCGAAAGTCAAGGAAACAGGTAAACTCTAATTCACCTGTCCCGTGGACCTTAAGGCTTGAACGGGTACTTTACTGTCTTTTTTATAACAACCCACCTTACCACTAAACATCTTATAGTTACTTGTATATTCTTTGTGCCAAACTTAGACGTGGCACAAAAACGCCGAAGACTATGCCAAAAATCACATCGCGAAGTGTCTCTTTGAACACAGCTACACACCGTATGGAGAAAATATGTATGCATCATCAGGTGAGCCGACATACATACGTATATTTTCTAAAGTTTTTGAACCGATATACATAAGTATATTTTCTATAGTTTTTTTAACCGATATACACACGTATATTTTCTAAAGTTTTTGAACCGATATACATACGTTTATTTTCTAAAGTTTTCGAACCGATATACATACGTATATTTACTAAAGTTTTTTTGAACCGATATACATACGTATATTTTCTAAAGTTTTTTTTTTGCTACCAGAGGCGTAGCCAGAGGGGTGTGGGAGCAGGGCTGGCGCCCCACCCGCTCAAAACACAACTAAAATTTTAAGCACATTTTTAATTCATTTATTTCCACACATTTCAACATCCCAGGTACTCGCACTCCGTAACACACACACACACACATGCATTTATATTCAGAAAAACAAACCGGTCTATTTTTGAAAATATTTAAAACATCCTTTGCTCTATTTTATTGGCTGACACTTTTATTTTTATCATGTTAAACGTCTTTCTTTGTGAAACATTTTCGCCCTCTTCTGATAACCTGTTGTCTCTCTTACCAGAAAGTAGTATTTTCGTTTTACTTGCATAATAAATTTCAGTAGACTTCAAATTTTGATTAATTAAAATTTTACATTTACCCAGTACATATAAAGATATTTTTCCGATATATTGAAGAAGTTTACCTACATAAACACTGAACAATAAAAAAAAACTCAACAAAAACCATGTTTTACCTGTATTTCTATTAACCTGTAAAAACAATCATCTGTATAAGAGCCTAGCTATACGCCGGCTCATTTTAAGTTCACTCTGCTTCACCTAGGCAAACCTTCCAAACCCGCCTTAGACGCCGCCGCGGCAGTCAAGACCTGGGTGGACGAGAAGAAATTCTCCAACCCGCCCAGTTGGACGTGCATGAGAGACAAATGTGGTCATTACACTCAGGTAAGGGCAAATATGGTCATTACACTCAAGTAAGGGCAAATGTGGTCATTACACTCAGGTAAGGGCGTGTGGTCATTACACTCAGATCAAGGCAAATGTGGTCATTACACTCAAGTAAGGGCAAATGTGGTCATTACACTCAGGTAAGGGCAAATGTGGTCATTACACTCAGGTAAGGACGTGTGGTCATTACACTCAGTTAAGGCCAGTGTGGTCATTACACTCAAGTAAGGGCAAATGTGGTCATTACACTCAGGTAAGGGCAAATGTGGTCATTACACTCAGGTAAGGACGTGTGGTCATTACACTCAGTTAAGGCCAGTGTGGTCATTACACTCAAGTAAGGGCAAATGTGGTCATTACACTCAGGTAAGGGCATGTGGTCATAACACTCAGGTAAGGGCAAATGTGGTCATTACACTCAGGCAAGGGCGTGTGGTCATTACACTCAGGTAAGGGCGTGTGGTCATTACACTCAGGTAAGGGCGTCTGGTCATTACACTCAGGTAAGGGCGTGTGGTCATTTCATTCAGGTAAGGGCGTGTGGTACTTACACTCAGGTAAGGGCGTGTGGTCTTTACACTCAGGTAAGGGCGTGTGGTAATTACACTCAGGTAAGGGCGTGTGATCATTATACTCAGGTAAAGGCAAAGGTGGTCATTACACTCAGGTAAGGGCGTGTGGTAATTACACCCAGGTATGGGCGTGTGGTACTTACACTCAGGTAAGGGCGTGTGGTCATTACACTCAGGTAAGGGCGTGTGGTCATTACATTCAAGTAAGGGCAAAGGTGGTCATTACACTCAGGTAAGAGCGTGTGGTCATTACACTCAGGTAAGCGCGTGTGGTCATTACACTCAGGTAAGGGCGTGTAGTCATTACACTCAGGTAAGGGCACGTCGGCATTACATTCAGGTAAGGGCGTGTGGTCATTACACTCAGGTAAGGGCGTGTGGTCATTACACTCAGGTAAGGGAAGTGTCATTACATCCAGGTAAGGATTTGTAGTGTTACTCTTTGGTCATCACAATGGGACATTATCCCTGGTCTATTACCCCTCGGAAATTCACAGATAAATACAGAAAAGGATAGGTTAAGGATATATGAGGGATAGAGTTACGATTAGGGTTAAGGATTGGGGTTATGTGACAAACGTTCAAAAGACTCTTGCCTGATGGAGTTTTCCCCAAACGATTAAACATGATTTCAAGAAAACAGGACAAACTCCGATTCGTGAAAACGTGCGTCTATCGAGATAGAGATAAGGATAGGATTTAGGATAAGGTTAAGAAAAGGGCTAGGGGGGGAATGGAAACTGGATATAAAGATGGATATTGATTAGTATAGAAATACTAGGCATTCTTAAGATTTGGGATAATTAACCGGGGGGAGGGTATAGTTGTCTGAGAGGTTAGGTCCTACACCCCATGTCTATCACCTAAGTATCCGCTCCGGGTGTGCTCATTACTGATTACACATAGGTAGCCATTTCAGCCACAGATCTTGCTAGCACAAACACAGAAGGGTTTGTGAACGCAACTAGCAGATAAAAAGGTATACTAAAAATCCATTTGTTTTTATCTGTTTATCTCAAGATCTTCTTCAAAATTGTTGTTGGTAGGAAGTTGCAAGCATTTTAAATACACGTGAAGCGCCATGAATACATTTCTCGCGACTTCACCATATTGATTCGTTAACCACCTAACTCTAATCTGCACAGACGAAGTAGAGTTCATCTGGGTTTTTTCATACCTCGGCGTATAAAGAATAGTTAGGTCCTGCCGAATTTGCTTTCTCCATGTCAGGTTGGGTACTCATTAACGCTGGGTAGACTCAATGAATTTTTCAGACTAGAACGAAAAAAAACTGAGCTCACTTTTCTTTGGATATCAATCATGTGCTCAGCTACCAGACCACACTGTTCTATATATATATTAAAATTATAAATTGTTATAAAGAAACATACAACGTATAATATTTATTAAGATGACTGAATACCTTTTTTATGTACAGGTCATATGGAGGGGAACAAAATACCTTGGCTGCGCCATCAGTAGCTGTCCGGGCAAGCATAGTACCATGATCGCCTGTGAATACTACCCACCGTAAGTATACAACAAGTTCTGTGAATACTACCCACCGTAAGTATACAACAAGTTCTGTAAATACTACCCACCGTAAGTATTCAACAAGTTCTGTGAATACTACCCACCGTAAGTATTCAACAAGTTCTGTGAATACTACCCACCGTAAGTATTCAACAAGTTCTGTGAATACTACCCACCGTAAGTATACAACAAGTTCTGTGTATACTACCCACCGTAAGTATACAACAAGTTCTGTAAATACTACCCACCGTAAGTATTCAACAAGTTCTGTGAATACTACCCACCGTAAGTATACAACAAGTTCTGTGAATACTACCCACCGTAAGTATACAACAAGTTCTGTAAATACTACCCACCGTAAGTATTCAACAAGTTCTGTGAATACTACCCACCGTAAGTATACAACAAGTTCTGTAAATACTACCCACCGTAAGTATACAACAAGCTCTGTGAATACTACCCACCGTAAGTATACAACAAGTTCTGTGAATACTACCCACCGTAAGTATACAACAAGCTCTGTGAATACTACCCACCGTAAGTATACAACAAGTTCTGTGAATACTTCCCACCGTAAGTATACAAGTCCTGTGAATACTTCCCACCGTAAGTATACAAGTTCTGTGAATACTACCCACCGTAAGTATACAACACGTTCTGTGAATACTACCCACCGTAAGAATACAACAAGTTCTGTGAATACTACCCACCGTAAGCATACAAGTTCTGTGAATACTACCCACCGTAAGCATACAACAACTTCTGTGAATATTACCCACCGTAAGTATACAACAAGTTCTGTGAATACTACCCACCGTAAGTATACAACAAGTTCTGTGAATACTACCCACCGTAAGCATACACCAACTTCTGTGAATATTACCCACCGTAAGTATACAACAAGTTCTGTGAATACTACCCACCGTAAGTATACAACAAGTTCTGTAAATACTACCCGCCGTAAGCATACAACAAGTTCTGTGAATACTACCCACCGTAAGTATACAACAAGTTCTGTGAATACTACCCACCGTAAGTATACAACAAGTTCTGTGAATACTACCCACCGTAAGTATACAACAAGTTCTGTAAATACTACCCACTGTAAGTATATAACAAGTTCTGTGAATACTACCCACCGTAAGTATACAACAAGTTCTGTGAATACTACCCACCGTAAGTATACAACAAGTGAAAATAGACTTTTCCCTAGGTAGCATAGGACTGAAATTAGACTTCTCCCTAGGTAGCGTAGAGTCGAGTATATTGGGCCTACACCACCAGACATTAACAGATATCCCCTTCACTTCGATTCTTGATATTGTTTTTTTTTCTCCACATAACCAGATTCATTAAGTTTGTATGGTTAAATAATTTCTAACTAGTGTCGTGTTCCTGCTTTCTTATTAGCACGATTGAGTTTGCGCGTGTGTTTATGTGTTTGCGTGTGATGCGTGTGTTTGTATAGTGTGTGTATTTAAACAGTTAATGCTCATACTGTTGCTAATCACGTGTGACGTGGAACACATTGTATTTTTTGTTTGTTCCAGAGGTAACTACATTGGTAAAGCACCGTGAATGAGGTCACCCCGAGACACGCATAACATCCTGTGACTAATCACGTGACCTCCAGTATTTCTTCCAGACTTTTTTCTCCGGGGGAGGGGGGGGGACACTTGAAATTTTCAGGGGGGGACGGTCAACATTATTCGGGGGGGGGGGGGGGGGGAACACTAGTAAAAATGTATAATTACTATATAAAATCCATCTCGTTCGGAGGGGGGGGGGGGGCGTTAGACTCCCCCCCCCCCCCCCCCCCCCTCCGAAGAGATGCCTGGAGGAAACTCTGGTGACCTCCATTTCAGAAATCTTTCAAAATGTGATGTGTGAAAAATAAAAGTATTGATAGCAGCGTGTTATTTTAAATTTTAAGGTGTGTACAATGTGTTTAAATTGTGTGTAAAAATCTGCTACCAACGAATTTTGTTTTTTTACTCAGATCTACTTAAAAATGAAAGATTACACTAGGCTGTGTACTTAAGTGTAGGATAATTGATTTAGACCGAACTCAATAAGAACTTTAATTTTCTTTTAACATCTGACATACGCCAGATTTATTCATTATCTAACAAGCATTGAAGATTAAAAATAGCAGGTCAATTAAGAATACCATTATTCTGCTAAGTCTGTTGTAAACGACTTATTGACCAGGACATAATTACTCAGGAAGCCATCGAACAGCTTAACGTGTGGGTTGTCATTGATTCTACCTGATGTGCTTAACCTCATTTTGTTTAAGTCAATGGTCAAACGGAACTAATTTGTCTTATGCGAAAGAGTAAAAACTGTGCCAACTATACGAAAATTTTAAGTCGTTATGTAAATAAACCCTTTTCCATTACTTATAATAATACTATTGGATGCAAGTAAAATGCACGGCCTGTGTTGTTGTATACTTTAATGGTTCTAGAACCTATAGCGAAGACTGACGGACGGACGAAATTACTGATATACACTCCATTACTTATAATAAGACAATTCGATACAAGAAAATTCACGGCCTGTGTTGTTGTATACTTTTATGGTTCTAGAACCTATAGCAAAGACTGACTGGCGGACGTATATATATATATATATATATATATATATATATATATATATATATATATATATATATATATATATATATATATATATATATATATAATAGGCCTTTATCAATAAAGAAACAAATCCAATCAAGATATATATATATATATATATATATATATATATATATATATATATATATATATATATATATATATATATATATATATATATATATATATATATATATATATATATATATATTCATATATATGTGTGTGTATGTGTGTGTGTGTGTGAATGTATATATATATATATATATATATATATATATATATATATATATATATATATATATATATATATATATATATATATATATATACTTCCGAATTATATTATGAGAATATTGTTTATAGAACAAGAAGAATTCTCCATCTTATTTTTTTTTTGCGTTCGTGTCCAAGACACACAGGGCAGATGAAGTAGAGTTCATATGTTACAAAGACCACGTACAACAGGGGGATAATGTGGTCAGTACTACCCTCAGCCGACTTTGCTTCCCTAACGTGAGTCAGGTACCATTCAGAGCTGCGTGAACTCTAGTTGCATAATGGAGCCTATGATTCGAACTCATGACCCTCGGATTAGCATACGGGAGGTTTACCCACCCGACCACGCTATCCCCATATTACCTATTGACACTTAATTGGATAGATAAAGGATCGCTAGTTTCACAGGCATCAGCATATTATGAAGAATCCTCAGGTATAAAAACCCAGCGACTATATTTTCCCTAACTTAGGCTGGGTACCTACCAATACTGGATGGTCTTCGTGAAGTTCTAGGAATTAAGTTCTAGCCTGTTAGGAGCCATCATGTTATCAATAATCCATCGAACACTCTAAATATCCTTTTCATACAATTCACATAATTTTTCTCCGTCTTGTTATAACTGAGAGGCTAGCGTGAAGAAAATTATTGTACAAAATCTAAACAGGTATAAATCTACTTCAATTGGGACGACGTTGCATAGTGCTAGAGAGCGAGACTGCTAACCCAAAAGTCTCGAGTTCGAATCCTGGTTCTATGCAGTAGTTCATATGGTATATGGGTAAAACTACTCACACTTCATATGTAGTATGTGGCTGAAACCACATATACCTCAAGTAGCATGTGGTTGACATAACACATCAATTATAAACAAACACAATATATATATATATATATATATATATATATATATATATATATATATATATATATATATATATATATATATATATATATATAACGTTAACTCTGAGCTTTTTTAATCAGTTTTAAAATGTAATTGAAGATAGATGGGAAGCAACCTATGACATTTTTAGAACAAACTTTATCACAGTTATTTCTTCCTAGGCCTAACGATCTATATAAATTCTATCTAGGATGCCTTAAAGAAACTCTAGTAAAGCAATAAATAACAACCCAGCCGATCCAATCGTGTTCCATCTTGAAGACAGCCGATTAGACCCTGGTTACACTACAGGTCGTAGGGTCGGTGGTGAGGTATAGGGCTAGTAAGTAGGTCACCAACCAGTTATACGGATCAATAAAACCTGCATGAGCCGTAGAACTGTTTATTGACCTACTTACCAGCCCGATAAGCTCCATGTCAGAGCGCTTGTCATTAAACCATATGAGTAGATTTATCGAAAACCATATTGTCTAGGGCTCTTTAGTTAGCAGCTTTCATTAATAAACCCGTCCAAATAATGGGTCAAATTTTATGAACAAATTTCAAATCATCAACAAACAACTGAAACTACTTACTAAAATATGTATCCACCCCTCTCCCCTTCCCCTGTTCCCTTCTCATTACTTATGTCTACGAGAGAATACAAAGGGGGTGGAAGCTTTAGGGACAGTGACGTTTACAATGAAACAAATCTAAAAGAAACGATACACTAAGAACCGTAAAGTTGTCAAATTATATTTAATTTTTTTAAAAAAAGCCAAGCTGTCGTGACGTAGTGTTTTGACGTAGCTGTGATGTGACGACACCTTGTTGTGACGTAGCGGGGGCAGTTTAATAAGGTTGTTGACCTATGTAATTGCCACTAAAAATTAAATAAAAAGAAAACATTTCATTTTGAAATATATTTAAGAAGAAAAACACATTTAATGTATTTTTAAATATATTCTTCTTTAACGTATTTATTTGTTATTCTAATATTCTATTCTATTTGCTTTAAATATTTAAAATATTGAACAATTTTTGAACATTTTTGATTATTGTTTGTGCTAGTTCCCATAAAAATGCGCAATCGAAAAAATACGCAATCGAAAAACTGCGCAATCGAAAAAATACGCCATCAAAAAACTGCGCAGCTGAATACTGTGCATACAGGAAAAGGAGTAAATACAAATTAATTAATCTAATAGACTCTTCTTCTTCTTCTCCTTCGTTCTTAATTTTTAGTGTTGGAAGCGATCCCCTCCAACACAATTATGTATACATGTCAGGTTTCGACTCTGATTTCAGCCTATTTTCTTTTTTGGATTTGTCTAACCAAGAACAAACTACAAGGCAGCAGTTGTTTGATTTTGGAGTTGTCTCTCCTAGAAGAGTGGCTGTCCCCAACAAACGAGCCTCATCTGCCCGAGGGTTAAAACTCGAGACTTTTCGGTTTAGCAAACATGAGGTTTACTGACTCTACCACGATGACCCCTCTATGCCACAGTGTACACGTATTTATTCTTTGTTACTGTCTAAAAATGATTGCTTCTTTGTGCGCAGTATTCCGATGCGCAGTTTTCCGATGCGCATCTTTCCTGTTACCGGTTCTGTTAATGACCTGTCTCTACTTACGGTGGATCGTATTTACAGACAACCAGGTTCTCCATCCAACCATTGCAGTGGGTGACTGCACAGCCAACCCGTTTGGTGGCCCTCCATACAACCTATGTAACATAGAAAATATAGAACACATTTTAGAACATGCTTGTCATACAAAGAACACACTTTAGAACTAACTAGTCATACACAGAACACAATCTAGAACATACTTGATACAAAGAACATAATTTAGAACACACTAGATATATATAGAACACAGTTAACAAACGTACCAAATGCATCAAATACTCTTTAGTACATACTTAATACAAACAACACACTTTAGAACCTTTAAGTCAAGAATATAAGTTTAACAAGAGCATTTTTTATGTAAACCTTCTAGGTAAATGCAATTGTTAATATTTGCACGTATTTATAGCAATTATTGTAAATATTGTCCGTGACTTCTGCTGACTATAGCTCTCCAGAGTTCTCTGTCCTGCTGGAGAAAGAGGCCGCCAACTAAAGTTCTCCAGTTCTCTGTCCTGCTGGAGTATGGGCCGCCAACTACAGCTCTATGGAGTTCTCTGTCCTGCTGGAGTATGGGTCACCAACTACAGCTCTCCAGAGTTCTCTGTCCTGCTGGAGTATGGGCCGCCAACTACAGCTCTCCAGTTCTCTGTCCTACTGGAGTATGGGCCACAAACTACAGCTCTCCTGAGTTCTCTGTACTGCTGGAATATGGGCCACCAACTACAGCTCTCTAGAGTTCTCTGTCCTGCTGGAGTATGGGCCACCAACTACAGCTCTCTAGAGTTCTGTGTCCTGCTGGAGTATGGGCCACCAACTACAGTTCTCCAGAGTTCTCTGTCCTGCTGGAGTATGGGCCACCACCTACAGCTCTCCAGAGTTCTCTGTCCTGCTGGAGTATGGGCCACCAACTACAGCTCTCCAGAGTTCTCTGTCCTGCTGCAGTATGGGCCCCCAACTACAGCTGTCCTCCTGGAGTATGGGCCACCAGAGTTCTCTGTCCTGCTGGAGTATGGGCCACCAACTACAGTTCTCCAGTTCTCTGTCCTGCTGGAGTATGGGCCACCAACTACAGCTCTCCAGAGTTCTTTGTCCTGCTGGAGTATGGGCCACCAACTACAGCTGTCCTCCTGGAGTATGGGCCACCAGAGTTCTCTGTCCTTCTGGAGTATGGGCCACCAACTACAGTTCTCCAGTTCTCTGTCCTGCTGGAGTATGGGCCACCAACTACAGCTCTCCAGAGTTCTCTGCCCTGCTGGAGTATGGGCCACCAACTACAGCTCTCCAGAGTTCTCTGTCCTGATGGAGAAAGAGGCCGCCAACTAAAGTTCTCCAGTTCTCTGTCCTGCTGGAGTAAGGGCCCCCAACTACAGCTCTCCAGAGTTCTCTGTCCTGCTGGAGTATGGGCCACCAACTACAGCTCTCCAGAGTTCTCTGTCCTGCTGGAGTATGGGCCACCAACTACAGCTCTCCAGAGTTCTCTGTCCTGCTGGAGTATGGGCCACCAACTACAGCTGTCCTCCTGGAGTATGGGCCACCAGAGTTCTCTGTCCTGCTGGAGTATGGGCCACCAACTACAGTTCTCCAGTTCTCTGTCCTGCTGGAGTATGGGCCACCAACTACAGCTCTCCAGAGTTCTCTGCCCTGCTGGAGTATTGGCCACCAACTACAGCTCCCCAGAGTTCTCTGCCCTGCTGGAGTATTGGCCACCAACTACAGCTCTCCAGAGTTCTCTGTCCTGCTGGAAATGGGCCGCCAACTACAGCTGTCCTGCTGGAATATGGGCCGCCAACTACAGCTGTCCTGCTGGAGTATGGGCCACCAACTACAGCTCTCTAGAGTTCTCTGTCCTGATGGAGTATGGTTCCCCCCCCCCTTTCGACAACGACGTAGTTAAGACATGTATATCCAAAGTATCACCAAGTAATAAACAAATACTTATTGATGATGTATTTACTTATAAACTTATAATATTGCTTGAAACAGAGTTTCTTGCAAGCTATTCTAACTGTTCAGATGAAGCAATGGTATGCTTGTTTTATAGTGAAGCTGCTCTTAAGTAATTAGTCATAATTAAGAAAGCTTGTAACTAATCGGGATTCTTTTTCAACAATTTTGTGTTATGCTATACATTCAACTGCAATTTGTGCAATTCATTAAATAGTCCAACGACTCACGTCAAGAAAGTGAGCCTTAAATCAAGGACAAGCATTTGATGGAAGTATTTGATAAACGTGTATATTTGCAATGCTTAAAGTACTACTTCCGGTAACCGGCAACTACTCACAATTTCTCAGAAAACAAAGAATTAGGTCTTCTGATTATATGTGAAATTCTTTCTATATTTTTTAGCCCAATTGTGAGCCCCTTTACTGTTAAATAAGAATATTCGAGAAAGCTTGGGAAAGATCACTACCGCTTTTTTTTCTCTACTACGAATGACGTTCAAATATGCTTATCTTTTCCGACGACTACTGTTTATTTTCCTTTGGTTTTACTTCCACACCATAACTAATACGAACGCATACACTTACATCCAAGTGTACATATATAAACGTACATTTAAACGTATTCGTATAAGTAAACGATAACTGGTACTACACCCCCATCCTCACTCCCAACCACATCCACGTCCACACCCAAGCCAACACCCACACCTACAACATACACCTACATCTACACCTGCATCTGCAATTACATTTACACCGACACCGACGTCGACATCGACATCGACATTACATCTTCGCCTACGACTATGCCTACACCTACGTCTACATCTACATTTACTTCCACACCAACTACCCGCCCACACGCACACGTACAGGCACACGTACACGCACACGAACACGCACACGTTCACACACATTTCCACGCACCGGTACACGCACATGTAAACGCACACATCTGTGAAACTTTCAAGGACACGCAAGTAACTTTATCAAACAAATTAGTGTTCTAAAATATTGCATTACAGAAAATAACGATGACTAATTGCTGTCAACCTCGTCCTTTTAGCTTTATCGCATTTCTTTCGATTTTCCTGTAAAACATAATGCTATTGTAGGCTAACTAATCCATCGAGTACTGGAGTGAAATTTTTGTGTTTCACACTCAGTATTAAGAGCATTGCAAGAATAAATGTGATGTAGGAAAGCCAAAATTACTTTACCTATCTCTAGCTAAAACAAAGAAACATGGGGCAGATGAAGTAAAAGTTCAACTGGTTCGAGCAAACACTTCGTATGAAGGGATAGCGTAGTCAGCACAATGCCCAGCAGTATTTGTTTCCCTAAAGTGAGTTAGGTACTCATTAGAGTCGGTGGACTTGTGGACGTTCGACAGATATGAACCCGGATTCGTACTCGAGACTCTCGGGTTAGTAGTCTAGCACTCTACCGCTAAGCCAGGCCGTCCTACAATTATTTTTTTTAAATGCTCAGGACTTAAGAAAATACAAACTAGCTTTTTTTCTAGTAAAAACATTTTTTACACATGTTGGGGAATAATTCTTTTCAACTTTCATATATTATGAGACAGCGGGTCGAATGGTAGAGCATACGGCCTCTAACCCGAAAGTTCGAATCCAGGTTCAAATCTATAGAACGTCCCCGAGTCAAACAAGCTCTGATGGGTACCTGACTCTTGTTAAGGAAAGTAAGTACGGCTGGGCATAGAGCTGACCACATAATCTCTTCAAATGCCGAGGTATCTGAAGCAGTTGAACTCTACTTCATCTGCCCCGTGTGTCTTGGGCACGAACGGGAGTGATATCACAGGAATAGGTAAGCTCTACTTCATTAATTGCACCAGTGACTGTCAGATTAGAAAGAAAAACTTTACTTAGCTGACTTTAGTAATTTAATATAGCTTGCGATATAATGCAATCATCATTCACGATGATGGTAAAAACTAGACAAGTCCAAAAGCTGAAATGTAACAATTAGAAATTTATCACAGTTTAATTCTCCTTTCGGACATTATCATCGAAAGCAGTGTAGAGTTAATTGTTGTGGTTTTTTTTTTTACAACGAGATATGAAGTGATGATGTGGTCAGCACTATGCCCAGTCTCGATTTTTTTTACGTCAACCAGGTACCCATCAGAGCTGAGTGGACTCAGGGGCGTCCTAGAGAATCAAATCTGAGATCCGAACCCGAAATTTCAGGTTAGCAGTCGAGTGCTCTACTTACTTCAACCACGTCGTTACAATACATTAAGTACAGAATACACTCATACATTGAAAAATACACCTTATAAACGTCATATATATTGAGATAACTGTGTTTGACTTTGTTCTAAACATTCTATAGGTTGCTTCCCTTCTTTTTTCAAATGGATTTTTCACACGCATAAGAAACCATTTGGAAGCTTCGTGGACAGTGACGTTATACAATGGAACAAATCTAAAAACAAAACATACACTAGGAAACAGTAATGTTGTCAAATGGTATTTAATTTTTTTTTAAAAACATATAGAAAAGCTTTTGTGACGTAGTGTTGTGACGTAGCTGTGATGTGACACGTTGTTGTGACGTAGCGTGGTGGGCAGTTTAGTAAGGTTGCTGACCTATATAATTGCCGCTAAAAAGAAAAGAAAAAAGAAAACATTATTATAAAATATAGTTGAGTAGAAAAACATATATTTATTGAACTATAAACACTTTTCTTTCTCGTTATTACTTGCTATTCTAAATGTCTATTGTTTTTGTTGTTTTTTCTCTCTTTTTTTAATAAATAAAATATTGAACGATAGGCAAAAAGAGAGGAAATCAAATTCTGAATATCAAATATTTAAAATAGTAAACCCTAGACACACAGATCATATTCAGGAAAAACAAATTCTGAAAATCAAGTTTATGTTTTAAATAATACAATTAAAAGTCATGATGAATTTTCATAAATTATAAAATTCATTATTTCTTAATTAATTATGCAACACATTTATAAGATTAGTTGTGCTAATGGCCCTGTCTCTACTTACGGTGGATCGTATTCACAGACAACCAGGTTCTCCATCCAACCATTGCAGTGGGTGACTGCACAGCCAACCCGTTTGGTGGCCCTCCATACGACCTGTGCAAAATAGAACATAATAGTAATACATAGAACACACTTCAGAACATAGCAGACAAACATAGAACACACTTTAAAACATACTAGTCATACATAGAACACACTTTAGAGCATACTAGCCATACATAGAACAAACTTTAGAACATACTAGTCATACATAGAACACACTTTAGAGCATACTAGTCATACATAGAACAAACTTTAGAACATACTAGTCATACATAGAACACACTTTAGAGCATACTAGCCATACATAGAACAAACTTTAGAACATACTAGTCATACATAGAACACACTTTAGAGCATACTAGTCATACATAGAACAAACTTTAGAACATACTAGTCATACATAGAACACACTTTAGAGCATACTAGTCATACATAGAACAAACTTTAGAACATACTGGTCATACATAGAATAAACTTTAGAACATACTAGTCATACATAGAACAAACTTTAGAACATACTAGTCATACATAGAACAAACTTTAGAACATACTAGTCAAGCATAGAACATACTTTAGAACGAAAAAGAAATGCTTGTATTATGGGGTTTGTTAAGAATAATTAAAGTTAACTAAAAGCGCAGATTACGGACATCTTTCGACATTTGAAGGCAAATTCAGGGCATCTGCTGCTATACAGAAGACACTTAAGAAATTACTTTTAAATAAACCGGGAGTAATCTCCCTTAAACTTTCTCGAATATTCTTATATAACACTACGGGGGATGGCTACTCGGGATAGACATGATTTTTAACCTATTTTTAAAATACTTAAACTTTTTAAAATAGATAAGAATCTCGTAGAAAAAAGAATTGCGCACCAGGTGAACAACAAACAATATGTGTATAATAGTGCGAAATATTATTAGTATTTCATAAATTCATATGCGTTTTTTGAGAAATCGGAAATAGCGTAAATTACTACTTCCGGTCAACCAAAATTACTTAAAATTTGATAGAAGGTAGAGAATTAGATCTTTTACTTGTGAAATTTCATTAATCTATCTGAAACAGTACTTAAGTTACAGGCTTTTGAAAAACTAAATGTAGAATAAGTTCCACTTCCGATTATCGGAAATCGCTGAAACGTTGACACAGAACTACAAATTTGATATAGTACCTATATATGAAATTTCATCAACGTAGCTGTAACGGTACTAAACTTATCTTTTTCACAGACACACACACACACACACACACACACACACACACAAACACAGACATACGAACAAAATTGCAAAACTATGTTTTTCCGACTCAGGGAGGTGTAAAACATCGAGATCTGTGAATATCTCTTTTTTTTTTTTTTTTTGCACGATTACAATACTTCCTCTATAGGCCTACTTCGTATACGAGAAAGTAAAAATCGAAATTTGGACTTCAAGGAAATTTTCTTCGCTCATTGTGTATCTACATATGCTTTGTTTGCCTTTAGAGATGCATGTGTTACTTTAAATATTGCCGTCACCTACCTATTAACTGCCAAGCTTTGAACTTACTTGAGTGTAGTGGCCGCACGAGAGGTCAGCGAGACACGGCCAGGCAGGGTCAAGCGTGGTGGGTTCCTCATTGAGCCAGCCGGTCAGTGAGGCGAGGGCCAGGGCGGTGTTGTTGTGGTTGATAGCTGAGGGTAGGGGTTAGACACGTCATTGTAGGGGAGGGGTGGACGGGGGGGGGGTGTAAGATCGCATGTCGTTGGGTTCGATATTTTTGGATATGGTGGATATGTTATATTAGCGGTTACAGGTTATTGATAACATTGTTAATGCGGTTAGATATGACATGCTTTTGATGATATGTTAACAGAGGATAGATACTACGAACTTCTGGGGTAGATATGACGTCACTGAGGTTGCCATCGTGTCACTGGGGTATATCACTGAGGTAGCTATAATGTCACTGGGGTAGTTATAACGTCACTGAGGTAGCTATCACTGAGGAAACTATGTGTTACTGAGATAGCTGTTATGTCACTGAGATAGCTGTCATGAAACTGAGCAAAGTAAGTCTCCACGTGCATGCTGTAAGAATTGTACTCACGATAAGAAGCGTAAATATTTTCTCCGTGCGACATGGTGCTGTGTTGGAAGACGCACCTCATGGCGTGCAACCCCGCATCTCTAGCAAGAGCCGGACTCCATTTCTGATAAGTGAAAACACCCGTGGTGTACGTGATAGTATATACAAAAATTTGACTAAAAAAATAATCTTCAGCAGGGTTTCTTTCAGACTTTTTTCTCCGGGGGACTTTGGAGTTAAAAGAGCACCGGGTCGGCGTTGTCAAGTCGGTAAAGCTCATGGTTGCTAAACAGAAAAGCCTCGAGTTCGAACCCTCGGGCAGATGAGGCTCGTTAGCTGGGGACAGCTACTCCTCTAGGAGAGACAACTCCAAAATCAAACAACTGTTGACTTGTTGTTTGTTCTTGGTTGGACAAAGGCTATGGAAGCAAATCCAAAAAGAAAAGCAGGCTGAAGTCGGAGTCAATGGCCTCAATCGCGCATAACCAATTGACACGTATATTTAACTGTGTTGGAGGCGTGATCGATTCGGCAAAGCTCATGGGTGTAATTTCGAAAAAGTCTCGAGTTCAAATCCTCTGGCAGATAAGGCTCGATCCCTTCCAACACTAAAAATTAAGAACGAAGAAGAAGAAGATCTCAAGCAGAAAAATACGGCAGAACTACGGTTGGGCCTACGACCTGGTATTAGCAGTCTGCTACTAGTAAAACAAGTAAGGTCTGTGTGTGTGCAGGGTATTGTATGGTCGGTGTAACGCCCAGTTACTGACACTGTTCACTGGAAGTGTCACTAACCCATTACAGTTTTCTTTTTAAAACATGGATTCCACTCTAAAATGAAAAAAATAAATTCCATTCTAAAATTAAAAAATAAATTCCATTCTAAAATTAAAAATTAAATTCCTTTATAAAATTAAAACATCGATTCCAATCTAAAATTAAAACATGAATTCCATTCTAAAATAAAAACATAGATTCCATTCTAAAATAAAAACATGGATTCCATTCTAAAATACTTACTGAGTACTGTCAATAAAATTCCGAAACCTTCTCTTACCCCCCCCCCCTACAAAGGGCCCGACACAGTTTATGGGGTATCCCTAAGAAGACTTTCAGTTTTACGATTATGTACTCCACTATTTGACCATACCGTCAAAAAATTACTCGAGGCTATGATTCGTACAACCGTCTAAACTTGAGCAAAGATTTCAGACTAACGACTAGGTGTCTTCAGCAAGTCGTAAGTGTTGATTACACATCTCCTTACCAAGTAAGGTAAGTGTTGATTACACATGTCCTTACCAATGTAGGTAAGTGATGATTACATATCTCCTTACCAAGTCAGGTAAGTGTTGATTACACATGTCCTTACCAAGTCAGGCAAGTCGTGATTACACATGTCCTTACCAAGTCAGGTAAATGTTGATTACATATCTCCTTACCAAGTCAGGTAAATGTTGATTACATATCTCCTTACCAAGTTAGGTAAGTGTTGATTACATATCTCCTTACCAAGTCAGGTAAGTGTTGATTACATATCTCCTTACCAAGTCAGGTAAATGTTGATTACATATCTCCTTACCAAGTCAGGTAAGTGTTGATTACACATCTCCTTACCAAGTCAGGTAAGTGTTGATTACATATCTCCTTACCAAGTCCGGCACCTTAAGCTCTCGACGTGCCTTGTTGTGGTACTCAAGAAACGCTTGTCTGCCGGAGGGGCCCAAGTTGACTGGCATGGCGGCGTCTGAGAACTGGGTCAGTCCCACGATCAAAACAATCAACAACATCTGTATGCATTAAATATACAGACAAACAATGAACGTGGTGCTTTGTATTCTAGATCAACAATAGGAATAAAGAATTAAAAAATTGCATCTGGAATTGAGTTTTTGGATCGGTATTTCTAAATCTTCAAATATTTTTTTCAATGGGTAGATAACTGCAGAATTACAATTTATAATGCCCCTGTCCCTCTCTCGCTTCTCCCCCCCCCCCCCTCCTCCCGCTGTCCAACATCCAACAGTTAACCTACAACACCCAAATGCAGAAGCGTAGCGAAGGGGGGGGGGGCAGTGGGGTACATATGTCCCCGGGCGCCGACCTTAGGGGGCGCCAAAATGGGTTGGAAGAACACATTAAAATCTCATTTTAGGTGCAGTTTTGCATTATAAATATAAAAAAAAAATATGGGGGGGTGCAAATGGAAAGTTTGAGGAAGAGGGGGTGCAAATGGAAAGTTTGAGGAGGGGGGGGGTGCAAATCGATTGTTTGATGGGTGGTGCGAATTGAAAATTGAAGGTTTGTTCCCGAGGGAACGCCAAATTGAAAGTTTGTCCCCGGGCGCCGGGAAGGGTCGCTACGCCTCTGCCCAAATGAAAACGAACCAACAGCTCCAGAATGAAAATAAACCTATCACTCCAAGCTGTAAACAAACCTGGTCTTACCTACAGCTAAGTCTAATACACGCCTGTACATATAGGCTGTAATTAAACCTGCAATTAAGTCTAATATAAACATGTACCTACAGGCTGTAAGCATACCTGTAGCTAAGTCTTACACAAACCTGTAGCCGCAGGATGTAAACACACCTACAGCTAAAAAATTAAATGTCTTACACAAATTTGAAGCTAGATTATGTAAACAAACCTGTAGCTAAATCTTATACAAGTTCTGTACGAATTCTTACCTCTACGCTTGACACAACTCCACAGATCTAAAGAATCCAAGTTTAACAAAGACACTTGAGAAATATTGTCACCTTTCTGCAAATATTGGCACCTGTCTGCAACTGTCTCCTCAACCTCAGCTATGATCTCGCTACAAAATCTGGATCTGGCCCCCAACTCAGAAACCCCGGGCAGGTAACCTAACCGTAAACAGGATCTAATGACGGCTTCTAATTGCTTTTTCTTGTCTAATGACGTTGTCACCACCCCTGTGCCATGTCTGATCTGTTTTATTGACACTTAACACGTCGCCGTTTTGACTTAATGAGATCGTTGGCATAATGCTTACCACATTATCCTCTTATGGGCCGAGGTCAATGAAACAGATGAACTCTACTTCATCTGCCAGATGTGTCTTGGGCACAAACGGGAAAAAATGGATATGGATATAATAGTTGAATATAATTTTACATCAAGCTTTGATAACTTAAGGAGGCTAAAGAGAGGGTGGGGGTTACAGAAAACTCATGGTATTATGCAAATTTATGATTAATTCTAAGCCTAGTGACTTATTTTATCATGACGTGCAGACACGAGCAATAATTTATGGTTCCACCCCGTAACCCCCCCCCCCCCCCCCCTATTTCTATGGAATCATATGCCAGTAATTAACTACCAATTTATTTGAGTTCTTTTTTTTTGTCACAATCATATTGATATTAAGCGCGGATGAATGACTGGATTTTCTGGACAAGAAAAATATGTTTTGCATTGAACAAAAAATTAGAAAATAAGAACCATCATTTTATTCTGAATTTAAAATAAGAAACAATGTAAAAAGTCAATACATTGGTAGCATTCGGTAATTCACACAAAACATCTTTCAAACATTTATAAAAACTAGAAGTCATGTGACTTGTTACAGGATGTGATGCAGCGTGTCTGGATGACGTCATTTTGGCTTTTTTACAATTGACGCTGTCTCTGAAATAAAACACATATTCAAACACTGCCATATATACAATGCTACACGGGGTCAAGACACTACGAACAAAAAGTGTTTGTATGCACATTATACAAACACACAAACCCGCGCCAACGAGAAAACATAGTACACGCATAGCCAGCAATGTTTAATATTGTTTGGATTTGTATTGGTGTATGTGTGATATGTTATGACAACCACATACCACTACATATGAAGTGTGTAATTTTACCCATATATCCTATGTTATGATCAAGCAGAGACCTCGGCATATTAACTACTGTATTCAACCAGGATTCGAACTCGAGACTTTCGGGTTAGCAGTCTCGCTCTCTACCCGCTAGGCCACGCCGTACCACCGATGAATCAAATGAAGTAGATTTATACCTGTTTAGATTTTGTACAATAATTTTCTTCACGCTAGCCGCTCAGTTATAATAAGACGGAGAAAAAAAAATGTGTGAATTGTATGAAAAGGATATTTAGTATTTAGAGTGCTCGATGGATTATTGATAACATGATAGCTCTGAACAGGCTAGAACTTAATTCCTAGAACTTCATGAAGACCTACCAGCATTGGAAGGTACCCAGCCTAAGTTAGGGAAAATATAGTCGCTGGGTTTTTATACCTGACGATTCTTCATATCCTGAGGCCTGTGAGACAAGAGTAGTATATCAGGTCCCTTTTGCGCCGCAGGAGCAGGAGCAGGAGTCGGAGGGACAATGAGATATAGAAAAATACTCCGGAGGATGGGGATGGGGATGGGGAGGAGGAGCAGGTGGGTGAAGTGGGAGTAGGTGGGTGAAGAGGGAGCAGGAGTAGGAGTAAAGAATATATAGTAAAATACTCCACCACCTGGGTGAGGTGGGTGAGGAGGTGGATGTTAATTTTTATTTTATTTTATTTTATTTTTTTTATTTTTCATCATCTGTTAACTTTAAGGTTCTCTAACTCTATATATTTAAATACATTTTTTATTCAACCGAGTTAACTTTCCCTAACGTAAGTACATATAAAGGGTATTAATTAGTTTACATTTTTGCAGCTGGGTTTATTTTAACTGCTCCCCGTGCGCTCTTGTTTACATTTTAAAAGTCGTGTCGCGTGTCTTCCCTAATAGAGAAACGAGAGGAAAGACAACTGTTCTAAAATTAGAACAGCCTTGTTTACAGACACGAGTAACGTCCTTTGTGAAGAAAAAATTCTCGCCAGAATGCTTAACTAAACATTCAATTTCTTTAACAAGTTAAAAAATAATTTGACAACATTAAGACGCCTCCCTTTTTGTTTTCTGTGACGACAAGGCACAATACACTTTTGTATTTTATGTCTCAAGTAGAGGGGTGGGATACTTTTTTCTTTGTAAGCGTGTTGTAAACAAAGGGTAGAGGAGACATTTTGAAAACATACTGATGTTTAACTATGATTACAGACCTCAACCAAAAAAGTCAACCTCTCTACATGAGTTTAAAATGTCTACATTAAATTTCACCAAAATAATGACGTAAAAACTAAATATGATATGACGTTAGCTTACATATCATTCAATCAAATCACTCTAAAGTACAAATCAATTTTAAAAAATCAATAAAAATTAAAAAGTTAAAAATTAAACTAATTATAAAATTAAAATTTATAAAATTTAAAACAAATAAACAAACTCATTAAAAACAAACAAATAAAAAAATAAACAAACAAAATATAAACAAAATAATTAAATTAAAATTAAAGATAAAATCAAATTAATTAAAATCAAACTAATAAAAATCAAATTAATTAAAATCAAACTAATTAAAATCAAACTAATTAAAAACTCATTAAAAACAAACAAACTCATTAAAAACAAATAAACAAATTACGTAACTAGGTCACCGGTGGTGATTACGTAACTAGGTCATCGGTGGTGCATACGTCACAAGGTCACCCCTCACCTGACCTACTGACCTACTGACCTACTTCTCCTCCCCATCCCCCTGCTCCTGCGCCTCCCCCTCCCCACCCCATCCCCATCCTCCTCCGGAGTATTTTACTATATCTCATTGTCCCTCCGGCTCCTGCTCCTGCTCCTGTGGCTCAAAAGGGACCTGATATTCTACTGACAAGCGATCCTTTATCTATCCAATTAAGTGTCAAACACGTAATATGGGGATAGCATGGTCAGATGGGTAGAGCTTCCGTATACTAATCAGGGGGTCATGAGTTCGGATCCCAGGCTCGAGTCTGTAGCTGAGTCCACCGAGCTCTGATTGGTACCTGACTCATGTCATCTGCCCTGTGTATCTTGGACACGAACGAGAAAAAGAAATAATAAGATGGTAATTACAGCTTTATATCAGAGCAGATAATAAGCTTGTTTTATAAACAATATCCTCATTAGATAACTCGGAAAATATATATATATATATATATATATATATATATATATATATATATATATATATATATATATATATAGAATCAATCCCAACCCACACGTTAAGCTGTCCGATGACAACCTGAGTAATTATGTCCTGGTCAATAAGTTGTTTACAACAGACTCAGCAGAATAATGGTATTCTTAATTGATCTGCTATTTTAATGTTCACTATAATGTTGGATAATGGATAAATCAGGCGTATGTCATTAATGTTAAAAGAAAACTATAATTATTAATTTTCAAATCAATTATCTAAATCAATTATACCACACTAAAGTACACTACCCAATGTTGTTCTGTTAAGTAGAGCTGAGTAATAAAAAATTTGGATTACTTTTTACTTTCTCGTATATACGAAGTATAGAGAAAGTCTTGTAATCGTGCAAAAAAAATCGAGATTTTTACAAATCTCGACGTTTTACACCTCACTGATACGGAAAAATGTAATTTTGCAATCTTGTCTGTATGTCTGTGTGTCTGTCTGTGTGTCTGTCTGTGTGTCTGTCTGTCTGTCCGTGTGTAAACACGATAACTTGAGTACCGTTACAGCTAGGTTGATGAAATTTCATATATAATTATTTTATCAAAATCGTAGATCCGTATCAACTTTTGAGCGATTTCCGATAACCGGAAGTGGTACTTTTTCTACTTTGAATTTTTCAAAAGCCTATAACTTGAGTACTATTTCAGATAGATAAATGAAATTTCACATGTAATTAAAAGATCTAATTCTCTACCTTCTGTAAAATTTTGAGTAATTTCCGTTGACTGGAAGTAGTACTTTTCGCTACTTCCGATTTCTCAAAAAACTAATGTAAATTTTAAAAGTACTAATAATATTGCGCACTATTATGCGCTTTTTTATTTAGCGTTCACTTGGTGTGCAATTAATTTGTCTACGAGATTTTATTCTATTTTTAAAACTTTAAGTATTTAAAATGGATTAAAAATCATGTCTATAGCCCGAGTTCCCATCCCCTGTTATTTTATATAAGAATATTCGAGAAAGTTTAGGGGAGATCACTCCCGGTTTATTTTTTCACACAATTTACACACAATTTACAGACTTTAAAATTTAAAATAACACGCTGTTATCAATGAAAAACGTGGGGTGCCGAAGTAAAAATTATATTACTATTGATTAGATAATACTATTGACTTTTATTAGGGAGCTTGTAGAGAGTCAACAGTATTAGAAAACTGTAAGAAAATCACGGCGCCCCACATTTTTGATCGCTTATAGTAGAGTGATCGCTTGCATTATTGTGATGTATAACATTTATTTTCTACTTTTTAGTTCAATCAGAAAACGTGGGTTTTTTTTAAACTTTTTTAATGATTATTATTTTCTACTTTTTAGTCTTTGTCTGTTTGTTTGCATTAAAATCTTGCTATCGATTTTATCTTTTCACTTTTTTTTGGGTAAACGAAGACAACTCGTAAAAAGACAACTAGTAAAAAGACAACACGTAAAAAACACGTTATGTGAATACGTTACTGACTAGAACACATACATTTGAACCCGTGTCGAGTGGGATAGCAATCGTGTGTCCAACCACTCGACCATATCGTCTCCCCCATACTGGCCACCAGTTGTTACGGTTGTTTGTACACAGATTACAGTTACTGGGTTATGTCCCTTTTTCCCCACGTTTTTACTACAACGAGCCGACCCGCGGCGTATCATACGCCGCTTTTTAGTTGATTTATTTTCTACTTTCAGTAATTCATAATTTGTGAATTCGACAGTACCAATGCTGCCACTGAAAATATTTGCTTTAAAACACTAACCCCCCTCCTTTCCCCTAACCCCGACCCTACACCCCCCCCCCCGTGAAAGCAGCCTCCTCTTAGTTACCTCCTGTAAGTTTAAAGTCGGTTCAAACTTAATTATCTGCCCCTATAGGCCGTCACTAAACCTGGCTGTACGGTTTGTAAACATTAACGTGACCACAGCTCAGCAGACCATGTGGGGGTGGGGTAGGGTGGTAGTGAAAGTGATAGAGAGAAAGAGAGGGGACTGTAAGGAGGCGCTTGCAGCTTGTTTTCTAACGGCTCGCAGAGGAGAATTATATATATAGATTATATAGCGGTCTAAAATGCTCAATAAAATGTTTCCATGGATCATATTAGTAATAATAACAATTGAATATTCTATTGTCATCCAAAACAAAGCTTCCCTGAAAATTTCAGCGCGCTAGCTAACTGGGAAGTGCCAGAAATTTCGATCGCAAGATTTGATTGGAAAGACAGAGACGAAAGCAAGTTAAAGAAAACGTGGGGAAAAAAAAGTCTCGAGTTCAAACCCTCTGGCAGATAAGGCTCGATCCCTTCCAACACTAACAATTACGAACGAAGAAGAAGAAGAAGAACTCTATTTTATTTTCACACATCACATTTTGAAAGATTTCTGATATGGTGGTCACGTGACTGCATGTGATGTGTGTGTCTGGGTGACGTCATTCACGGTTCTTGACCAATGACGTTGCCTCTGGAACAAACAAAAAACACAATGTGTTTAAATTCCACCATATAAGGTCTACACGTTACACATAATTAAGCAACATTAGGAGCATAAACTGTTTTAATACACACACTATTCAAAACACACACATCGCACACACACACACATAAACATAAACACACGCGCAAACACAATCGTGCTAATAAGAAAACAGGCAACACAACACTAGTTAGAAATAATTTAACCATACAAACTTAATGAATCTGGTTATGTGGAGAAAAAAACAATATCAAGAATCAAGGTGAAGGGGGTATCAGTTACTGTCTGGTGGTGTAGGCCCAATATACTCGACTCTATGCTACCTAGGGAGAAGTCTAATTTCACTTGTTGTATACTTACGGTGGGTAGTATTCACAGAACTTGTATACTTACAGTGGGTAGTATTCACAGAACTTGTATACTTACAGTGGGTAGTATTCACAGAACTTGTATACTTACAGTGGGTAGTATTCACAGAACTTGTTGTATACTTACGGTAGGTAGTATTCACAGAACTTGTTGTATACTTACGGTGGGTAGTATTCACAGAACTTGTATACTTACAGTGGGTAGTATTCACAGAACTTGTTGTATACTTACGGTAGGTAGTATTCACAGAACTTGTTGTATACTTACGGTGGGTAGTATTTACAGAATTTGTTGTATACTTACGGTGGGTAGTATACACAGAACTTGTTGTATACTTACGGTGGGTAGTATTTACAGAACTTGTATACTTACGGTGGGTAGTATACACAGAACTTGTTGTATACTAACGGTGGGTAGTATTTACAGAACTTGTTGTATACTTACGGTGGGTAGTATTTACAGAACTTGTTGTATACTTACGGTGTGTAGTATTACAGAACTTGTTGTATACTTACGGTGGGTAGTATTCACAGAACTTGTATACTTACGGTGGGAAGTATTCACAGAACTTGTTGTATACTTACGATGGGTAGTATTCACAGAACTTGTTGTATACTTACGGTGGGTAGTATTCACAGAACTTGTTGTATACTTACGGTGGGTAGTATTCACAGAACTTGTTGTATACTTACGGTGGGTAGTATTCACAGAACTTGTTGTATACTTACGGTGGGTAGTATTCACAGAACTTGTTGTATACTTACGGTGGGTAGTATTTACAGAACTTGTTGTATACTTACGGTGGGTAGTATTCACAGTACTTGTTGTATACTTACGGTGGGTAGTATTCACAGAACTTGTTGTATACTTACGGTAGGTAGTATTTACAGAACTTGTTGTATACTTACGGTGGGTAGAATTCACAGAACTTGTTGTATACTTACGGTGGGTAGTATTTACAGAACTTGTTGTATACTTACGGTGGGTAGTATTCACAGAACTTGTTGTATACTTACGGTGGGTAGTATTCACAGGCGATCATGGTACGATGCTTGCCCTTACAGCTACTGATGGCGCAGCCAACGTATTTTGTTTTCTTCCATATGACCTATACATAAAGTAGATATTCAGTCATCTTAATAAACAATTATACGTTGCGTTTATCTTTGGTTTAATTACCTTCATATCTCAAGAATGCCAAGTATTTCTGTACTAATCCATATCCCTCTTTATATCCAGCTTCCTAGCGACCTCTAGCCATATTCTTAACCTTGTCCTAAATCCTATCCTGATCCCTATCTCTATAGACGTAATTTTTACGAATCGGAGTTTGTCCTGTTTTCTCGAAATCATGTTTGATCGTTTGGGAAAAACTCCTTCGGGCAAGAGTCTTTTGAACGTTTGTCACATAAACCCCAATCCTTAACCCTAATTGTAACGCCATCCCTCATATAACCTTAACCTATACTTTTCTGTATTTATCTCTGAATTTCCGAGGGGTAATAGACCAGGGATAATGTCCCATTGCTTTATGGGGCGGTGTTGAAAGACGTCTAGGTTATTGACCGGTGGTGTAAAGAGCATTGAGGGGTAATACCCCAAGACACGCCCAAACCTGGGTGTAATGACGATGGAGGGGTGATGCCCAAGGGTAACACTACAAATCCTTACCCAGGTGTAATGACCACACTTCCATTAACTGCGTGTAATGACCACACGCCCTTACCTGAGTGTATTGACCACACATTCCCTTACCTGGGTGTAATGACCATGCGCCCTTACCTGAGTGTAATGACCACACATTCCCTTACCTGGGTGTATAGACCACAAGCCCTTACCTGAGTGTAATGACCACACATTCCCTTACCTCCATTCTCTGAGTGTAATGACCACACGCCCTTACCTGAGTGTAATGACCACACGCCCTTACCTGAGTGTAATGACCACACGCCCTTACCTGAGTGTAATGACCACACGCCCTTACCTGAGTGTAATGACCACACGCCCTTACCTGAGTGTAATGACCACACGCCCTTACCTGAGTGTAATGACCACACATTCCCTCACCTGGGTGTAATGACCACATTTGTCTCTCATGCACTTCCATTTGGGCGGGTCGGCGAATTTCTTCTCGTCCACCCAGCCCTTGACTGCCGCGGCTGCGTCACTTAAGAGGTTGCCGGGTTTGGCTAGGTGAAGCAGAGTGAACTTAAAATGAGCCGGTGTATAGCTAGGCTCTGATACAGATGACTGTTTTACAGGTGAATTGAAATACAGGTAAAACATGGTTTTGGTTTTGAAATACAGGTAAAACATGGTTTTTGTTTTGAAATACAGGTAAAACATTGTTTTTTGTTTTGAAATACTAGTAAAACATGGTTTTTGTTGAGTTTTTTTTTTTTATTTGTTCAGTGTTTATTTAGGTAAATTTCTTCAATATATCGGAAAAATATCTTTATTTGTGCTGGGTAAATGTAAAATTTTAATCAATCAAAATTTGAAGACTACTGAAATTTATTTTGCAACTAAAACGAAAATTTTACTTTCTGGCAAGAGAGACAACAGGTTATCAGAAGAGGGCGAAAATGTTTCACAAAGAAAGACGTTTAGCATGATAAAAATAAAAGTGTTGAGTCAGCCAATAAAATAGAGCAAAGGATGTTTTAAATATTTTCAAAAATAGACCGGTTTGTTTTTCTGAATATAAATGTATGCGTGTGTGTTTCTGAATATAAATGCATGTGTGTGTGTGTGTGTTTTACGCAGTGCGAGTACCTGGGTTGTTGAAATGTGTAGAAATAAATAAATAAAAATTTGCTTTAATATTAATAGTGTTATAGAGCGGGTGGGGCGCCCTGCTCCCCTCCTGGCTATGCCTCTGGTAGCAAAAAATAATATTTAAAAATATACGTATGTATATCGGTTCAAAAGCCTTTAGAAAATCTACGTATGTATATCGGTTCAAAAACTTTACAAAATATTCGTATGTATATGGGTTCAAAAACTTAAGAAAATATACGCATGTATATCGGCTCAAAAAACTTTAGAAAATATACATATGTATATCGGCTCAAAAAACTTTAGAAAATATACATATGTATGTCCGCTCACCTGATGATGCATACATATTTTCTCCGTACTTTGTTTTGCTGTGTTCGAAGAGACACTTGGCGATGTGATTTTTGGCATAGTCTTCGGCGTTTTTGTGCCATTTCTAAGTTTGGCACAAAGAATATACAAGTAACTATAAGATGTTTAGTGGTAAGGTGGGTTGTTATAAAAAGAAAGTAAAGTACCCGTTCAAGCCTTAAGGTCCATGGGACAGGTGAATTAGAGTTTACCTGTTTCATTGACCTTCGCATATGAAGGGATTGTATTAATATTCTGTTTCAATACATATTTGTATGTAACTTTTGTCTTGTTTAAAAAACAACATATTATTAATATACGTTGACTTTTTTGACAATGTATTTTTAACACTAAAAGTACCTAATTAGTTTGTGATAAGACCTAATTTAACGGTTTTGACGAATTTTAGTTTTTTATTATTTAACTTTAGTTATTTTAGTACACTATTCAATTTATTTTACGTTTGTAAAATAGTATAAGTTAAAATATAATACTAATGTTAGAGTATCGTGTTAATTAAATGTGTTTTAACATCATGATGTGTGAATATGTTATGATATCAAATGTGTGTCGTATTATGGCAATGTGTGACGTAGTATGACATGACAATGTGTGACGTATTGCGGCATGGCGATGTGTGACGTATTGTGACATGACAATGTGTGACGTAGTATGACATGACAATGTGTGACGTAGTATGACATGACAATGTGTGACGTAGTATGACATGACAATGTGTGACGTATTGTGACATGACAATGTGTGACGTATTGTGACATGACGATGCATGACGTATTGTAACATGGCGATGTGTGACGTATTGTGACATGATGATGTGTGACGTATTGTGACATGACAATGTGTGATTCTAGTGAGTTAAGACGACCAGGCTCCATTCAACCTACCAACGGTTTGGCTCCGGCTTTAGCACGCGCATCATTGTGGGCTTTTACGAATGCGTTTTTGACGTCATCAGTTAATTTGAGCAGCTCAGCACTGACGTAGAGGGGAAGTAAGGCTAAGGCAATCGGAAGATAACAACGCATGATGGAAGGCCTAGAAATAGAAAAAGAACACATGGTTAATCTTCCTGGTGAAATATAACTAAAGCTGTAGGCAAGCCATATGTAAGTCACTGTTATATTTACTTTGGGGATCTCTCTGTTAAATGATACGATAATTTATTGGAGGTCACATTTTTCAAGTGGTCTAATGGTAGAGCTAAGCTTTACGAGCCGGGCCGGGCCGACGGAAATATTGTTCTGGCCACTTCATATTATTCAAAACACACATTTTGGTTGGAGCCTGCTTCTGACAACAGTAAACAGTAACGATGAATCGATATAAGATCTAATAATAGATCTAATAAATAAATAATAAATCGAAACGAAAAATGGTATTATTTTTTAATTCGGGTTAACTGGCACATTTATAGTAGACAACTTAAAAACGTATATATATATATATATATATATATATATATATATATGCAATGTTACATTCATACTTATTGAATACGTTACTAGGTTTAAATCCACAAATAGGCCTACCTGTAATACAGTTTTTCACTACACTGCTATCCCAAAGAAACGTTCATAAATATAAAGTTGTCCCATTAGCGTTTACCAATGAACAGTAAACACGTAAATATGTCAATATTGATTTTAGTTTTTTTTTTTTTTTTAATTCCGACATCTTTTTCTCAAGTCAATGTCAGCATGTAATTTGATTGTTTGAGTTTCTGTTCATGTGCTATAAACCACTTATATCCAGGTCAACCAATTAAGGTTTTTAATTCACATACATTTCATGCTAACATCGATTTTTATAGTATGTTTAACAAGAGTCGGAATCAGATAAATATGTAGTCAGATATTTCGAAAATCGTAGGTTGTAGATAAAGATGCCTAACCCAAACCTTACCCTAACATTCGCACTAAACAGTTTTATTGCTGTGGGTTACCTCTGACACTTGCCAGATTAATTTTTTCCTATAAAACCAAACCAAGATGTTTTGTAACGTGACGGTTTAAAAGTAGCCCAAGCGATTCATTGAACTTGCTAGATCTGTTGCATTGTGTGCAGGCAAATCTCAACTAAAAAACAAAAACAATAGGCGACTTTTTTTTTCTCGTCAATTCAAAACCATCGCTCTACCCCGCTTGATCGTGTCTTACATGGTGTGGATGCTGTTTAACATACACAAGTAGATCCTAGATTCATCATAATGAAAACATAAACAAGTGAATCAGTGTTTCATAGAGAGGTAGGGGGTCTAGTGGGGGTGGGGGTAAATTTGGAAGTGGGGGGGGGGGGGCTTAAAGTAGTCCTCTTTAGACCTAGCAATCCTTATACACTTGTAAGCATGAGTATGCGCGTGTTTATGTATCTAAATATGTTTTTGAAGCTACGCATATTTGGGCTGAACTTCATCCTCTTTTTTTTAATGTATAGGAAAATGAGTAACATAGCGACCAGAGCTTAATGACGTTTTTTTCTATATTTATTTTTCTACTTTTTGCATTGGTGTCATCCCAGTAAATGGCGTCACCCGATGCGGCCCACACCCCTCGCCCCCCCCCTCGCTACGCTACTGCCTACCACACACACACACACACACACACTGAACTTTGCTAATTACACCCCCTCCCCCATGGTCAGTCACGTAGTTTACAGCCGACACATATGACACATGTGGTAATAAAACTAAATACTTAAACAAGGATGTTGTTTGAAGCAGGTGACATGTTTAATTAGCGCTTGATTAAAACACAACAGATGCAAGCTATTTAGTTTTGGACGGCGTGGCATAGCGGTAGAGCACTAGACTGCTAAGCCGAAAGTCTCGAGTTCGAATCCCGGTCCAAGTCAGTAGAGCTTTCCTGAGTCCACCCAGCTCTGAAGGGTACCTAACACACGTTACGGGAAGTAAAAGCGGCTGGGCATAGTGCTGACCACACTATCCTTTCATAGGCCGAGGTCACTGTAACAAATGAACTCTACTTCATATGACCCACGGACAGCTATGTTCGCAAAGGGTAAATAGGGGGTCATCCATAAATGACGTTACGCTTTTTTTTTACGATTTTTACCTCCCCCTCCCCTCCGTCACACGTCGTCACAAAAATGCAGGCCCCCCCCCCTAAAATGACGTCACACCTCAGCCTACAACCCTCTTTCCCCCCCCCCCCTCAAAATTGCAGTTGATTTTTTTTTTTAAACATGGATATTTTTCTAAAATCTTGTTTGAACTCTGTCAAAATAGAGTATTTTAATCAATTCCCAAAATTACGGTCCCCCCTCCCCCTACGAGTGAGACATCATTTATGGACGACCCCTTGGAAACTGTTAATTAAAATTTTATGTTCATGTTACCTTCAGTTTTATTCTACAGCGGTGTCCTACGTGACGATTAGTTGCTGTTAGGGTTTTTGATAACTCACCCTTAATCAGAGGTGTAACGACCCTTCCCGGCGCCCGGGAACAAGGTTTCGATTTGCACCCCCCCCCCCTCAAACTTTCGATTTGCACCCCCCCCCTCGAACTTTTGATTTACACACCCCCCTCAAACTTTCAATTTGTTTTTCCAACCCATTTTGGCGCACCCCTAAGGACATATGCCCCCCCCCCCCCTCGCTACGCCTCTGCTCTTAATCTCAGCCCTAACCGTTACCAAGACATTATTTGAAACTTTGACAACGATAATCAGCGATTCAGGCTGTAGCCCGTTTTTCGAGGCAAATGGATTTGAGTGTATTTGAAAAATGAAGACAAGATTTCGGTTTGATATTAAACGCAGTCCATTACTATTTTTTTACCGTTAATTGGTTAACTTTAAATATTAAAAATGAACCTTATGAAACATAGATACAATGATGGTTGGTTTTACTTTTAACTGACACCATTTACTAAAAAATTACCGTTACAAACATTATTATCAAGGGCATAATCTATCTATATATATAATTCGCTAGAAAATAAGCTGTAAACGCGCTCCCTACCACCCCCACCCCTACATGGTCTTAGTGAGCTGTGGTTCGCGCTATGTTTACCTTCGTGGAGTCGGGTTTAGTGACGGCTATTAGGGGCAGATAATTTAGTTTGAAACGATTTTAAACGTTGGGGGGGGGGGGGAGAAAAGGGGGGGGGTATGGTTCTTAACGAGCTACTTATAGTGTTTTAAAGAAATATTTTCAGTGTCAGCGTTGATACTGTCGAATTCACAAATTATGAATTACTGAAAAGTAGAAAAAACAACTTCTAAATAGCGGCGTATGTTATGCCGCGGGCCGGCTCGTACATATAATTCTCTTCATGGGGACTATGCGAGACACCACGTAAACGCACGCCGTTACTCCATCCTCTCTAGGCATATAGCTACCACCCCCACCCTCACTAGTCAGTCTGGTGAGCTGTGTTTCACGTCGGATATTTACAATCGCTATTAGGGGCTGATAATTTAGTTTTTTTTTAACGATTTGAAACTAAGGGGAGGTAATAACACATTCTGCTTGATCTTTTCATTGTCGTCAGTAAACTGTCGTCAAAGACGGCTACTTTCAAGGGGCGGAGGAGGGGAGAGGGGAGTGGTTAGGGGAGGGGCGGGGGGGGTGAGGGTGAGCATAATCGTCCTTCTCCAGCTACTGACAGTGTTTTAAAGCAAAATATTTTCAGTCGAATTCACAGATTATAAATTGCTGAAAAGTAGAAAATAAAACAACTAAATAGCGGCGTATGCTTACGGCGCGGGTCAGCTCGTAGTTAATAATAGTCTTGTGCTTGTCTCAAATAACCCATGTTAAACAAAACTAGCCGAACTCCTTCAAAATTGTTACACCCCCTTCCCTTTTTGTGTAATTTTTTTAGTCTGAAGTTAGTCCATGGGGATTGATGAATTACAATTCCCCCGTTTCTGTGACCTAAGCATATGAAAGGATAGTGTTACCGGCATTATTCCCATCCGCCTTTAAAAAGTTAAAGTTCCCTTTCAAACCTGACGGTCTATAGGGTAACTGAAGTAGAGATAGTGTGGTCATCACTATGCCCAGCCGCCTTTACTTTCCCTAACGTGAGTTAGGTACCCATCAGAGTTGGGTGGACTCAGGGACGGTCTACTGCCTTGAACCCGGATTCGAACTCGAGACTTACGGGTTAGCAGTCCAGCTCTATACCGCTAGATCACTCCGTCCCCCTCATCCGCCTTTACTTTCCTTTAATTACGCTGGGTACGTCATACAGCTGGGTAGACTCTGGGACGTAGTACGTAAACCCAATGTTCTCTTTCTTTTTAGCGCAATTTCCATTCTGGAGAATTGCGTTTATTAACCCGTCATTTCTGGATGTATGAATGAATGGATGGATGGATGGATGGATGGATGTGTGTCCGCAGCTTTAAGTCGCATCTCCTCCTCAACGAAGCAATATCGATGACTAGTTCCAAAAGCAATTATGTTAAGCAAGTTACGAGGATGAACATAGGCTATAAAAATTCCGGGTTTCTTTCATGGATTTCCCGGAAAAGCCAAAAAACCTCGAAAAAAAGCAGTTTTTTGCCCATATCTCGGCAACCAGACCACTTAGCGACTTGAAACATGTACCAATCGATTCCTGCCATAATTTAGAACAATATTGCCGAAGAAAGTTTTCAAAAATATCCTTTCGTTCGGTCACAAAAATTTTTTTGAATTAATTAAAATTTGGACCGAATTAGTAGGCATTTTTTCCAACCACACCACACGCGTCATCACGTTCAATAGCTGCACCATCACGTTCTATGGCTTCGTCATCACGTTCAGTAGCTAGGCGCGCAATGGTTTTTAGTCATGTAACTCTATTGTAAATAAAACATGTAAAATACTGAAATTTTTTTTTAATAAAAAACGTTTTAATAACTAACCAATGGTTTTACTAACCCTGCTCTTGATTTACGCTACGACAGAGCTATTTTTAAATAACATAAGGAAATTGCGCTAAAATTGTCACTAGACTTTTTAATTAACTTGTTTTAATATAAATTGTATTGGTTACAGATTTTTACACGCAATTTACACACACGTTACACACCTTATTATTCTGTGTTTTTAAATTTAAAATTACACGCTGCTATCAATAATTTAGTTTTATTTTCACACATCACATTTTGAAAGATTTCTTAAATGGAGGTCACGTGACTCGTTGCAGCATGGGATGTGTGTGTCGGGGTGACGTCATCTAAGGTTGTCTACCAATGACGTTGCCTCTGAAACAAAATACCATGGTATAAGGCATAAGGCATAAGGGCAAGCAACATTAAAAGCATAAACTGTTTTAATACACAATATACACAAACGTGTTTCTTTCAGATATTTTTCTCGGAGGTGGGGAGCATTTAAAACATTTGTGGGGAAGGTCTAGAATTTAGGGAGAGTGCGGACACCGGTGAAAGCATTTGTTTTGGCTGTAGACTTATCTAGGGAGGGGGGGGTCAGTACCTTCTGAAGAGTCGCCTGGAAGAAATTCTCACACATATAAATACGGCCAGACACATACACACGCACACACACACACACATACACCCACAAACATGCTAGTAAGAAAGCAGGCAACACAAGCAATTACTTAGCAGACTAACTTAACGAATTTGGCTCTGTGTGTGTGTGGGGGGGGGGGGGGGAATCAAGAATCGAAGTGAAGGGAATATCGATCACTGTCTGGTTGTGTAGTACTCGACTCTGATACCTAGGTAAAAGTCTCATTTCAGTCGTATTTTACATAGCGAGAAGTCTCATTTCAGTCGTATTTTACATAGCGAGAAGTCTCATTTCAGTCGTATTTTACATAGCGAGAAGTCTTTCCAGCACTACGCTACAGAGGCGTAGCGAAGGGGGGGGTGCGGACCGCACCGGGTGACACCATTTAGGGGGGGGGGGTGACACCAAGGCAAAAAATAGTAAAATATATAGAGAAAAACTTGAGGGGGGTGCACATAGAAAATTTGAGGGGAGGGGGTGCAAATCGAAAATTTGACAGTTTGTCCCCGGGAAGGGTCGCTACGCCTCTATGGTGACACCCGACCTCGCTACGCCGCTGCTACGCTACCAAGGTAAAAGTCTAGTTTCAGTCCTATTTTACATAGCGAGAAGTCTAATTTCAGTCCTACACTATCTAGGCAAAATTTGGCCTTGGTCGTATACTATTTAGAATGAAACGTGATCCGAACCGTATTCTACATAATAAGCGTGAAATAATTGATCTCTTTTAGAACTTGTTGTATACTTACGTCTAGTATTCACAGAACTTGTTGTATACTTAAGGTGCGTAGTATTCACATAACTTGTTGTATACTTACGGGGGGTAGTATTCACAGAACTTGTTGTATACTTACGGTGGGTAGTATTCACAGAACTTGTTGTATACTTACGGTGGGTAGTATTTACAGAACTTGTTGTATACTTTCGGTGGGTAGTATTCAAAGAACTTGTTGTATACTTAAGGTGCGTAGTATTCACATAACTTGTTGTATACTTACGGTGGGTAGTATTCACAGAACTTGTTGTATACTTACGGTGGGTAGTATTTACAGAACTTGTTGTATACTTACGGTGGGTAGTATTCACAGAACTTGTAGTATACTTACGGTGGGTAGTATTCACAGAACGTGTTGTATACTTACGGTGGGTAGTATTCACAGAACTTGTTGTATACTTACGGTGGGTAGTATTCACAGAACTTGTAGTATACTTACGGTGGGAAGTATTCACAGAACTTGTAGTATACTTACGGTGGGTAGTATTCACAGAACTTGTTGTATACTTACGGTGGGTAGTATTGACGGAACTTGTTGTATACTTATGGTGGGTAGTATTCACAGAACTTGTTGTATACTTACGGTGGGTAGTATTCACAGAACTTGTTGTATACTTAGGGTGGGTAGTATTCACAGAACTTGTTGTATACTTACGGTGGGTAGTATTTACAGAACTTGTTGTATACTTACGGTGGTTAGTATTCACAGAACTTGTTGTATACTTACGGTGGGTAGTATTCACAGAACTTGTTGTATACTTAGGGTGGGTAGTATTCACAGAACTTGTTGTATACTTACGGTGGGTAGTATTTACAGAACTTGTTGTATACTTACGGTGGGTAGTATTCACAGAACTTGTTGTATACTTACGGTGGGTAGTATTCACAGAACTTGTTGTATACTTAGGGTGGGTAGTATTCACAGAACTTGTTGTATACTTACGGTGGGTAGTATTCACATAACTTGTTGTATACTTACGGTGGGTAGTATTCACAGAACTTGTTGTATACTTACGGTGGGTAGTATTTACAGAACTTGTTGTATACTTACGGTGGGTAGTAATTACAGGAGATCATGGTACTGAACTTGCCCGGACAGCTACTGATGGCACAGCCCAAGTAATTTGTGGCCTTCCAGATGACCTATGAAGGTATTCAATCATTTTAATGAATACAATTTTACTTGGTTTTTCTATTGTGCCCGTGTCTGTGTGAGTGTGTTGGTGTGTGTCTCTGTGTGTGTTTCTGTGTCTCTCTGTATGTGTGTCTCTGGGGGTCCGTGTCTGTGTATGTGTGTGACTGTGTCTGTGAACAAGATTACTTGAGTGACATTTCATTTTGGTTGAGGAAATTTCATATATAAGTATTATATCTAACGAGCCGACCCGCGGCGAATCATACGCCGCTATTTAGTTGTTTTATTTTCTACTTTTCAGTAATTCATAATTTGAATGCTACCACTGAAAATATTTGCTTTAAAACACTAAACCCCCCTCCCCCCCCCCCCCCCCCCCGTGAAAGCAGTCTCCACTTAGTTACCTCCCCTAAGTTTAAAATCATTTCAAACTAAATTATCTGCCCCTAATAGCCGTCACTTAACCCGGCTCTACAATTGTAAACATTTAGCGTGAACCACAGCTCACCAGACCATGTTGGGGTGGGCGTGGTAGCGATATGCCTAGAGAGGAAGAGCGGGGGCTGCTAGGAGGCGCGCTTACAGCTTGGTGTTTTCTATGGTCTCCAAGAAGAGAATTATATATATAGATTTGTGGTCCTGTATTAATGTTTGAGCATTTTTTTCCAAACGCCAACAGCTAGAGCACCGTTTAAGTTACGTAAAAATAAGTAGTGTATTGTATGCACAGCTTTTTAGCAGCTTTTGAACGATTTCCAGTATCCGGAAGTGGTACTTACTCAACTTCCGCGTGAAGCATATAAAAATAGTACTATCTATCGGTTATGCTGACCAGGTGTCCCCTTACCTGGGTGTAGTGTCCACATTTGCCTGTCATGCACGACCAGACCGGTGGGTCGGCGTACTTCTGCTCGTCCACCCACGCCTCGACTGCGTCTGCTGCCAGTGCTGGAATGTTGCTGGGTTTGACTGGGGGAAGTAGAGGAAACGACGGATGAGCCGGTGTATTGGTATAGGTGAACGTTTGTACAGGTAAGGGGAAATTCGGGAGCTGGACATTACCCCACCCCCTCCCTTGTCAATTACCACCTCCCCCGTACATTTACCACCGTCATTACCCCCCGGCGCATATTATCACCCTTTCAATTACCCTCTGTTAATTAGCACCTTACCTCCGTCCAGTTAGGGATAAGTTAGGGTTAGGATTAGGGTCAAAGTTAGTCAGGGTTAAGGTTAGGGTTAGGGTCGGGTTAGGGATTGCTATGGTTATGTGTTTTTGGGGTTAGGGTCAGGGTTCTTCAGCAAGGTGGGGGGGGGGAATAAACCAGGGGGGTAAATGACGGGGGGTATTGGCAGTGGGTATTGACTCCGGGGGGGGGGAGTAATGTCGTGGGTAAGTCCATGGAGGGTGGTGATGTCGGGTGGAGGGGGGGGGGGCATAGTGTCCTAGACCAGGTAAAATACATTGCTTAGTAGTCGAATGCTCTACCACTCGACAACGCTTTCCCATTGATTCCGAGGTCACAGAAAAAGGCGAACTAGACTTCACTTTCCCAATAGACCGTCAAAAGCTTCAAAAGATAAACTTTACTTTAAAATACATTTGTCTGTTGCTTAGTCATGTTTTTATGTGATTTTCTTAAACATTTAGTTTTCTAAGTAGTTTAGCTTTATCTAATACGCTGATGTAACAGTTTAGTCAAAACTTGCTTACCAGACGAAGAATAAAACTGAACTTAATTTTTTTTTATGTAAAACAAAAATACGAAGTGGCTTGCAAGAGAATAGCCAAGTTCTCAGAAAAGGACGAAATAATATCGTTGAGAAAGGTGTTTAGCACCATAAATGTGTTAAGTCAGTCATGAGAATACTGCAAAGACTGTTTAATTTTTTTTTTCAGACTGGACTAATTACCGAAAAGACGCCGCTTTTCGTAAATAAAGACTGGTGAGGAAGGGGGGTTTAATGGAGTGAATGGGGTGTATTTGTAAAGGCATGATGGTTTCGGATTTATGGGAAAATTATGTCAAAACAAATAAAGTTAAAAAGCAAGGGCTTTAATGTTACGGTGTGTGAAATTAAAGGGGTTATTGTCCCTGCTCTCCTGCCGGTAGCAGGATATAAGAAAAAATAATCATTAAAAAAGTTTTAAAAAACCCACGTTTTCTGATTGAACTAAAAAGTAGAAAATAAATACTATACATCACAATAATGCAAGCGATCACTCTACTATAAGCGATGGAAAACGTGGGGCGCCGAAGTAAAAGTTATATTACTACTGATTAGATAATACTATTGACTTTTATTAGGGAGTCAACAGTATTAGAAACTTTAAGAAAATCACGGCGCCCCACGTTTTTGATCGCTTATAGTAGAGTGATCGCTTGCATTATTGTGATGTATAGTATTTATTTTCTACTTTTTAGTTCAATCAGAAAACGTGGGTTTTTTTTAACTTTTTTAATGATTATTATTTTCTACTTTTTAGTCTTTGTCTGTTTGTTTGCATTGAAATCTTGCTATCGATTTTATCTTTTCACTTTTTTTTTTGGTAAACGAAGACAACTCGTAAAAAGACAACTCGTAAAAAACGAGAGACCCTTTCTTCTTCGGTCTCAATCGCAAGTGAATGATTGTCAGAGGTTAGTTGAAAGCGGTTAGGACGAGGGCTGGTTACTGGCTAGAACACATAGATTTGAACCCGTGTCGAGTGGGATAGCAATCGTGTGCCCAACCACTCGACCATATCGTCTCCCCCAAACTGGCCACCAGTGGTAATAGTTACCTCCTGTAAGTTTAAAGTCGGTTAAAACTAAATTATCTGCCCCTAAGCCTGTCGCGAAGTGGGATCGTTCGCTTCACTGCGCGCAGCAAGAGAGAAGCTAGCTACGCGTCGCTGGTTTTTTTTCTAATGGCTCGCAGAGGAGAATTATATATATAGATTATATAGCGGTCTAAAATGCTCAATAAAATGTTTCCATTGATCAATTTAGTAATAATAACAATTGAATATTCTATGGTCATCCAAAAGAAAGCTTCCCTGAAAATTTCAGCGCGCTAGCTAACTGGGAAGTGCCAGAAATTTCGATCGCAAGATTTGATTGGAAAGACAAACAAACAGAGAAAGCAAGTTAAAGAAAACGTGGGAAAAATCCGAATGTATGTGTGATGAAACAAGGTTGCGTCGGAGAGGTCAGGTAGATAGCAGAAACAGGGTGTAGCGAGTGGGTCAGAGAGACCAATAAAAATACGGGAACTGACCAGTCACGTGGTACGGTCAGCTGACCACTGAAGCGTGGGCTGCTGTTAAGCCAGCAGTTGATAGGTAGCTAGCGAAGAGTTGAGAAGGTGTTAGGAAGCGGTCAGAGACAGTCGACATATGTAGGGCTAGGTAACAGTTTATAATTAGTGAAGAGAGCGGTCAGATCTAGGAAAAGGCAGATAGTAGTAGTAGTAGAGAGTATAGAATAGGCTAGTTAGTTAGGTAGAACTTGATTTTATAATTTCAATAAAGAACATTTTATATTTGAACTTGAACTTGTGTTATTGGATTCGTTCCGCCTTCGTAAAAATCCCCACCCTCACAACTAGTGTGACAAGAAGAACTCAAACCATTCACACGTACCATCACAGTATGTTATGTCGACTCACCTGTAGTCGCGTACAAGTTTTCTCCGTACGCCGTCGTGCTGTGTTGGAAGACACACTTAGAAATGTGGTTCCTGGCAACATTCTCGGCATTCCGGTGCCATTTCTAAATGTGTAATAAAGAAAACATTAGTATAAAAACATGAGAGAAAACATGTTTAAAAGCTCGGTCGTAGAGTTGGGTTTCATTCCATATCGGTTCAAATAAATTTACCTGTTGTTTAGTTAATTTGACCTTGTTAAAAATTTACAGAGAATCTTCGCGGGGGGGGGGGGTCCCCATCCCCAATACGTTCACCGTAATATATATATATATATATATATATATATATATATATATATATATATATATATATATATATATATATATATATATATATATATATATATATATATATATATATATATATATATATATATATATATATATATATATATATATATAAATTTAAAAATCCGTATAAAAAAGATATACTTTAACAAGTCCCCCCACTCCCCCCCCCCCCCCGGGAGAAACATGTAACCCAAAAAATGTATCTTTAACTAAAATAAATTACATGTGTCCCTTATATAAAAACATCAACTAGTATAAATGTTTTTTAAATTAATTTTCCGTGAATTTTGTTTAGTAGATTTCTATGAAAGAGTACAGTAAGGTAAAGAATATATAAATTTGATAAAAAAACTAAGATGTGTGAATATATCTTGCCATCAGGTTGTGTTATTGTGCCATAACATCATGATGTGTGAACGTGTTTTAACATCATGATGTGTGAACGTGTGATGACATCATAATGTGTGAACGTGTTTTAACATCATGATGTGTGAACGTGTTCTGACATCATGAGAGTGTCTGAACGTGTTCTGACATCATGATGTGTGAACGTGTTATGACATCTTGATGTGTGAACGTGCCATGACATCATGATGTGTGAAAGTGTGAAGACATCATGATGTGTGAAAGTGTTTTAACATCATGATGTGTGAACGTGTGATGACATCATGATGTTTGAACGTGTTATGACATCATGATGTGTGAACGTGTTCTGACATCATGATGTGTGAACGTGTTATGACATCATGAGAGTGTCTGAACGTGTTCTGACATCATGATGTGTGAACGTGTTATGACATCTTGATGTGTGAATGTGCCATGACATCATGATATGTGAATGTGCCATGACATCATGATATGTGAATGTGCCATGGCATCATGATGTGTGAACGTGCCATGACATCATGATGTGTGAATGTGCCATGACATCATGATGTGTGAACGTGTGATGACATCATGATGTGTGAACGTGTTTTTACATCATGATGTGTGAACGTGCCATGACATCATGATGTGTGAGCGTGTAATGACATCATGATGTGTGAACGTGTTCTGACATCATGAGAGTGTCTGAACGTGTTCTGGCATCATGATGTGTGAACGTGTTATGACATCTTGATGTGTGAACGTGCCATGACATCATGATGTGTGAAAGTGTGAAGACATCATGATGTGTGAAAGTGTTTTAACATCATGATGTGTGAACGTGTGATGACATCATGATGTGTGAACGTGTTATGACATCATGATGTGTGAACGTGTTCTGACATCATGAGAGTGTCTGAACGTGTTCTGACATCATGATGTGTGAACGTGTTATGACATCTTGATGTGTGAACGTGCCATGACATCATAATGTGTGAAAGTGTTTTAACATCATGATGTGTGAACGTGTTATGACATCTTGATGAGTGAACGTGTTATGACATCTTGATGTGTGAACGTGCCATGACATCATGATGTGTGAACGTGTGATGACATGACGATGTGTGAACGTGTTTTAACATCATGATGTGTGAACGTGTGCTGACATCATGAGAGTGTCTGAACGTGTTCTGACATCATGATGTGTGAACGTGTTATGACATCTTGATGTGTGAACGTGCCATGACATCATGATGTGTGAAAGTGTGATGACATCATGATGTGTGAAAGTGTTTTAACATCATGATGTGCGAACGTGTGATGACATCATGATGTGTGAACGTGTTATGACATCATGATGTGTGAACGTGTTCTGACATCATGATGTGTGAACGTGTTCTGACATCTTGATGTGTGAACGTGTTCTGACATCATGAGTGTGTCTGAACGTGTTCTGACATCATGATGTGTGAACGTGTTATGACATCTTGATGTGTGAACGTGCCATGACATCATGATGTGTGAAAGTGTTTTAACATTATGATGTGTGAAAGTGTTTTAACATCATGATGTGTGAACGTGATCTGACATCATGAGAGTGTCTGAACGTGTTCTGACATCATGATGTGTGAACGTGTTTTAACATCATGATGTGTGAACGTGTTCTGACATCATGAGAGTGTCTGAACGTGTTCTGACATCATGATGTGTGAACGTGTTCTGACATCATGATGTGTGAACGTGCCATGACATCATGATGTGTGAACGTGTGATGACATCATGATGAGTGAACGTGTTTTAACATCATGATGTGTGAACGTGTTCTGACATCATGAGAGTGTCTGAACGTGTTCTGACATCATGATGTGTGAACGTGTGATGACATCTTGATGTGTGAACGTGCCATGACATCATGATGTGTGAACGTGCCATGACATCATGATATGTGAATGTGCCATGACATAATAATGTGTGAATGTGCCATGACATCATGATGTGTGAACGTGCCATGACATCATGATGTGTGAACGTGCCATGACATCATGATGTGTGAAAGTGTGAAGACATCATGATGTGTGAACGTGTTATGACATCACGATGTGTGAATGTGCCATGACATCATGATGTGTGCTTGTTGTGAGTTATGACGACTAAGATCTAATCAACCTACCAAGGGTTTGGCGCCGGTTTTCGCGCGTGCATCATTGTGGGCTTTCAGGAATGCGTTTCTAGCATCATCATTTAAACTGACCAGCTGACCGCTGATAAACAGGGGAAGTAACGCTAGGGCAATCGGAAGATAACACCACATGTTGGATGTTCTAGAGATATAACGAAAACATAGTTAATTTTTAATTTTTAGTTAAATAACTACAAGCTTATGCAAGTACATTAATATCTATGTTTCTATAGTATGAGTTTTAAAAAGATAAAAAGTTTTAAAAAAAACACCGTGAAAAAAACATAAACTTGGCACTAATTGCTTCAACAAGGGACTTAATTAGCCAGGAGCAAAAAAAGAAAAGATAATAGTACTAATGCGATTGGTCCCTCTATATGCCTACTGAACACCAGTAATCGAGAAAGGACAAAACCAATAAATAGTAATATTTTGGTTCACATGCTAATCTATAGTTAACAACAACAACAAAATCTTTAACTATATATATATATATATATATATATATATATATATATATATATATATATATATATATATATATATATATATATATAAAACTTTCACGCTTGTTGAAATACGTTAACTACTTACCTGCGCTAGAGTTTCTCAAAAATACAATGCATCTTACACGCACTCTGAAGTTTTAAGTCTGTCCGATCAGCGTTAATTTATGCACAGTGACCTCGTAAATATTTGAACAGTGATCTTTGTTTTTAAGAAAACATGGACACCAGTAGCGTACGCAGGGGGGGAGCAGGGGGAGCGGCCGCTCCCCCTCTGGCCATTTTCAGCAAAGTGGCGCCTTTTTGGAAACTTTTTAAACTCAAAGTTTTAAACAATGATATTTGTTAAAAAATTATTTTTGGCCGGCACATCTATGTAAATCACAAGATTTCTTTTCATGCAGCAATTAAGCGTTATTGTACTAGTCTAGTAAAAAACCTCTGCGGGTAGTACCACTTGGCAAGAGGGGTGTTAAGTTTAAGGCAACTGTATAATGTATTTGCTTACGAATAATTGAATTAGAAAATGTTATACATAAAACTTCACAAATATTTACTTTATATATACAGTTTGAATCGTGCGATTAATTTTTAAAAAAAATTACAATACAGAAACAAATACAACTGATGTGGCACCTCTATTTAAATTTACTTATGAGCAAACTGCGTAGTGGTGGGGAAATTTTGACAAGGTCAACAAAGTCATATATATATTTGTGTAATATATATTTCTGTAATATATATGTATGTTTAGAACAGTCATCTAAAAACTGACGCTATGTTCACTATGAGTTGGTTATCTCCCCCCCCCCCCACACACCACACCACCACAATTGTGTAGAGCGACATTAATGTCACACCTAGGTAAAGGGCTGGTAAGTAGGTCACCAACCAGTTCTATGGCTCATGCACGTTTTATTGAGCAGTAGAACTGGTTGGTAACCTACTTACCAGCCCTATACACTGGGTTGGATAATTGACCTAAAGTGACCGGACAGTGGTGAATGAAGTTGAACCCCCCCCCCCCCCCCCCCACCCCCCACCCCAACCCACCCCGAACTGATCTGTTAAGTACATGTAGAAAAACGCGTAATGATGTACCAAAGTACCATGCCGCCAAAAAAATTAGCTTTTTAAACGTAAAACTCTGTGAATATTGTTTTTGCAATTACCAGTAAAAATGTGTGTGACCAATACAGTGATCTCACCCATATATATCACTATGTAAAAAAAATGATCTTTAAAGAACACTAAGAAGCAGTAGTTGATTAAAAGTATAATGATCTGAACTAAAAATACCGTTCTTTAGTTAAATGTAGGCTGTTATTCCGAATGTTTTCAATTCATTCGAAAAGCGTGGTTTTATACCAACTCTGATTTTAAAAACTTTCATTATGCTAGAATACTTTAGCATTTATGATGACGGTATATTAAATTATGATTATTGACAAAAACATTTGTAAACACGAATAGTGTTAAACAATTTTATTATATTCTAAAGTAGTTATTTATTTGTTTTGACATTTTATATAGTTAAATGTGTAGATATATACATATTTATATTAAGAGAGTGATTATTTCCCATATTTCACTTGTCTTAAATAATTTCCCAGGAATTATTTATAAGAAATTTTCTTACAAGAATTACAAAACAGATTGTGTTACGTTCATTATTTTTGGTTGTAGTGTGTGTATATTTTTTTTAGCGCAATTTCCATTCTGGAGAATTGCGTTTATTAACTCGTCATTTCTGGGAATGGATGGATGGATGGATGAATGTGTGTCCGGGCTTTAAGTCGTATCTCCTCCTCAACGAAGCAATATCGATGAATAGTTCCAAAAGCAATTATGTTAAGCAAGTTACGAGAATGAGCATAGGCCATAAAAATTCCGGGTTTCTTTCATGTATTTCCCGGAAAAGCCAAAAAACCTCGAAAAAATTCAGTTTTTGGCCCATATCTCGGCAACCAGACCACTTAGCGACTTGAAACATGTACCAATCGATTCCTGTCATAATTTAGAACAATATTGCCGAAGAAAGTTTTCAAAAATATTCTCTCGTTCGGTCACAAATTTTAAAATTACATAAACACCTACAAACCGATTGTTCTTCTAGCTTGAACGCACCCCAACATTATACGTCAGAGCTATTTTTAGATAACATAAGGAAATTGCGCACAAATGTCACTAGACTTTTTTAATTAACTTGTTTTTAGATTGATACAATTTTTGTTTTGTCGGCCTACATGGTGTTTTTTTTTCTTATTTCTTCAGAGTGCTACTTTCAATTTATTTTACATCATAGCGAAGTAATGACATACAGCTAGTAATTATATATATATATATATATATATATATATATATATATATATATATATATATATATATATATATATATATATATATATAGAACGTGTTAAAAATTCGGCGCCTTTTTTTGCTGTTTTCGCTCCCCCTACAACGAAAACCTGGATACGCCTCTGATGGACACCTTTTGCGTAGGTGTCTTGTTGCATAAATTTTAACTTACAAATTCAAATAAACATCAGCATGTAAATTTATGTTCAGACGAAATGTCGAGTTGTTTTTTTAATGCCTGTTGGCGTAATCTATATCACCTGTGTCACGTTCATCAAACAATGTTTTAAATCATTTGCATTTAAACCTATAATATATTTAATTTAAAGTTATTTTTAAACTCCGAAAACAGAAAAAAAGTTAGATATAGTTAGAGATAGTTTGAATGTGTAGAGTGCCATTAACGACACATAACACAAACGTGACCCCATAATTCGCACTAAACTACTAAACTGTTTCTCTGTTTTGGATTTACCTACGACAATTAAGATTTATTTTTTACTATACCGTCAGACTAAACTAACCAAGATGTTTTGTAACTTGAGGCTTATAAGTAGCCTAGAACAGTCGATTGAATCTTAATTAATTTTAGATCAATTGTGTCCGGGCTTAATTAAAAACCCACGATTTACGTCCTGACTAATCAACTCATTATGTAGACCCTAACACTGCCCACGCTGGTTCATCCACAAAAATAGATACAGATCCTAGATTAGTCATAATGAAAATATAAACAAGTGAATCTATCTTCCGTGTTGGTTCGGTCTTTGTCTAGGGGTGGGGGCTATTGCATGTATAGTGTCATCCCGCTTACTGTTATAGAAGAGTATACGAGAAAGTTTATGGGAGTACTCCGACTTTATTTAAATCACAGCCTAATTAACTAATTATGCCATATTTATTTTATATTTCCTGTCCCGAAGAGGCCGGGGAAAGTTTTAAAGAGCTCCCTCCTCTCCCCCCCCCCCCCCCCACCTCACCCAAACCCTAGATTGCAATTTTTATTGTGTATTTTTCTCCATTAAAGCGTCTTGGTATGAAGAAATTGTAAAATGCCAATTATTTACAATACTAGTAACCCCCTTTCCCCCCCCCCCCCCTCCCGAAGAGTTGCCTGGAAGAAACTGACTGTTTCGTTGGCTGTATATTTTCACATGTTATTAAATGACCACCCATCCCCCTCCCCCCCCCACCCCCACACACACACACATAATGTGCATCATGTCATTTACGGCTGGTACTTATAGATCAAAAACTAATTACTGGAACAAGAATGTTTCTTAAGTTATGTTTCGAGCGTAAAGAACGATTGATTATATGTGTTTAGTTTATGTTTAGTGTAGGAATTGTTTGTTGTTTAAACACCCAGTCAGGTTGGCGGAGAGACGAGCCTCGGTGAGCCTCCGGTGTGCTAGGCGGGACAAGGCGCGGTGTGTGGCGCGTGATCTGGTGTGTGAGGCAGACCTATCAGCGAAAGGCCTACAGCGAACACCCCTTGACCCACAAAGAGGGCTACTGGACACCCGCTACACAGGTGTGTGGAGGCGGGCAACAGCACGAGAGCCAGTGGGGCAAGGCGGTTGCGTCACCACCTGGCCCAACCAAGCGGACGCTCCCTACCAACAAAAGGCCTATGACGTCAATTCCTTGACCCACAAAGAGGGCTACTGGACACCCGCCCCACAGGTGTGTCGAGTCGGACACACGATCATTGGAGGCGGGCAACAGCACGAGAGCCAGTGGGGCAAGGCGGTTGCGTCACCACCTGGCCCAACCAAGCGGACGCTCCCTACCAACGAGAGGCCTATGACGTCAATTCCTTGACCCACAAAGAGGGCTACTGGACACCCGCCCCACAGGTGTGTCGAAGCGGAGGCACGATCGTTGGGGGCCGGTAACAGTCGGAGAGCCAGTGGTGAAAGGCGGTTGCGTCATCTCCGGACCGACCAAGTGGACGCTCCACTGGTGTGCCTACGGTGACGCAAGACCAGAATGCGTGTACAGATGAGACGTTGCCACGGCGTGTGTTTAGGGGACGCAAGGTGTGATACGGACAGCCGTCCAGCGGACATTGCTTTACGAGCAAGTCGGGGCACCTGTGCCTCGCCCCACCGGTTGTCTAGATGTTCAGCAAGGCGCTAGCTTCACCATCACCCAGATGGTGAGGCTACTCTATTTGAAAAGAGTGGGGGACCATCTTTGTTACTCCCTGATGTATATTTTTTTGTATATTTATTTGAATGTCTTACAGGGACTGTAAGTTTTTAAAAAGGGGTGAATGTGAGCGGGTGAATGGATTATTTATTTTGTATTAATTTATTTGGTGCGAATCTGTGAGTGCATGGTGGTCCGATGGGGAACGGCCACGGGGTCCCCTTCCGTCCGAAGCGGTCAGTATAAATTGACCGCTCGGAGGATTTTCTTCCTTTTGACCCGAGGCAAGATTTAGATAGGGTCGGTTTCTGTGTGGGCGCGTGGCGCACCTCACGCGTGGAGTGAGGTTGCTTGTGCGACTTGGCTGGGTGTTTTGTTATATATGAATTGTTTTGTTTTGTGTAAAAAGTTTGTTTTGTATATATTGTTTTGTACGTAATTTTTCTACGTAATGTATTGTACGTATTGGTTGTACGTTATGTTTTGTTTGGTGTGGACTTTTGGATGTCGAGAATGGATGAAGGGAGGTTTCTGTGTGTCAGGGCCTGGACCATCCTAGACATCATAAGTCGGCGCAACACCATCAAATGGTCAAACGTAATGTTTTGTTTGGTTTTGTCTGTTTTGTGTCAGTAGTTTTTATCTATTCTTTTTTTGTGATTTTCCATTGGTTCCATATTTTTAAATAAATTTTATTAATTGTTAAAAGTTTTTTTGTTTTTAATTTAGACTAAGGTTAGGTTATTAACCAGTCTGGGTTTATCCGGGCTTGCACTGACCGGACAGTAGTTAGTTAGATAAGCCTAGGGAAGGGTATAGTAGATTTTAGGTATCCCCCCCCCTAGCAGGGCTTACACTAATAACCAGTGTTTCTTCCAGACTTTCTTCTCCGGGGTGGGGGGGGGGGGGCACTTGAAATTTTCGGGGGTGGGGGAGACATTGTTAAAAGTATATATTTTCTATTTAAATTCCATTTCGTTCGGGGGGCGGTAGACTTTCTTCGCCCCCCCTCCACCCCCCTCCGTAGAGATGCCTGGAAGAAACTCTGCTAATAACTAGTCCCTTTCTCTCCCCCCCCCCCCCCCCCCGAGACATGCCTGAAAGAAACTCGTTGAGCGACAGCCCCCCCCCCCCCTCCCCCCTCCTTTGCGAGGATATCGGTCTGGGAAATCAACACTATCTACTATTTTTAGAAAAAAGTTTATGAGTCACAGACAAACAGAACCTGACATTGGCAGGCTGGGAAAAAAAACATGGCCGACCTTAAATCGTATAAATCACAGCCCTGTTGAAACAGGAACTGGTGACAGGGCACCGAGTGAGGTAAACAAAACACAACTCAGTCACGTGACGCTATAAATAGCCTGAGACATCGTGCGTGTTGTTATTTCACTTGGAGACCTTGAAGACATTCCCCATACATCAGACTAACTGAACGACTGTAATAATAAATCTAGGAAATCCATGTTAAATGAACACCACGCACAATTGTATGCGCGATGTAAAATAAGTTTTGTTTGCCTTTTAAAAATGGACTTCAATTTTTCATCAAATGTAGAATGTAGAGTCAGAGGCGTAGCTAGGGGGGGGGGGGGCGGGGGGGGCGGACCGCACCGGGTGACACCATTTAGGGGGGTGACACCAAGGCAAAAAATAGTAAAATATATAGAGAAAAATTTGAGGAGGAGGGGGGGTGCAAATCGAAAGTTTGATGGGGGGGTTGCAAATCGAAAGTTCAAGGGGGGGGGGGTGATGCAAATCGAAAGTTCGAGGGGGGGGGGGCAAATCGAAAATTGAAATTTTGTCCTCGGGAAGAGTCGCTAAGCCTCTGGGGGTGACACCATTAAGTGCCGCACCGGGTGACACCTGACCTCGCTACGCCACTGTGTAGAGTATCACTGAAAAGCAACTATAACTCAGCGGTTCTTGTGGATTTTATACTTTTTATAGACAAGTTAATTCACAATGTATTTAACAAAATGTTTTGTTTCTTTAAAATTTAACAGTTTATTTTTTTAATAATAGGCCTAGATAAACCGCCTAGTTTGGAGTTCAAATCCCGAGAATCCCCATCCTCTTTCCAAATCAACCTGGCTCAACTAGCTTCTTTTAAACGGCTTTTATTTAGCGTGTTCAATTGGTTTGTGTGTGGCTCTGCAGCTCAGGGAACCATAGACTTAGTACACCTTGGTTACATGGGTGTCACGCCACTTCATGTTGGGTTGGTTGTCTTTAAATATAGAAAACCCGGGTAGTTATCCAGTAAAAGATAAATAATTTCCAAAATTTCACTATAATTAGATGATGTAGCCAGTGGCGTCTCTAGGTTGGATGTCACCCCCAAGAGACAAAGTATTTAGTTTATATATATATATATATATATATATATATATATATATATATATATATATATATATATATATATATATATATATATATATATATATATATATATATATATATATAATCTTCGATTTGTAATTAAAAGACTATTTAAATTTAATAAAAAGCATTTTTCCTATGTACATTTTGCAATTTTTTGCCTTGGTGTCACCCGGTGCAGACCACACCCCCCGTCCCGCCCTCGCTACGCCTCTGAATGTAGCATTTATAGAGCTATATTTCAGAGCTCTGTAATGTGAGATTGAAGCTTTTTCTCTCATTGGTTTTTGTATGCCTGATATTTCACTAGCGTTTTATTTTGTCCACCATAGCACATGGTCATTGACAGCCCTAGACCTGTGACTGACATAAGAAGTTTAAAAAAAACTTTGCACTAGCTTTTGGAAGTAGGCAGAGTAGGCTTCTCTGTGTACTGCAATATTTTGGACAGACTAAGCAAAAATTGGATCTGCTTTTGTTGATAAGTTGCATCTACAATAAACTATTTTAAGTTTAATCAGCTATTTTACTTTTACCTGCTAGACCTATCTTCTTTAAAGCTGAGCCTGAAGTATGCATTATGAAGTGGTTTTATAACTTTTACCTAGACTAAAATATGTTGCACTTCTCATCATTTATGTCACGGAAAATTGGATGTTGTTTAAACAAATCATGTCAAAACTGTGACATTTAAAACTGGCATTTCCTTCTACCAATCAGCACTAAAATGGTGACAAGATAAATGTTTTTGGAAAATCTTCAAAGTATTTTTGATGCCTGCTTGACAAGGACCAACTCTGAGTATGAGTTAAGGTGCTTGAGTGTATATTATGTACATGGGTACCTTAAGACACTTCAACATCTGGTTGTGTTGTTCTCAAAATTTAAGGTGTGTCCCCTGAAAAATATGTCTACAGTTTTGGCATATGTAGATGTTTGGTGGCGATCTGAAATATACTTCAGTGTCTTCCTCTCCCACCCTGAATATTTCTTCTTTAGGGTTTTACTTCCATTTAATAATCTCTAAACTAGCTGATTCTAACTACCGCCGTTGTTTAGTTTGATTACCTTTGGATAATTGCCAACAAGTCAAACCCAATCCAAAGAACATTGTAAAGATTATTTTAGAATACCAATAATTTGTGTCAACTTAGAGACACCACATAAATGGTTTAATGATTTAGCAAATACAAATATGTATGTTTAAATGTTTTAGTAAAATGTTTTCAAAACGATGCCACTTTACAAAAAAATGGCCACAGGGGAGTAATGGCTTTCCTCCCCCCCCCCCCCCACCGTGTAGGCTACTGCTTTCCACCTCCAATACAGTATTTTCTTACAGCTAATCTTATTACATAAAGACTTGCATCAGGAAATAAATAAACAACAAACAAGGATAATTATAAAATTTCACTATTAAGTTCAGTTCCATTGACAATGAAAAAGAATAAAAAACCAACTTTGCAAATACCCATTAAAAAAAACAATAACATCAGTACCCAGTTATAAAAAACTTTAAACAATATTTACATTAGACCTCTTTGGCAAAGTTGAAAAATTTAAATAAAAAAATAAAAACCAAATGCACATATTTGGTCGATAAAATTATGAAAAAAGTATGTAAACAAAGAAATTATTCTCTTAAAATGAGAATAATGAACTAATTGTTACTTAAATAATGCTGAATATAAGTATAAGCAGAATTCTCCAACAAGGTGGTAAGAAACTACTTCATCCATGTCCTTAAACTTTTATTTTTTTTTTTATAATCATTCTTTCAAATATATTAATTAGCAATACATTTTAAACAACTTATTTAAATATAGACACTAATTAGCTATTTGCTTGTCAACATTCTATTTGCTATGACATGCAGGACCTAGAAAACATGTAACTAAAACATCCCAAGTAAACTTTTCTTTTCCCCAACTCATGCTAGGTACTCATTACAGCACAGCTGGGTGGACTCTGAGATGCCCAACAATTATTTAAGCTTAACTACATTCAAATGGTCTCTGTTTACTCAACAACTTGAAACACACCAACCCAAAACTATCCAGTCCTAGATTTCGCCTGCACGTTCAGCTGTTAATCTGGCAAAATGATTTCTATTTTACTTTACCACTATTATAAAAAAACGACCTGCATGTTGTTTTTACATCACAGTTAATATTTGTACGCTATTAAAAGCTGCCATATTTGGTCTGCCTGCAGATCAAATTCTAAAATCCAGTCAACAAATTGAAAAAAAAAATTCAACAAAAAAAATATTTTGATTACATAGCTTGTGGTTTGTTGCATTTTGTTTTGTTTCTTTACATTTGTATTTTAACTCATGTAGCTTATAAAACTTACACAATCTGTATCACAGTAACTGAGAGCATCACTTCTGTTTCCTTCTTCTGTTGAAGGGCTTTGGTGTGACATTGCTCTGTGAGGTTTGTGGTTCTTGACAGTGAAACTTCTGGGGCACTTTTAAATTCTCAGCTTTTTCTATACTCTGGTAAAAGCAATCAACAAAAACTGATTTAATAAAAATAATAATTGGACACTATTCTCTGTTGGGTCTACTGTAATTCAACTCCTAAACTGGATATAAAATTCACCACATCAAAACAGAAAAGAATGGAAGATGTTCAGCTGTAACACAAAACTACCAGTCAAAGAAAACATACAGCTGACAAATGTGAAGGGAAACCTCACCTGGTCTGGCCATATACACTGTAGGACCCATAGGACAATCATATTGAGAACCATGGTCAGAATGAAGAGTTTTCCACTGACTGGACCACAGTTATAGAACCTGAAATCACAGTTATAGAACCTGAAATCACAGTTATAGAACCTGGAATCACAGTTATAGAACCTGAAATCACAGTTATAGAACCTGAAATCACAAAGTTGTAGAACCTGAAACCATACAGTTATAGAACCTGAAACCACAGTTATAGAACCTGAAATCACAGTTATAGAACCTGAAATCACAGTTATAGAACCTGAAATCACAGTTATAGAACCTGAAATCACAGTTATAGAACCTGAAATCACAGTTATAGAACCTGAAATCACAGTTATAGAACCTGAAATCACAGTTATAGAACCTGAAATCACAGTTCCAGAACCCTAAAATCACATAGTTATAGAATCTGAAACCATACACAGTTGTAGAACCTGAAATCACATTCAGTTATAGAGCCTGGTTAATGGGAGACACCTGAGCTGGTGATGTCTGTAAAGAAAAAACCACATGGAATTAAAAAGATTTAAATTTCTGTTTCCTAATGTTGGGTTGAAACATTCTTACTAATAAGTGTTAAGGGCCACCCAACTCAAGTTCATGATCTTCTGTTTAAGTTAACTCTATAGAACACCATTTAACTAGTAACATACACAGCAACTATTTTATTTTATATTTTAAACCTTTTATGTAAACAACTTATGAGGACATCTAATTTGTATACTAAATCCAATTTAGTACTCAACAATTGAGTACACCATTATATAAAATTAACCCTTTGAAACACATACTTCATAAGGCTACTTGATAGACCTTTCTGTACACAACAATTTAGTACATCATTACATTGAGTAAACCGTTTGAAACCATTACTTCATAGTCCTAGTTGCTGTGTCAGTTATGAGAGTATCCAGGACAGTTGATATGACCTTTCTGTACATAACACTTTAGTACATCATTACATTGAATTAAACCCTTGAAATCCATATTTCATTACCCTAACAGTTTAGAACACTATTAAATTGAATTAACCCTTTATGGGTTGGAGTGGTCTAGCGGTAGAGAGCTGGACTGCTAACCCGTAAGTCTCAAGTTCGAATCCGGGTTCAAGTCAGTAGACCGTCCCTGAGTCCACCCAACTCTGATGGGCACCTAACTCATGTTAGGGAAAATAAAGGTGGCTGAGCATAGTGCTGACCACAGAAACAAGTGAACTCTACTTCACTTGCCCCATAGACCGTAAGGTTTGAAAGGGGAACTTTACTTTAACCCTTTGAAACCCATATTTCATGACCCTAACAGTAAAGTACACCATTACACTGAATTAACCCTTAGAAACCCATATTTCATAAACCTAACAGTTAAGTACACCATTACACTGAATTAACCCTTAGAAGTCCATACTTCATAATCCTAGTAGCTGTGTCAGGTATGGGGGTGTCCAGAACTGTGGTGTAGACCTTCTCTGTTCTGCTGGCTACATTACGCCATGAGTACAGCATCCTGATTTGGTTGTGTAACTCATAAGGATCCATAGCTCTGTTGTGTATTCTGTCTTCAATGGCTTTTTCTAGTTCTTTGGTTAAAGCTGTATGGGGAATAAAAATAAAGTTAGACCAATTGTCTTGTTTTCTGTGGCATAGACTACATTAATTTTTTCCAAAGTAAAGATGATTTTCATTTCTCATCGTATTTTTTTTTAACCACAAGGGTGGTAAGTTTGTGAAGTAGATTTTATCCATTCCAGCAGTGTCTGGAGATAAGAAGTTTAAGACAGTGCTCAATTTAGCCAATGACCTGATGAAACAGATTGTACCTAGTTGTTTGGTGGATTTCACCTTGACAGACTTAGGTCTGGTACCCATTACAGCTGGGTATACTCAGACATGTTTAACCAGATAACCATATAAGCATTACTTGACCTACAGATCTGCAACTGTACACTTCACTCTGCTTCTCATATTCAGTGAGCTGCGTAGCACAAAGGAACAGTGTGGTAGGGTGGTAGAGAGCAGGACTGCTAACCCTGGTCTCAAGTTCACATCTCAGGTTCAAGTGAAAGAAGGTAAAGGCTAATTGGGGATAGAACTGACGACATTATCCCTTTATACACCTAAGTCACTAACATGGGTAAACACTACATCACCGGCTCAATTGACCATCATGTGTGCAGCATAAAATCTGCAATAACTTATTAGAATTAATCAAAGAAGAGGATAACATAGGGGTTAGAAATTAGACTATGGGGACATCAAGGCCTAGTGGTAGGGCACTAGAGTACTAACCCAAAAGTCTTGGTTTAAAAATCTAGGTTCAAGTCAGTAGAACATCCCACAGTCCACCTAGTTAGGGAAAGTAAAGGCAGCTGGATATAGTGTTGACCATACTATCCCTTCATATGCCACAGTCACGGAAACCGATAAACACTACTTCACCTGCGCAATCAACTATGAGGTGTGCGCATTAAAATCCGCAACATCTTATCAGGATTAACCAAATAAGAGGATAACATGGGAGTCAGACATTAGACCAGGCCAGGCCACCCGTTGATTGGCTACACTATCCCCTATATGATGCGGTCTCAGAAACAGGTAAACTCTACTTCACCTGCCATATCACCAAACAAGAGTATAACACAGGAGTCATAAATTGGATTAGGATAACACGGGAGTCAGACATTAGGCCAGGCCTCCTGTTGATTGACCTACCTTGTACAATAGCATCAGCTAAATAAATCAGCCCAGATGGGAGAACCTAAGGGATACCCCCAACTTTGGTGCTGACCACCTGTAGATTGACCTACCTTGTACATTAGCATCAGCTAAATAAATCAGCCCAGGTGGGAGAACCTCAGGGATACCCCCAACTTTGGTGCTGACCACCTGTAGATTGACCTACCTTGTACATTAGCATCAGCTAAATAAATCAGCCCAGGTGGGAGAACCTCAGGGATACCCCCAACTTTGGTGCTGACCACCTGTAAACTGCAAGAATAAGATCAAAGCTAATAAGTTATTTAAGTTGTTTTTATTTAATTAAATAAGTTTTAATAATAGGCTTATTAAATTTAGTGAAAGTAAAGACAGCAGGACATAATGCTGACCACAATATCCCTTCAAACCCTTAGGTCAGTGAAACAGCTTAACTCTACTTCCTGCCCTCCGTGGACCACCAGGTCCCAGAGGACAATTTTTTCTTGTCCAAACATACTAGTCACATGACTGATATACAACATGATTAAACACAAGTCTGGTGTGTGATTAAAGGGAGCTTACCCACAACATGCAGCTTCTACAATAGCAATACAAAAGGCTTCTGTTAGTGATGTGTTGAGCATTATGTCCCCTTTCACCAGTACCTGCAAGTTAAGAAGATAAAAAAAGAAGTAAATATATCGTCTCATAGCTCAGGGACTACTAAAATCATAATAGAAATATGACATCAGGGCTAATAGCCAGGCTAAAGCACTAGGAAACCTCAAGTAAAGTTTTCAGTGTAAGCAAAAGAATCAAACAGACAGAATTACAGATAGTCTAGACAGACTTACATCTCTAATCATGTACTACAGTTAGGATCAGACAGGCGTCTGTGACTTAAACAGACAGACTTACATCTCTGATCTTGTAATATAGTCTAGAACAGCCACAGACAGACTTACAGACAGTCTAGACAGACTTACAGAGTCTAGACATACTTACAGACAGTCTAGACATACTTACAGACAGTCTAGACAGACTTACATCTCTGATCTTGTAATATAGTCTAGAGCAGCCACAGATAGACTTACAGACAGTCTAGACATACTTACAGACAGTCTAGACAGACTTACATCTCTGATCTTGTAATATAGTCTAGAGCAGCCACAGATAGACTTACAGACAGTCTAGACAGACTTACAGAGTCTAGACAGACTTACAGACAGTCTAGACAGACTTACATCTCTGATCTTGTCATGTATTCTAGAGCAGCCAGAGACAGATTTACAGACAGTCTAAGACTTACATCTCTGATCTTGTCCTACAGTTAGGGTCAGACAGTCATCTAACTTCAATCAAACAGACAGACTTACAGAGCTTCTAGACAGACTTACATCTCTGATCTTGTCATGTATTCTAGAGCAGCCACTGACAGACTTACAGACAGACTTACATCTCTGATCTTGTCATGCTGTAGTGAACCTAGCATGACCACCCTGTCCAATAGTTGCAGCTGTTCCCTCACCTCCTCCAGGATGATGCGTTTAGGCCCATCCCCACCTGTAAAGGCAATACCACATTCAGTCTATTTCACTAGCTCTATTCAAATATCATTTAAATATAGACAATTGTGAATTTAAAAATTTAATAAACTAATCCTACTTTGCTAAAAAGAAACTGAAAATTCGCCCAATTTTTATTTTTACAAGCTTTTATTTAACTCACTGTCTCTGTCGGTCTGTCTAGATCAGTGGTTCCCAACCTTTTTCGAGTGGCGACCCCCTTTTATAAAAAGTAAGTGACCCGCGACCCCCATAGAATTAAAAAGCCGAAATTAGTATGGAAATTAATAAGAACTAAAATAAGATTTTCTAGTAGACTTTCAATATTAACTACTCTTGATAACTATTTTAATAGCATGAGTAAAATTGCATACTATTCACTAAACCTTCGTGGTTAAGTTTTTAATTAAAACAATTTTTTGTTAACGCCAACCTATGTCATTATAATTATCTTAATTTTATTTATAATCGAAGAATAGTGTTGAAAATATATTCTCGAAAAGTCAATCAATTTTACGTTTGGTTATGAATGGTGAATACTACACCAAAATTGTGTCTGCAGTTTTTCATCTTACTCGGAATCATTCTGCAAATCAAAGAATTCATCTTGTAATTCATCGGGAATGCTGGTAACATCAAGGGAAGAAGAGAATGGGTAATGTGTAAATGCAGATTCTTCTTTAGCTCAGAGAAATAGCGATGCAGTTCGTTTTCAAGAGATTCAAGATGCCCAGAAATTGCTTCTTTCAAAATTTTAATTATCTCACAATCAGATTCATCTACCACACCGCAGAGTTTCTCAAATTTACAATATTTCCAAGATTTATTTTCTTAACTGATTTTGCAGTTTTGATAAAAATGCCCCGAGATTATCATGGAAAGTTATAATATTCGTTCATTTTCCCCGAAGCTTCAGGTTAAGCTTATCTTGATGTTTGAATATTTCTGCTAGGTATGATACTCTCTCCAACCACTCTATGTCGTTTTAAGTATACCAAAAAGTCTTGTTTCCTTTGCACTTCCAAGAACAATTTGATTTCAGATATCAATTCAAAAACACAATTTACAACATTTCGTTTGACAGCCAGCGTACTGTAGTGTAGAAGAGCAGAACCTCGTGATCTATATTAATGTTTTTGCTCAGTTCTTTGAAGGCTCCAGATTTTATATAATTTACGACTTATACTAGCAATGGACTCTTGATGTCGATTGGTTAGAGCAGTGGTTAGGGAGCTAAATCTTTTCTGTTTTCTGAAAGCCCGATTATGAGCTAAATATAGATGGCGCACCATCCGTACAAACCCCCACAGCTGTTCTAACCCATTTTAATCATCCAGTTTCAAAAAAAGGTATTTATTTTCTCCATGCTATCTTCACAAAAGAGCAACTCTTCTTTGCTATTATCCGCATGAATATAGACACAGACCAGCAACTGCGAACACGAACTCACGTCTGTTGATTTATCAACTTGAAAAGCAAACAATGGTGAAAGCTTAATTTCGATAAAAAATGTGGTATTTAACATTTACGTACATGCAGCGTTTGATGAGATTTTCTCCTAATGTTTTTTTTTTTTTTTTTTTTTTTTGCTTGGCATTTTCTATCGCGACTTCATTTGATGTTTGCACTAATGCTGGTGAAAACTTCCTGTTCGATCAAGTCTCTGGCGTTTGCAACTAGCTTCTTACCGACGAAAGAACTCCATATAGTTTTTGGTGTGTTCCGAATGACTCGTCTCAAATGGCGTTTTAGTTTTGAAGATTTCATAGATTCGCGACTGAGAACAACTTTGTACAGTGCGCTTTGTTTCTTCTCTATTACATTTCCAGTGATGTTAATGAAGCCGAATTTCAAAAATTCTTTTAAATATTTATGTTTTGTTTCAAATTACTAAGGTTTAGTATACCAGTTGGCGACCCCCCAGAAAGACCTTTGCGACCCCCAGGGGTCCACCCCTAGGTTGGGAACCCGTGGTCTAGATCAAAACGCCTGAGTGAAATTTCAGGCACTTCTAACTTAAGAGTGTGACTCACCTATAATGAACTGGACTTGAGGATATTTCCTAGTTATAGGGGGAATAATCCCAGCTAAAAGGTCCATGCCCTTTCTATACACAAGACGACTGATCACCACTATAGTAACTGCAACAGCAGAAATAAAACAGATCAATATTAATAATTCAATAAACATAAAATAAACAAGAAAAGTATTCTTTTATCACACTCTTTTGACTCATGAATAAAATAATTTTTAAAAAAAGGAAAATCGACAAATAAAATAAATTGGCAGTGATGATATTACAAAAGTTTTATTACAGAAAACAATATACGTCAAAGGAGATTTTAACACAAATATTTTACACATATATAGCAGTTAGTATTCACAAAGACAGACTGCAATCACACAATTACATAGAACTTTATAAAATAAAAATTACAACGGCACAGAAAAAAATGTAATAAAATACTAAAAACAAACTTTTTTGGTCGTCTCTTTTTGTTGGGTCTGGTAGAAAAACAGTTGGATCGACAGCGTTTGGGATGACAGACACAGCCGAGGGTTGCATGTTGGCTCGAAGTACTGTGTTTTCTTTGCTACAACAAAAAGCAAATGGGGAAATTTTAAACATTCAAAAACAAAATCTGTTTGATTAGAGCAAACAATATACATGACTCAATTTTTGTAATTATAATATAATCTGAATAATAATTAATAAATATTTTTTTTAATAATATATTTTTCATAAAATCATTTAATTAGGATAGAATATTAGAAGATGCTAACAGAACAAAATTAATAAAAACAAATGTTCACATTTTTTGTTTAATGTTTAATGTGACTCTCAGCTACACAAATTTTGCTACTTTGCATTGTAAGCTATTCTAAACTGGAACCAAATTATAATCAAGAATAAGGATTTTAAGATTTCAATTATCAATTAAGTTTATATTCCTGTACAAATTTGCGGTGGAAGTTTTTTGTTTTTTAAATTGAATTTCAAAATATTAATCAAAGTGTTTTAAAATTATCAAACTAACATGCTTAATATAAAGATGACAGATAGTAAAATTGAAATTGCTCAGAACCACATTGTCGATATAGTTAACAGTAAAACTATCATTACTCAGAGACTAATTAAACAGTATAGCGAGATTTACCATGTGTGTGAGACACAAATTGTGTGGGTACAGTCAGCCAATGAAAAGTTGAGTATCTTGTTGGTCAGTATAGAGCTGGCATCAGCAAACCCAAACAGACTGTGGTCTGTGAAAACTGTTCGGAGCCCCATGGTACGGGCGTGAAACATGGCTTCATGGCCCAGCGTTGAGAAGGCCTAGAAAAGTAAAAACTAGATGGCCTATAAAAGTCAAAAGTACAAAACTAGATGGCCTACAAAAGTCAAAAGTACAAAACTAGATGGCCTACAAAAGTCAAAAGTACAAAACTAGATGGCCTACAAAAGTCACAAGTATAAAACTAGATGGCCTACAAAAGTCAAAAGTACAAAACTAGATGGCCTACAAAAGTCACAAGTATAAAACTAGATGGCCTACAAAAGTCAAAAGTACAAAACTAGATGGCCTACAAAAGTCACAAGTATAAAACTAGATGGCCTACAAAAGTCACAAGTACAAAACTAGAAGAATAGGCCTACAACAGTCAATAGCACAAAGCTAGATGGCCAATCACAAGTCCAAAACTAAAAGCCTTCAACAATCACAGAACTAGATGGCCCACTAAAGTCACAAGTAAAAACTAAGTCTGTAGTTTAATTTTCCAAGTGTAAACAGTGCAAACTGTAAACATACAGAAATTCTAATTAACCATTCAGAACTGGGCAGTTCACAAGGCTATTACATAATTTAAATATTCTCTTTCACAAGAAAACTAATTAACAATTCAACTAGACAATGGACTACTGACTTATAATCAATATCTTTATGATATGGCAGGAGCATCAAGTACTTAAGATATACAACTGTAACTTATCTTAAATATGATTATCCTACAAAGTAATTTTTTTTAAACTTAGCTGTAATTTACTGTAAGACCAAATAAAATAAACTAAATAAAACATTTTTTTAAAATAACTATAACCTTGGACTATTGTAAAACTAAAAAAACAATTAAAACATGACTTAATCATACAAAAAAAAAAAAGTAAAAATACCAAAATTGTGACTTACTGAATGTCCATGAACAATCTGAATATTTTCTCTCAGAAAAACATTCCTCAACAAGGGAAATGATGGAAAAATTGTAGGAAGAACACACTGATTGTAGAATGGTGGGAATGGGAGATAATACACCTAGAAAAATATGGTGTCAATTAATTTCCATTCTAATTTTTATAAAGTGCAGCTATTTAAGTGAAAAAAACAAGAAAGAAAACAAAGTATCATTACAGATTTGACAGTGCATGTAGCAGATCAAGTAAAGTTCGTCTGTGTGGATTTTGTGGTCAGCACTACGCCAGTCATCCTTACTTTCTCCAAATTTGAGCCTGATACACATCAGAGTTATGTGGATTTGAGCAAGGGAACTTCTTCTTTCTTATTTAATTTTAACATTGAAGGGGCTTTGCTTCAATATAATTAAGTATCAACAAGTTATGGCTGTTGACGCTGACTTCAGACATTTTTTTTTCTGGATGTGTTTCCATTGCCTTTGTCCAACCAAGTAGGGTTTATAACCTGTGGCAGCAGTTGTTTGATTTTGGAGTTTTCTCTCCTAGATTTTGCTCATCTGACAGGAGATCTAAGCTCAGGACTTTTGATAAGCAATCATGTTCTCTCCAGCCCAATTTTGCCGAACCTAGCAATTGAATGTCCCTAAGACTTTAAACTTTTGCATTTTCTAGAAACATCAGAAATCATGAAATTATTCTATAGCATCAATAACAAAGGCTGGGACATTAGGTTCAACTTGTAGAAAACTAACAAAAATACAACAAACTAAAAACGAAAGCAACTTACTTTAATGCCATTTGCTAAATACCGGACTCCCTGACGGTCACCGTAGCAATGTGTGACTACGACCACCTTATGTCCCCTCTCTATCAAGCAGGAAGACAGCTGATAGATGTGACTCTCCACCCCACCCATGTTAGGGTAAAAAAAGTCTGAGACCATACTGCAGATAAAAATTGTGAGGGATAATATGAATATCTTTGTATTAGGAGTGTTCTTTTATATTAATGATATTAATTTCAAACTACACGGTTAGATACCTTTTAACTTGTTGATTTTACCTGCACATTTAGTAACAAATTGACTGTAGTTAACATGATCTGCGTTTCAATTAGAAATTTTAATATTTATTTATTAGTAGGCTACTTCAAGTAAGTAGCCCACTCATTATATTCCACTTTTTTTCAGAGATCATATTGATGGGTGTTATTTTATCATAGGTCTTATAATCTGGAGACTATTTAAAGAAATGTAATGCAATGGTGACAAATTAACATCAGTAGAATTGACGGTAGTGCAATTGTTGGACAGACAATTATGTCAGACTGTTAAGAACAAATTTGACTGGGATGGCATAAAATTGGATAGAAATAAAGTTTAAACTATAGCATTCTCAAATCTCCACCCATGATGCACGGACAACTGAAGCACAAGTTAATAGGGAATTAAGGTACCAGTAAATAAAAACTTGTACATGCATACAAAGAAAACAAGCACAGTTGCATGAGAAATAAATGTGTCAATTACAATTTTTTAACCTTTCATGGTGCTGTTGTTTATAATTTGACCATAAAGTTAGACGTAGATAGTTGGCTCAACAGTTTTCAAATTTTTTCATGGACACAACACTATTTTAAAGGTAATTATCTACTGTACCATAGCAACCAACAATGGTAAATGTTGTAATATGTGTCTTCTAGTATGTCGGAACATTTGGTATTAACCACGCCTGTTCAAACGACAGCTCGTTGGATAAGGCGACTTGTGTTTCCGAGTGCTCGGAACATTAGACTGTGATGTGTAGGCTTGGTGAAAAATTGCACTAACTTTAACGGAAAGCCTTGTTTCAATCTGCGCACAGAATGCTCTAACCATAAGTGGACGTCAAAATTTGAAAGTTTTTTTTATTGAAATAATTCATAAATCATACGAAAAAACAGCATCACTTACACCATGACCTGACCTGATAGTTCATGACAAAATGTTAAAGAATTAACTAATACATCATTTTATGCATACATTTATATCTAGAAACAAAAGATGCATTGACATTGAAAATTTAAATTGTTCATAACCCTAAGCAGAAAATAATAAGAAAAGCAAAATAATGAAGAAAATAAACCTAAAAATATAAGCCAATATCAAATTCTAAGCCTGCTATTAAAACCGCTAAATCTTAACCTATACTGAAATTGAACACACTAAAAAAATAAGCCCCAGCAATATGTGCACTCTATCCAAAACTAGCATTAAAATATACACATATTTACTTTACTACAAAAATTTTTTTTTTTAATTTAAGAGAAGACTGCTTCGTATTTCTAAATGGCAAATAATTTATACTGATTTAGAAGAAAAAAGTGTAAGCTCTATGATTTAACTTCTTCATCAAACAATTCTTTTTATTACATATTCATCATATCATTCTAGATAGCAGGAATTTAGCAAAAAAAAACTAAACAAATAAGAAAATAAAAGGCATCATTATCTACCACCAGATCTAATTCAAATGTGGTTGACAAGGTACATATCCCATGTAACCCAATATTAAAGCTTTAAAAAAAAACCTTCAAAATATTGTGTACAAAAACACATAGGTCTACATGGTAATTGAATGTTTAATTCCACAGACCTACACCTAAAAATAAGACTTCATTAATATAAGCCCCTAAGGCTAAACTAAATTGTAATTGTTTATTTTTAAAATGTAATTGCAGTTCATTAATTATGTCTATTAGTATGGTCTTCATTTAATTACTCCCTCTGTAAGGTAGGGAGGCAGATGGTAAAGACAATTTGATTTAGTCTGTAACATTAATAAACATCATTTACTTTTTCCAAATGTTATTTTATTTATATAGGAATAGTGTTGCCACAAATCTGAGAATTATTTTTCCCCTTTTTTTAGAAGCAACATTTGATCTCAAAAATTTCAGTAAAGTGGGTAAGTCCTATGGTGTAATTAAAAGACTTACCATGTAGTTACCTTGTACTGTAAAGCATGCAAGAAATAAAAGACGAAACATTTTTTAAGTTTGGGGGGGGGGGGGGGGGGGCGCTGGAGGAATTGTAGGCACATGCCACATGTTGAGAATATGCCAAAAAATCAGTTACAATGCTAAAGAGTTAAGTAATAGCAAAATTAAGTAGGCCTATCTAGTAACTAAAAATATTAACTATGAGATAAATGGCTCGTTGAGGGAGAAATACAACAGGCGCTAGGTTGATAGTGTTTTCTTTTTCTCTTTTTTTTTTTTAATCCAGAATCGGCACGTAGTTACTGCATATTCATACTCAATATAGTAGTAGTCATATACTTTTACCAGGGTCCGCCCCAATCCCCGAAAATCCTTCCATCATACCGGCCATAAAAATAATAAAAAATTAAAAACCTAAGCATAAAAATAATTAAGAAATTTAATAATGTTAGAATCAATGTTATAATCACTGCAAATCCAGAGAACTTGAAAATAATTTTTTGAGTTTAAGGCTACATTTCTATTTATTTTCATCAAGCATTGATTGGATGTACAGGAACTGTGATCGATAGTTATTTGTTTGCAAAGCTTTGCAGATAAAGCTTTTAAATAACACAATGCTATTTGAAACCACATTACCTAGTTCTGCCATTTTTAAAATTATTTTGTATAATAAAATTTATGCTAGCCTATCAAACAGCACGATGTCTTTGTTTATGTTGCCATTACCAAGTGAAAACCAGATTGCTTTAGCCTTTTTTTAAAATTCTCTTTAATTATCGAAAATACTAAAACGTCAAATAAATACATTCTTTTTTTAAGTCCGAAATAACTAAACACTCAGGATTTTATATCCATAAATATTCAATTTTTTTAATTAGGCCCTACACCAAAAGTGATTTTTTAAATATTTAATGGACCTCTGGAATACCTCTGAGGCTATTCTTGCTTGGGTCCATTAATTAGATCTAGATCTAGTTAGCTGCTAGGCCTAGTAAAAAATGATTACGAAAATAGTAAAAATGACTAGATCTAGAACAATGATCAGTAGCAGAAATATTTAGCAGAAAAATTTTAAAATAATTAGTAATTAATTAGCAATACAAAATTATTAGTAAAGCAGCATTTAACATGCAATAAAATTTTAAATGTTCTGTATTAAAAGTAAAAGATGGTGCAAAAAAAAACTAAAAAGTATTAAGTAAGGAATCCAGAACTGTGTGACAGGCTTTGCCATTGGGTAATCTATCGTTTTAGGTACGTAAAATCGCCTGCGACTAGTAATGTGAAAAACAGGTGACTTCTTAAATGCTAATAACTATTTCACATTTTGAGGAGGATTTATGTTTTAAAAAATACAAAAATGTTTCCTTGTTTCATTTAGGTACCTGTTTTTAAAAAATTGAATTTAAACTTTTCAATAATAAATGAAGACTAGCGATGTTTCCAACAGATGCAACTATGCTCATTTACTATAGCAGCCATCTTGTTTAAGTTTGTTTTTATGTAAACTTATAGCGCAAGATTAAGGGGAAGCCACTCTGTTACAAATGGCTGCTGTTTATATAGCAAATCTTACTCGCAAACAATGCTGTTTAAAGTTAATTTCTGGCCTATATTGATATATTAAATATTTAGCCATTGATTTAGATTTATTATTCATTTATCTATAATATTTGACACAAATATATCACAATATACTTCTATTAAAGCCTTGACAATGAGGTAACTTTTTCGTACATTACTAGCCGTGGGCGATTTTACTTACCTAAAACGATAGATTACCTGCCATTGCTGGTAATCTATCGTTTTGGGTACGTAAAATTGCCCGCGACTAGTAATGTGAGAAACAGGTGACTCCTTAAATTTTAATAATTATTTCACATTTTGAGGAGGATTTATGTTTTGAAAAATACAAAAATGTTTCCTTGTTTCATTTATGTACCTGTTTTTAAACAATTGAATTTAAACTTTTCAGTAATAAATGAAGACTAGCGATGTTTCCAACAGATGCAACCATGCTCATTTACTATAGCAGCCATCTTGTTTAAGTTTTTTTTTTTTTGTAAACTTATAGCGGAGATTGCGCGAAATTCAGGGGGAAGCCACTCTATTTTACAAAAAGCTACTGGGATGATTATAGATACAAGTGTCCGATAATGGAATCTTCTTTAAAAAAGGGGTGTTGGGTTGTTAGTAGTATTGTAATCTCGACTAATTTTATGGTTAGAAATTAATTAGGGTTGGGCGTATGGTTGGACCAGGGTTGGGGTTAGGGTTAGCATTGACATTAGCCAGCCATGTGTGTATTTAGTTAACTACCAGTAACCTAACACCCCTTTTTTAAGAAGATTCCATTATCAGACACTGGTGTAAACATTCTCCCGGCTACTGTTTATATAGCAAATCTTGCTCGCAAACACTGCTGTTTAAAGTTAATTTCTAGCTTATATTGATATATTTAGCCATTGATTTAGGTTTATTATTCATTTATCTATAATATTTGACACAAATATATCACAATATACCTCTATTAAAGCCTTGACAATGAGGTAACGTTTTCGTACATTAATAGCCGCGGGCGATTTTACATACCCAAAACCATAGATTACCCCATTGTTTTACTACTGTTTATTATTTAAATATTATGCTACCACTTCGTAATAATTGTTTCAATGTTTCATCTATGTACCTGTTTTTAAACAATTGAATTAAAACTTTTCAATAATAAATAATAATTTAATAGACTAGCACCGTCACTAGCGAATGCGATGTTTCCATCAGATCATCAGACTCAGATGCAACCAAACCAAACAACGGTAATCTCTCGTTTTGGGTACGTAAAATCGCCCGCGGCTATTTATGTACGAAAACGTTACCTCGTTGTCAAGGCTTTAATAGAAGTATATTGTCATACTTTTGTGTCAAATATTATAGATAAATGAATAATAAACCTAAATCAATGGCTAAATATATCGATATAGGCCAGAAATTAACTTTAAACAGCAGTGTCTGAGAGCAAGATTTGCTATATATATACAGCAGCCATTTGTAAAATAGAGTGGCTTCCCCCTGAATCTGGCGCTAAAAGCTTATAAAAATAAAACTTAGACAAGATGGCTGCTATAGTAAATGAGCATGGTTGCATCTGTTGGAAACATCGCTAGTCTTCATTTATTACGGAAAAGTTTTAATTCAATTGTTTAAAAACAGGTACATAAATGAATCAAGGAAACATTTTTGAATTTTTAAAAACATAAATCCTCCTCAAAATGTGAAATAATTATTAAAATTTAAGGAGTCACCTGTTTTTCACATTACAAATCGCGGGCGATTTTACGTACCCAAAACGATAGATTATAGCGAGGCTCACTAACTTGAAAGCGTCTCTGGTTGCTAACAACAACATGGCGTCCTAAACCGGACGCTTAGTTTCGGACATTTTTCTTGTCTGCCCAAGTGACTTTCTAGGAATTCGTTTTTAAAATGTTTACCTCGTGAAAAATGGCGGTTTTTTCACATAATGTAAACAAACTATAAATGGCAGTGCTAAATATGCCAGAGAAACGCTATAAATTGCTTTGGATAATGAAGACCGAAGCTCAAAAAGTGGTGCCGACAAACATTCGTAGATCTTTTTAAATATTAGCTACTACGATGTAGATCGGAAACCGAAAGTACATCAATATTAGATTTAGCAGTCTGTGTAAAAATAAATCGAATATTACATGCGCTAATTTTTTAAAAAATTCTCCAAAACGGTCACCACCAAAAGTAAAAATTCCATAACCCACGTGACCGCTATTGGGCGGGAGACGTTTGCCTAGGTGGCTCTATCGACTCTTTACTACGTTTGTGTTGTTATTTATGTTGACAAGCGTTAAGTGAATATTTTCCAATTTTGATTTTTACATTGCTGGACAAATTAATTAAGTATTTCGATCTGAACATGGGAAGATAGGAATTAGTTGGTATTTCTGTAAAAGCCCGTAAACCGGTGATCTCGTGGTGAAACGCGATCTCGATACGTCTAGTAAAGTCTAGGTGCTAAATTATTTACTTGATTTTATTATTACTAATTACGACTTGATCGAATTATAGTTAATATTATTTTCATTTGCTTTCATTTTTTATATAATTGATTATTATGATTTAGATCCAGAAGGACTAGGCTAATAAATTATAATAATCATATTAGAGGACAGCCTGCATAAACAAAAGTTGATCTAGATCTAGTTGACACAGTACTTGGACTTGCGCGCACGCTCGCGTGACGAAAGAACGCAAGCGGGCTCGTGACGAATTTGCATAATTTTTCACTCACAAGTGATCAACGTTAATGTGATAGGCGTAGCCTAACAATCTTTAAATAGATCTAGACACCAGCTCTAGATACAAATTTAAGTATTAAAACTCCGCCTGGATATGTCTAGCTTCGGACGGGCGATGTTTCTCTCGTTGACAAAACAACGCGAGCGAGCCGTCACTACGCACAGCCTATGAGTGGCGATGTTTGGAATGCATTTCTCGCTCACATGTGATGAAATTTAATGCAACGACAGTTTTAAAAATAAAAACAGATATTTTATTATGTCTATATAGATCTACTTTTTTTTAATATTTAAAACTCAGCCTGGACAAAGCTTCCATGCTGGATAAGGGAGGAGGGTTAGATTCCGCCGTTAACTCAATCTATTATTATTAGGCCTAATTGTCCTAATTAAACATTCCTATTTACACTGATTAATCAAGACTGAATAAAAGTGAAAATGAATACCTTTAAAAAGTTTAGATCTATATATTTTTAAACATTTATACGTGATTTTTTTGGTTCATTCCTTTGGCGTTTACTAGAAATACAGTAAATAGATTACATAACCAAGTTACGAGTATCCTTTCGATTTCGTTTTATTGCAGCATACCTCCACTTCCCCCTCCCCACACATGATCCTTACGAACCTCCTTGGTCGTTTTCAGGTCAACTTTAGGAACCAGATCTTTGAATGGTTGTCATGGAAAAATCTTTCCCAGCTAAGCTGTATGGCACCAATAATTAAAATCATGTATTTTAGTTCATAATGAGCTAAAATCATCAAATGTAGTGCCTGGTTAGTTAGAGAAATATCTCTAGCTTTTATTGGTATTGGTTAAAAAAATAAATAATTAAAATTAAGATTTAGTGAGCCTCGCTAATAGTAATAGATTACCCAAACAACAAACAATGAATATTGAATATGTTCCATGCGCCGCCGGGTGTAAATTTCAAGCATTTACTAAAATTTACTTCACTTTTTTATAAATATGTCTCACCATATATTGTAACATTGTATGTCAACATCTTTCATTCTGTTTATAAAATGCTTCTCGTTAAAGTATTTAAAAGGTAAATTGAATAAGTCTAGATCTGTTGTTTATTTTTCTTGTCTGCTAGCATTTAACATTTTATTTGTAACGTAAACAAACTGCTTGGGTCATACTAATAGTCGGAAACTGATTTTTAAAAAATCATCATAAGAGGTTGATCTTAATCTAGAATCTAGTGGTAAATTTAAATGTTCAAGAATAAGGAATGCATTTGTGACCAGATTCAATGGGATTTTTTAAAAACTCAATATAATATTTTATTTGTTTTTCGGTTCTCGAATATTAGTAGGCCTATAGATTATATGTATATATATATATATATATATATATATATATATATATATATATATATATATATATATATATATATATATATATATATATATATATATATATTATATATATATATATATATATATATATATATATATATATATAGGCCTATAGATTATATGTAGGCCTATAGATTATATGTATATATATATATATATATATATATATATATATATATATATATATATATATATATATATATATATATATATATATATATATATATATATTATATATATATATTATTATATATAGAACACGTTGCATTTCTGCTTTATTCGCTACTTTTACAAGTCTTGAAAACCTAGCAATAGGAACAAAAAGATCTCCTTCAATTTACAGTTGTTAAGAAATTTTGTTTTTACACACTGTGTTGATAGGTTGATGCGTGTCGTTAGCTGTAAACCTGTTTATCTTGTACACCTACCCTGATTAGCCAAAAATTAGGTACGTTATGGTGTTTAGCACCATTTTTTTTGATAAAGCATGGTTAACGCCGGTTGTTCCCCTTTGTTATTTGCCTCTTCGTTTCTATCCACTACACTTTTTATTTTTATTTTATATATAGATTTTATATATATTTTTTTTATAATACAACACCAAACTTTAGGTAAAATGGTAAAATGATGTGAATTTTTGTTTTAAATCCAGAATATAACAGCTATTGGATAAGGTGTGTTTATGTGACTTAGTAAACAGTTTCTAGACATGAATTCTACTTTTAAGCTGGTAATTGCCTATTACCTTGCAGTGTTTCTTCCTGACTTTTTTCTTCCGGGGGGTGGGGGGGGGGAGGGGGGGGGGGCGAAGAGATGCCTGGAAACAATTCTGTTACCTGTACCGAAATCTCAGACACTTCGACCCACCACTAGCAAGGATAATCACTGTTCTAATCAAAGGACTGATACAGGAACCGACGATATTAAGGAGTATAGAGAACATACTGCTTCGTCTTGTCCCATCCGTGTCTGCACGGTGAGGGGAACACTGTAACCAAATACCTACAGCCCTACCTGACGGTCCACTGGACAAGTGAAGTAGAGTTCACCTGTTTCTATGACCTCGGTATCAGCGCCCCCCCCCCCCCCGAAGAATGTCTACCCCCCCCCCCCCCCCCCCAACGAGATGGATTTTATATAGTAAACATACACTGTTACTAGTGTCCGCCCCCCCCCCCCAGAAAAATGTTGACCGCCCCCCCCCCCCCCGGAAAATTTCAAGTGCCCCCCCCCCCCCCCCCGGAGAAAAAAGTCTGGAAGAAACACTGCTCGGTATAGGAATAGATAATGTGGTCAGCACTCTGTCCAGCTGCATTTACTTTTTCTAACTTGAGTTAGGTACCCATCAGTTGGGTGGCCTCATAGAAGGTCTACTGACTTGAACCCAGATTCAAACTCGAGATTTTCGGGTTAGCAGTCGAATGCTCTAGCGTCAAACCACGCCGCTCCTCTGCTGCGTAAACCAGCCACAAAATCTGGGCTGTCCAACCTTTCGACACTAACCCGTCCCTTTTGTCAGGCAAAATGTCGAAGGGCAAAACGCTACGGGTAAGACTCATTTACTTTAATGTCATGCTGCGTAGTGTTCCATTTATCTAACTATAACAGTAATGATTAAAAGCACCATACATTGTGGTCTATTTACAAGTTGGCAACTACGTTTTTCAAATATTGCACTTTAAAGATCAAAAGTTTTGTATGGGAATTACACAAATACGTCATTTAGTATAGAAATTAAGGGAAGTAACTAGCTTGGTTTAAAAAGACAAAATTTGGGTTATTGTAGTAACTGAGTCGGTGTGGTCGGATGGATGAGTGTACGATTGATAACCCGAAAGTCTCGAGTTTGGATCCCTGGCTTGAGCCCGTAGATACGTTCCTTTCCCTGTGTTTACCTAGCTTTGAGGGGCACCCGACTCCCAACAGGGTAAATAAAGGTGGCTGGGCATAGTGCCGAGTTCACAGCTACATGGACCGTCACGCTCGAGAGGGGGTAATGTTACTTTTTTACTAGACTCGTCCACCGTATTGTATCGTGTCTGGGATACTCAAAATGTTTCGTTGCTGATTGACATGCTACAAGTTAAAATTCATCAGTATTCATTATTAACATCTACGGCGGTCCTCGTACCGCTCATTCACTATAGTACAACTAGGGGTGACACCCCCACCTAGTGACGCCCCTGTATTTTCTCACCCTTATAGTACGTGTCACCTATCTAACGCGGCAGCAAATCTAGCCAATTAAAGGTTGTAACTAATGGGATGACAGTGGAGACAACCATCCGCTCAGGGGGTGGGACAAGCAGAACAGCAGAGCAGATGTGACCAGGGGTGGACTGGTTGTATCCAGTGTTTCTTTCAGACATTTTTTCTCCGGAAGGGGGGGGGCACTAAAATTTCCAGGGGGGTGGGGTGGACTTGGTTAAAAGTATATATTTTCTATATAAACTCCATTCTCTGGCTGTATCCAAGATCCCCGGGAACATTTAATAGGGACCCACAATGTCAGATTAAAATTTTCATTGTCATTTTTATTTTCCTTATCAAAGTCTGACGAGCATCTTCAGCGTGATGGTAATTCATGGAACAATTTTTTAATCAAAGCACTTAAAGGTTTAGGGGTCGTCCATAAATGACGTCACACTCGTAGGGGGGAGGGGGGGGTTCGTAATTTTGTGACGGAGTGTGATGAGGGGGGAGGGGGGGGATGTCAGATGTAGAGACGTCACATTTTTGCATTATAAAAAAAGCAATGTTAGAAAACAAATTTTAGCCGTTATTTCGCGTTTCAGAAATACTGATTTAATAAATTGTAATAGGAATTGATTTAAAATACTCTATGTTGAGAGAGTTCAGACAAGATTTTGGAAAAAATATCGATGTTTTAAGAAAAATTCAACAGCAATTTTGAGGGGGAGGGGGGTTGTAGGCTGAGGTGTGACGTCATTTTAGGGGGGGGTGTCTGGCTTATTGTGACGATGTGTGACGGAGGGGAGGGGGGAGGTAAAAATCGTCAAAAAAAGCGTGACGTCATTTATGGATGACCCCCTTAGTACAGCACCATACTGAGGGCCAACTAGTATTTTTCCAGTAGACCGGCGGGCCAGTCCAATATTGGACGTGACTCGAATAAATTTAATAAAGCTTTGCATTGTGAACTCTGAACTCTGGAAACTGCTAATAAATAGGTTAAAATGGCGGTCAAGCTTGCCCAGAGAAGGATAATACATTAACATTGTTAAATTTTTTGGCGAGTCCTTATGTTGAGAGAGATAGTGTAAACACTAAAGACGGTATGTATGTAGTATGTAGGCGTAACTTTTTATTCCTATTTGCTTCTGATTTTGCTTAGTGATTTTGATTTTCTTTCGCATTTTTTTCTATGGTTAGTTGCGTTAAACGTTATTAGCTATTTCTAATGATGGGAAGGGGGGGGGGGGGGAATTAGGGAATATTTATATTTTAAAAAATGTATTAATTCTGCAATGTAGGTGTTACACATTGGCTTGAATTGGCCTCGTTTGGTGTATTCAGTTTGCCTTCTGCACTCACAAAATGATAATAAAAATTAATTTTAAAAATAATTTTAAAAAACCGGTGAGAAGGATGTTTTCTTAAAACCAATAGCTAGATAGACAAGATATATTTTTGGAAGAAAGGATCTGTTATAAAATCAACACAAAAACTCTTTCTCTTCAATCTACTTATTCTAAATATTTGAAGTTCCTATCCACGTCACATGTGTTTGTAAACACACAGGCGAAATAAATTTGCTGCGCGAATTGGATTCCGTTCGTTTTCAGAGGAGCATATATGGGATACCAGTATCCACTGGGTTTAGCTTAGTGAAGGGAGGTGGATGGTGGATAAGCAAGCTGCGGTGGTGGATAAATGACATTTGGTCCTTCATTTCTCCGAGAAATTACGTTTGTGGAGTGAGGTTTTAATGACTGGCAACTTTGTCGCATTTTTGTGTGTGTGCGAAAGTCTTGAAGAACTAGAAGAACTGTATTAGTTGACTTGATGTTGGACTAGCGCTACAGTTAGTACATAGCATCTTTAGTGACGTGCTGCAATATAAATGGACGAAGTTAGAATATGTCACAGGTAGTACCTGCAGTACCTGGCACAGTTTGTACCTGACATAATAATCACCTGCTACAGTTAGTTCCAGCAGCATTTACTTGCTACAATTAGTACCTGGCACAGTTCGTATTTAGCACAATTGGAGTACCTGGCACTGTTTAGACCTGGTACAGTTTGTACCTGGTACAGTTTGTACCTAGTACAGTTTGTACCTAGTACAGTTTGTACCTGGCACAGTTTGTACCTGTCACAGTTTGTATGAGGCACAGTTTGTATGAGGCACAGTTTGTATGAGGCACAGTTTGTATGAGGCACATTTGGAGTACCTGGCACAGCCAATATCTGGCACAGCTAGGCTAATACCACTCAGAGTTAGAAATCCAAAATTGATCCGGAAAACTAGCCATGAAACTTTTTAAATCTGACGTCAGTGTGCTAAGCTGTAACGAACGCCACAAAAGGACGTACTTTGACGTCCTGTTCTGTGTTCTTGAACTTTCATCTTATATGTATATGGCGCGTACCGTATTTACATATTTAATCATAAAAGCTAATATATAGTGGCAAAAGGTAGAGAATATGGAGGAGGGGCGGCCAGGGCATCA